GTCGGTTTCATAGACGCAAATAAGTCGGTAACATGGATGCAAATAAGTCGGTTACAATCATGATGCATCTCCTGGAATAACCTTTATACAAACACTCTTTATATTTCGACACCACCCAGGAAAGGTATTCCAAACCTGAGTTTTCGTGGTTTAGTTTAAATTGCTTATATGTAAATTAATCAAATTTTATTCGGTTTTAAAATTCAAATTGGTGAAAAAATACAATAAAACGTTTCAGTTCACTCATGACTTTATCATTGTGCAGTATCATAACTTATACTTGATATCAAGTTTAATATAACTACTCTGTTCCCGGCACAGCCCTCTTACTATTCTTTTGTCTACAAAAATGAATGAGTTTTGGCACATGAAGTATGCGTAAGTAGATATTAGATATCGTCATCTTTTTCTATCTCCTTCGGACCTGAACAGATATTAAAGTAGCTTGAAACACTTAGTACTTACCAAAATAATATACTTGTGTATCACAATTTATATGCATTCTCTATTACTTTATTATGCTCTTGAACAAGTTCAAATCTCATAAGCGTAAACTTTGATCTGTAAGTATTGTAACATGCATGTCGCGATGATGAGTTCGAGCATGTACTACATTTACTATACTGCATGTTGAATAACGTAAATTAATGCTACAAATAATCACAAAGATGAGTTATGTCTTAAAAAATCTATAAAAGTTCAGTAAATATTATTGTAATCCTAACTTTTAAATATATGACCTATATAAAATTGAGGAAAAAGAGGAAAATTGACAATCTGATTAAAATCAGCTCTAAATAACGCTCCGCTTTTAAATGTGACCGTGACCAAATACGAAGTCATTTCTGGTGATCTTTCAAACAGCCAATCAACGGCGAGCTTTCATAATTTTGAAAGCGATGCAGTTTCGAAATTTTACCCTGGGAAAATCAATGTTTCACGATTTCGAGAACAAACATGGCAATGTCCAAATAGCAAAAAGGTAAACTGGCAAAACAACCTTGCCCTTTAAAAAATTACTCTATAATTTCAAGTTAATTTGTTAACTATGGAATGATATTGAGGTAAAAATTACACAATGCCTGCTTGCACTTTCATCACGCTTGTTGACAATTACACACTGCCTGCTTACTGTTACAATTTACTCATTGACACTGCTATTGTGCTTATTGGTACAGTCATTATGCATGCTTGCACTTTTATCACGCTTGTTGACAATGATACCATGCTTGCTGGAAGTTACAACTTGTTTGGTGTTTAGTCCCTGATGTCTATATGGCTGAATGACAGTGCAATGTAGCGTAATGAAATATTTCAACATGCCGGGACTGTATATAAGCTTTGATATTTCAACATTGCACAGTTATAATGCTCCTAGAACAAAACATACGATGTGACCACACAAAATGAAAGATGCAATCAGCCACTAAGCAAGTTGAAAGTAAGCATAATGTGAACTGCAAATTTGCACATCACATTTTGATACCAGGGGGCGCACGTTCGTAATTTTCGCGGAATAGGCCGGACTTTAATTAGCTGTTGCCATCAGTTGTGTCCCTTTGTTTCAATTACACCATTAATTAGGTAGGGAGGGAACCCGGGATCGCCTATAGAAAAGCCGGGATCCGGGATCGTATTAAACATAATTATATTAATCCCGGGAATTGACCACCTACTCTCGGTGTATTATTATTATTATTATTATTCCCTGCGGTGTGGAGACCGCAGGGTATTGGTACGCGTTTAACTTTTGAGGCATGGAGGAGCACGTGACCTGTTTTCGGTACATGGAGGAGCATGTGATCTGTAAACCGTATATGATTGGTTAATTGACCTTTTCGAAAACCCAGCTAAATACCGTAAGCCGGTACGTTACGGATTCACCTGTAGGGAATTAGTCCGAATTATACCTAATTGAGAACAAAAAACTATTACGTGATATTTCTAATTTCCTATAATTATTTTACCGTTTAAGGTGGAAAAACTTGAATGATGTGTTTGAAAATTATCAATGTTTCCTTAATATCTATCTCAAATTTTACAAACAATAAATTGTTTAAACTGAAAATCTACAAAATTAAAATATTCGTAGTGGCATCTGCCATAATAAATAGAGATATTTTCTGCGTAAACTTGTGTGTTTACTTAATTTATTTTTTGCTCGGAATTATTCATAAAATGGTAGGCCTATTTAATCATTTTCTTAAAAAGAAATAATTGTTTTATGTTCTTCAACGGTCACCAGTTTCCAAATACCTTTTTCTATATTGATCGATTATTGTCAACTATATTCCTGATACAAACGTTTATTTATCCCCCCCCCCCAAATAATGTTGAAAATAGTTAAATGAAATATCTTTATATCATAAAAATGTTCACCGCAGGAAACCATTTTACTTGTTATTATTATTTGAATGTTTTTGTAGGGATTTCTAAATAAGTTTGATTTGTAGTAGTTATAAAAAATCTTTCAAAATAGTGTATTTTTTCACAGACAAAAGCGTAAAATAATTGACCTCAGAATGTCACAAACATAAAATCTTATTTAATACTGAAAGTACATGTAATGGCAATGGAAGTCGCTGTATATTGGGCATTAATAGTGCTAATATGCAATAAGAAAAAGTAAACACAAGTTGTGAATCAATTCAGCCAGAAAAGCCGGGATCGTATTAAAAATATAGGGATCCCGGAAATTGACCAGTCTAAGAAGATATTTTTCAGATAAAATATGATAAAAAAGATCAACAAGGAAAGGCGGCATTCAATGAACGCAACCCCCACACGACCTAGCAACAAGGAGCCCAGGGCACGGACAGTTAAATCACTAAAATTTTACATAATTTGTAACAGATAAGGAATTCAAAGAAAACAAATAAATAATAGAACAACATGCCCACAAAAAGTCATGGGAAGGGACAGCAGACCGGGGGAGGGGGGTAATCAAAGAAATAAAAACTGATCCAGGAAATTGACCAGTTTAAGAATATAGTTTTCAGAAAAGCCGGGATCGTATTAAAACATATAGGGATCCCGGGAAAAGACCAGTTCAAGAAAATAGTTTTCAAAAAGCTGGGATCGTATTAAACAATTTAACGTTTTAAAAATCGTCTTTCATTACAACAATAGTCATTACACAAATATAGTTTATTAGTTTGTCCTCTATATCTAATACGATCCCGGATCCCGGGATTTCCCCCCACCTTAATTTGTGGAATTTCAAACCGCAAGTTCTCCATTTCTAAGAAAAACAATTTAATTCAAGCAAATGAGATGTAGAAGGCGAGCTAAAATTTAATCTGGCCCCTAAATCAAATCAAATTTCTTAAATTAGATGTACCATCATCATTACTGACTAATTCCAGTATATATCCAGGCATAAAACATTGTCAAAATTTTGAACAATGAGTCAATGTTAATTGTAATGGCCTATATTTGGACGATATGGCATGCATACAGAATATTTAGTCAATGCTAGGGATAAAAGAAGTGACCGACAGTCTATTTGTGATCTTTTTGCTAAATAAAAGTTACGACAAATGGCAAATTGAAAAGAAGGGGAAGTAACTTTTGATAGATCTCTCTATACGTACATTATTCGGATATTCACGATAATCTTTCCGGGAAAAAAATATTCAAATTACGGAAAACCACGACTAGAACATAGCGCCCCCTGTTATCGAAATGTGACTCATAATTTTGAAATGACAATATGCTTAGTTATATTTTGCCTAGTGCCTAATAACATTTTCCATACTGGTTGATCACTTCGTGTATTTTGTTCTTGGATGCATTACAAATTAACCAAGATAACCATTGGCACAGCACGCTAGATTGCACTGTCATTCACTCAAATGAAAATGTGAAAAAGGCATCAGAGACTAAACACCAAACAAGTTGTAACTTCCATCAAGCATGATATCATTGTCAACAAGCATGATGAAAGTGCAAGCATGCATAATGACTGTATTAATAAGCACAATAGCAGTGTCAATGAGTAAATTGTAACAGTAAGCAGGCAGTGTGTAATTGTCAATAAGCGTGATGAAAGTACAAGCATGCATAGTGACTGTACCAATAAGCACAATAGCAGTGTCAATAAGTAAATTGTAACAGTAAGCAGGCATTGTGTAATTTTTACCTCAATATCATTCCATCGTTAACTATTACTTCAAACATTTTGTTTCTAACAAAAATAAAAAATTCGCTTAACTGCCACGGAAAATGGTATTTTGATGCTTCTTCTAATGCATATGTAAAACCGGTTTGATTGCATGATTTGTATTTTCTTTTTATTTTCAATGCCTTTCTCTCTATTTTATTTTCAAGTCTTATATTATTCTTCATGTACATTCTTTTTAATTTTTTTCTTGTATGATCGACTGAGTTTGAGACTTTTAGATTAATCATGGGGTATTTTATATTTTGTAAATGTATACATATATGTGTGTTATTATTTTTAATACTTTTTGTTTGTTTTTAAAGTCATTGTAAATGTATATAATTCAATTGTAAAGCGCCTTTGAACATTTATTTTTGAGAAGGGCGCTATAAATATGTGGTAATAATTATTATTGCTGAAATAGCTTTCTCGGGAAAAACAAATTATAAAGAAGGCGTAACATATACGGTCGTCATCAGATCAACATAAAAGAAATAAGTAGATCTGAACTGAGCAAAGGTTGTGCACGAACCAATGAAACTCATGAGATCCGAGAAATATCAGAAAAAAAGTTTCATTACCTCGATGCATGTATGTATGTGTATATTGCGCTCCCTCATACTTTCAAGAACAGCAACCAAATTGTAAATAGAAAATTTTGTATTTTAAAGAAGAAGTTAGTTAAATTAAGCACTTAGCACCAGATCTCTTTTTAATATATCTTTGTAGGAATCAAAAAGCCAAATAAAAGCACGTTCTATCATTTCTATCATGAAAACGCATTGTGTACATTTGCATAAATTCCCGGACACGATAGGCATCCATAAAGTGAAAGTGGTACAAATCAAAATAGCACTTTATTTGATAAAGCTGATTAAGTAAAGTGAAATTGAATGATGTCTTGATTATTTATTATGCACAAAACTCTTTTCCTTAACACCTTCTAGATTTTTCTTCGTAAGATATGCGCGCATGCTCGAAGAATGGGTGGGGTAGGTAATTCTTTTATTTAGCATGTTCTGTTCTCGTTCATCTATCTTCTGTAAACCGAGATATTTTGAATGATTCGTCGACTTGTCATCTAACATTGCTTTTACACTTCTTAATGCAATACCTGTAATAAGAAAAGATAGAACATTGACCAATATAAATAATTGATAGAATTTGGTGCACGTTTGTTATGTAAATTTAATTGGACAATCGTAAGGGGTAAAATATTGTGTTGGGTTAAAAGTGACTGAGGGAATTATTAGTTTATTTAGTTTATGCTAATAAATTTAGTTCGATTGTGTTATAATTTATAAGTTTATTAAAATACTCTCGAATCCGTTCGAATCAACAGTACTGAGCGATGAGTGTAAAGTTTCTTTCTCATGGAAACAACGGCTTGTCCCCCACACAGTCAGCAATCGTTAGATTGAATTGTATTATTTTTATGTCATAGATTTAGGTTAATAAGAGGTCATAAAAACGGTCAAACTCACAGAAACTACATGTAATAATAGTTAACAAATGTATATTATCATTATGTTGTACCATGTATATGTATTATTCTGTATGATAAATGCATAAAAGGGAACTGATAATCCATTCATTTAATCGACAAAGTATGGATAACCTTGTTTAATATGATATATACCCTTCTTATCAGTCCTTAATAGATATGTGTCTTAATCTACATTATCCTGCAAGATTATAAATTGTGTCCCATATTTTGTTTATCAGCACGGCATTGATATGCCTTCTTCATTTTTTGTTTTTGTTTCTTTCAAGTTTTGTGAATGGTGAAGGTGTGGTGCATCCAGTTCACAAAATCTGCTTTAAAAGATATCATTGGCCTGTCATGGACCATGACTTACAACTTCTTTTCGAAGAGACTTTCAAAGTAAAGTGTTGTTATTTATAATGATATATTTATGATGATGTTGACAATGTTACCTCTGCTTGCCGTGGTAGGCTTTGTAACGCGGGAAACCATTTCATCTACTTTATCACTGGAGAGAACTCGGAACGCTGGAGCACGTGGTATGTAACAGCTGTGTTCTCGAACAAACTCGGACGTTTTCAGCACGTGGGGATCTAGATGCTGATCTTCGTCCTAAAATTAGACAACCCAGTCGGGTGAAAGTTTGTTAAATCCCAGGAACCGTATTCAAGAGTGAATTTATCCGCGTGATCATGTTGTATATAAATTGTTTTGTTATTTTCTTTCAGGTTAAACATTAAAAATGCGAAAAAAGATTTTTTATTCTTATCCAGTTAAGACCAAATAAGCTGCGAAAGAAAATCAAAGAAATATTTTTAAGTTCCTACCGATGTCCTTTCTTTACGGTTCAATATATTATCTATTTTTATGGTATAATCATATCATTGATTTTATCTTTTTTATGACTGCACAATTCCTGGTATGCATTGATTTTCTGTGTATTCGATAAAGGTGATTTTTTGAGGTGACATTATGAATGAAAATATTGATTATAAACTTTGCATGATGTTATGTCGAGGGAAATGAAAATACAAAAATTGTAGTATGATACTCATAGTTAATCGGTCAAGTACTAGTAGATTATTCCCTGCATTATAATAAGTGCAAATATAGGTTTTGTTTTATTAGCACATGTAGGTGATTGGCCCTCCTCTACTTGGTTCTCAATTATCAATTTAAACCAGAAAGATACAACTGCAATTTGCCTGCTGGCGGTAAGGGATTCTATCCACGTTGCCTGTGCTGGCAAAGATCAACCGGCATGCCCATGTATTGCGATCATAGTCTACACTGTTTGCTATTCAGTAAGTACATATTTTGAAATTCTTCTTTAACTGATAAATGCTTTTGTCCAGATAGTTAGAAGGCTATGTCCATTTAAGATATTTAACGTGGTTAGGGTTAAGTAAGATTTTATACATGTCGGTATTTAAATTTCAATTGTACAATTATTGCATTACTTCATGCAACCGTAATTCTTATTGAAAACATAATTTATAAATTTACACTCTCCCCCTCCTTCGGACAAAGCGACAAAAATTAAAAGAAAACAACAAACTAAACCCATAAATATGCCCACAAAAAGTATAAAAACAATAAAATAGAGTGCCGGACGACATTATCTGTTATTTAAAGGATTTAAAGGTACAAATTATTTTTTACAAACCTTTAAAATTATCTGATCTTTCTTAGGACACGGTTTGGTAGATCTGTATTTAACAACTTGAGGTGATCCGCTATAAATGTGTTTAATATCCCCGCTCCGAATAGAAGAAAACGATGCCTTGAACTCTCCCATTATCCAAAATTAAATGAGATTTTTCAGATCTTTACATGTAAAAAACAAAATATTAGTTCTAATTACTATTTCTCCTGTATAAATAGTTACTATAATCTAACATAATTTAAACTCAACGTTGGTTTTCATTAACACAACATGGCTAAAATATACACTTAAGTTGAATATGTAATGGTCCAACAATATTTATTGTTTGAGGTACAACTGCATGTTTTTCAATAATCATAGCTGTTTACCAAGATAAAACTTAAGGCTCACGTTCACTCGCTTTAAAAAGTTTGTGTCATACACCTAAACAGAAAAAAAACGATCAATAATTTTCTCTGAAAATACTCGGTTAAGTATTAAATAACTACTGGCATGACATATCTACGACGAAATTTCTTGTAAACAGGAGACACGGATGTTCTGTGTAAAAAAGGGAATACCTTTGGGTCATAATAAGTTTATTGTCTTCAATTTCTTAAGCCTTTGGTTTTCGAGTAAATTTTACTGCACATAACCACTCATAGACGAATAAATTAAAATTTCTGTAAAAAGTCAAGCCTATATCTATGATATTGTAAAAATGGATTTAAGATTATAAGAGATACTTACATACAAAATACTAAATCACTATAACAGTACAAATTGGCAAAACGCAAACGATGACTCAACTATTTGACCAAATGAGTAGAGGTTTGGAACCTGTAACAAGACTCACTGGTGGACGAAAACCTCAGCTATTTGATCATATTTATTTCTGGCAAAATCGCGCATCTGAGTAGAGCCATGAGCACATCATAACTAGCTGGAATGCTTCCTCACAAAACTGAATCTAAAGACCCTGCCGGAAGCCGGACACAGTATATAACTATATACCCAGTGTATAACGTGACTACTGGTTTAAAATTCAAATCATAGGTAGACAATGCCCTTAAATTATTCAATACCTGTCTTTATTATTTTCACACAGATTTTGTAACACTTTACTATACAATTCTATATCTTTTTTTAATTTATCTATAAAGTCAACGTTCCTGTGTAGTCATTTCAAATCTACGTTAAAATAGTTTAAGTGATCGTCTTTATTGATCTCTTTTTTTATCAACACGTTTTGTATTTCATTTTAGGTAAAACGTTTTATTAGATCAAATAAACACACGAGCATTATATATGGGCAATGAATTGAATTTTACTGCTATTATTAAAAAATATCAGTCGGTTTATATTTACAATGTATATATAGAAATATATTTTCGCCATGAATTGGGTTTTACTTGCTGATCGTATAAATAATGTACAAGGAAGTATAATTATTGAGCCGACTTATTTAAAAATGCATATAACCTTTTAAAAATTACTTCTTATATGACTTCCCCTTATCTCGATATAACATGCAAAGTTTAAAGTTAATATAATAATTCATGATGTCGTTTCAAACAATTATCTTTCTCGGAAACCAGAGCAAACTACTGCAAGACAAGACAGGACAAGACAATTTGTTTATTTAAGTCTCACTTATGTACATACATAAACAAATATACGGAATACGTGTACCAAAGTACTCTAAATGAGTTATGAGAGCATAAATAAAAAGCCTATTTACAAAAATATTAAAATATTGTCAAAAGCTGAAATACTTGGTAGCAGTAAAACTTATATTACACATATAAAACAAACATATGCTAACTAATATTCAAATTTTGACTATGATACATGTGTACAGAGTAAAATTAGCCATTATATAATAACTTGGGCCAGACACATAATATATCAATGCATGCGTTGGCAAAATATTTTATAATATTTTCATTTGATAGCAAATATATGAATTTCTCATTATCACTAAACATTAGAAATATGTTATTAGTTGTACACACGTCGATATAAAGCGCCTCTCTTATTTGCGAATAAAGTGGACATTTAACAAGGACATGTAGCTGATCTACAAACAATTAAAACATATTCTCTCATTAACTGGTAAAGCTTCACTTTGACCAGTCTCAATTTTTAGAGGGGCAACTCCACATATGCATGCTAGGCGTTGTGCAGAGCTAAAGTAATACATTACAGATATGATTGCATCAGATACATAGAAACTATATTGAACTGTATGTTAAAAGTTTTGAAATAAAATAACAAAACAAAGTTGACTTTTGAGTGCTATTTATGGGACTTTACAAACTTTCACCCGACTGGGTTATCTTAGTTTAGGACGACTAGCATCTTTGTCCCACACGTGCTCAAAACGTCAAAAATACAGCAGCTGCTGTCACATACCACGTGCTCCAGCGTTCTGAATACTCTCCACCAGTGAAGAAATGGATGCAATGGTTTCCCGCGTTACTAAGCCTACTACGGTAGAAAGAGGTAACATTGCAACATCATGATAAAATTAATATATCATAACAATTAATGACACCACTTTGAAAATCGTTTAAGAATTTGTAAATCATGGTCCACAATGGGCTATTGGTAGTTTTGTGTATTAAATACAACATGCCAGAAACATTTACAAAAATTAAAACAAAATCGAGAAAAAGGCAAATAAATATGATACTGATTAACAAAGTGTGAGGCACAATTCTTAATCATGCAGAATGATAAAGATTATGGCTTTTGTAAAATATTTATGCACTATTCGGGATTGGTATATACATCTGATAGGAAGTGTATCTTTCATATTTAATAAGGTAATCCGTCGTTTAGGAATCACTACTTATGGTCCATCATAACGCAAATTAGAATTTAAATAGTATTATTACTATTAATAGTACTGAGATTGCTGGTCGTTTGTATAGCCCTTTATTAAAAAAATCTGCATAATGTTGCTGCATCTCTTATTTGCGAATACAGTGGACATTTAACAAGGACATGCAGCTCATCTTTCTTTAATGTTATTTCTACAATTAAAATATGAGCCGCGTCAAGACAAAACCAACATAGTGGGTTTGCGACCAGCATGGATCCAGACCAGCCTGCGCATCCGCACAGTCTGATCAGGATGCATGCTGTTCGCTATCAGTTTCTCTACTTGTTATAGGGTTTGTAAGCGAACAGCATGGATCCTGATCAGACTGCGCTGATGCGCAGGCTGGTCTGAAACCATGCTGGTCGCAAACGCATGACGTTGGATTTGTCGTGACGCGGCTCATATATTCTCTAACGACCAATTTTTAGAGGAGCAACTCCACATATGCATGCTAGGCGTTGTGCAGAGCTAAAGATATTTATAAGAGGTATGATTACATCATAGACATAGAAACTATATTGAACTGTAGAGAAAGAACATCGGTCACAATTTAACAATATTTTTTTTTTTTTTTTTTTTTTTTTTTTTTTTTTTTTTTTTGGTTATTACTGCATAAGAGAATATACGGTATGTTAGAAGTTCTGAAATAAAATATCAAAGTTGACTCTTGAGTGCTATTCATGGGGACTTTACAAACTTTTCAACCGACTGGGTTGTCTTTGTTTAGGACGACGAGCATCTTGGTCCCCCACGTGCTAAAAACGTCTAAAATACAGCTGTCACATTCCACGTGCTCCAACGTTCCGAGTACTCTCCAGGAAATGGTTTCCCGCGTTAAGTAAGCCTACTACGGTAAACAGAGGTAACATGCAACATCATGATAAATTAATATATCATAATAAATAATGAAACCATTTTTATAGTTGTTTCAAAAAAAATGTAAATCATGTTCCATAATGGGCCAATGGTAATTTTGTGTATTTAATGCAACATACTGGAAACATTGACAAAAATTAAAATAAAATCGAGAAGAAAAAAACAAATAAATATAATACTGACAAAGCGTGAGGCACAATTTTCAATCTTACAGAAAAATATGAACTATACAGGTTTGGTATATACATCTGATGGTATCTGTCATATTAGATAAGGTTATCCATGCATTTGCATTCACTACTTATGGTCCACCTTAATGCAATTTAGAAATGCATAGTATTATTCTTACTCGTATTAGTTAAGGTATGCGAGGTACATGTAGCTAAAATGAATGGTTACTAATTTCTATCAGCCTGACGCCTGGCATAGTAGTAGGAGTTGGGACTAGTACATGGTATGCAAGCAAAAGGTGTCTCATAAGTCAGATATGGCTAGCCCTTTCAGTAGGTAGGGGTGGCACGATAATAAACAATACCTTTACCTTTTATTACTACTGAGATTATTGACCGTTTGTATAACCCTTTATTAACAAAGATCTATAATATTGCTCGAAAAATTATGTTCTTTATAAAATTAACAATTAATTTATTCATTTGCAGCAGCTGCACGATGGTTTTAAAGACAACTAAGAGTTTAGAGTTTAAATAATAAATGATGTTACATTTATATTTAGTCTAAGTATTTGGAGAGTTAGTCTTTTTCATTTAATGGCGCTTATGTGGTCCATTCACCACAAAAATAAAATAAAAAACACTGAAGTCTTTTAATTTAATTACAGTAACGGTTTATAATCTATTCAAACGTGAGACCGTTACGGCAACCTGTGGGGCACAATAACCTTTTTATTTGTTACATTGAATTAATGAATTATAAGATAATAATACTAATAATTTATATCTGGTCATATTACGAAAAATCATTGTCGCATTCCATATTGTGTTATTCATTAATTTACATTTGAGCCGCGTCATGACAAAACCAACGTAATGGGTTTGCGACCAGCATGGATCAAGACCAGCCTGCGCATCCGCGCAGTCTGATCAGAATCCATGCTGTTCGTTTACAAACCCTATAACAAGTAGAGAAATTGATAGCGAACAGCATGGATCCCGATCAGACTGCGCGGATGCGCAGGCTGGTCTGGCTCCATGCTGGTCGCAAACCTATTACGTTGGTTTTGTCATGACGCGGCTCATTAAATGTAATTTTGGTTGTACTTGTTGCCCAACCAATTTGTATTATTCTATACTTGTATAAACTTTGTTTATCTTATATATTGTATTTGGAATAGTAAATTAAACGAAACCATGCAGTCTGGTCAGGCTCTATTCTGTTGACTAACTTGAAAATTTTATTGAGGTATTCGTAAAATTGATGAAGGATAATTACAAAATTGGTATCCATTTAAAAAATTAAGCGCGATTTCGGGACAAAAGATAACTTGTCAATTATTGTAATATACCAAACATTTTTCAAAACTGCAAGTTCTAATTTTATTTTCTGGTCCCTATGTTCGTTCCTCAAAAGATTTCAACAAAGAGTGTCTTTTCTATTAAACACCCACACATTTAAGAGTTCATAGAATAAAATTATTTTTAACCAAATATGTCCTTGCTTTTTAATTTGGTATAGCGATAATTCCGCGAACGCGGTACTCGATCTCAAGGAAAGAAACACCACTCTTATAATTTAAGGACTTTGGCATGACCCTAATCATGTTATAAACAATAATTCACATGGTAACATACCACTCACGAGGTGAAAGAAGAGGGCCACAAGTGCTTTTGACAAAATGATTTGATTTATGCACATAATAAATAACGACGATAGTATTTTATTTCATCAGTAAAGTAGTGTTATTTTGATTTGTAAACTTTTACACTTCATAAATGCCGACCTGTATGGAAAATTTAAGAGCAATTCAGCAATGCTATGATACTTGTAAACCCAGGTTTAATAAGGCTTGTCCTTTCCTACACGCTGGTACTAATGGCTTTGACTTGACACTAAAAAAAGTGTTATCTCGATATTCATGCAATATAAGTAATAGTTATTATAGTATATGAGAGGATTTTACACTGGCTGAGGCGATATCAAGGGATCTTTCTGCTAAAAAAATGTCGAGGCCGTTATAGGGATGAACCAGATATAATAATGACAGCAATGCATTTTTTTAACATTTCTTGATTTTGTCAAATGTAAAATAAAATTGAAAAATGTCACTACATCTTTTTTTTAAGAAAAAAAAATGAAGATATTTATACGTGGAGACTATATGATTATTATGTTGTGATTTTTGAAAAATTGAAAATCAATTGCTCATCCATATTCATGCTCAGAGGCGACTCGCTCTGTCTTTTTAAAAAGAACATTTGGAATGATCTAAAATTTAGTTGTGGGGAAGTTAAAAGGACTGTAATAAAAAGAAACAAAACATTTGTCTCAAAATTGGCAATTTGTATAAATCTACGTTTGTATAATTATATTGAAATGATTTTTATAAACGAACTATATTCTATTTTCTGTTTATTATAATTCAATATAAATTCCCCTTATTTTTCTTGTCAGTACTTTAAAAGTGAGGATTATAATATTATTTACTAAACTTTCTCGGATCATTCAAGAACAGAACAGAACAGAACAGAAATTTTATTCAAGATTTGTACATGGTACATCATCTTACAATTTGTACAATTTAAATATACTATACAATAGTCACATGACATTTAATGTACATAAATATAGCTATAGATCTTAACCTTAGCTATAAAAAACACCCGTTTTTCACCTACGCCAAGTGACTTTTTCAAGACAGAGCTTATCTTTATGATTCTTTGTTATATTCAGTTGTTTTCGACAATACAAGCGGTCAAACACATGCCCGAACCTATGGTCGCAAGGGATATGTTATAATGCGAAAATGCATCCCCTTGACGCTGAGGGGTTGCCTTTAAGGGTTGGGGTTGGGGCATAAGAACTTCAGCCACCATTTATCCCTGCGTGATCGTAATAGACGACTAAATGAGGTCGAATTACTAGAGTCTATGCATCTCTTAACTGCAGCAGGTGAGGTGGTGTTGATCCCCCTGGTGTTGCTGTAAGTTTGTAACATCCGAGATAAACCAAAATCACCTTTTTCTGTTTCGGCGTCATATTACCTAAATTGTGTTGGTGCGCCGTACAGCCAAACCAAACCAACAAATAAAACCAAAGCTAAATGTCTATGATAATTTATTGAGCACACTGTCTTACCGACATCAGTGTTGACAGATTGCTTCAGTGATGACAGAAATCTAAAATTGACAGGTAGGTTATAAACTTGGTTGGTACATTTTCATTACGCAAATTGCTCCATAGACTGGGGATACTATCAGGTAGTATTGGACTATTATCCCTTTTTCATACAATGTTTTGAGCGTGTTATAAATGGTAGCTACTGAATCGTAAAATTCATGAATTTGAAATTGTGTAGATGAACCAAAAATTGAAGAAGTTGAAATGTCACCACAGGCCTTTCGTATGCTTCGTTCCTTCCCTCCAGGGACTCCAAATTTTGGCAGGTGAGTAAATTTACCCTGTTAGCTTTTGGATATACAATGTACCTTTAAGAGCTTTATACGCACTTTTAAAACTTCTATATCTATATTTTATGAATAAAGTATGCGACATTGTTCGTATAATGGTAAAGTGTGTGGTCATTGTATTTGAATCTTTAAAAAAAATCTATCCTTCATTTAATTGTGTCAGTATTAACCTCTTTTCTCTTCACAAGTATTTGTCAACTCCTTCACAATCAATTATTCGGCGGAGAAGAGGAACAAACTGCGTTTTAACACAATTTCCAAACCGAACAGTCACGGCCGTTTTATGTCTTAAACAAAAGGCATTTTTGTATACAACTCAAAAGTACGGATTATTGATTTAAATGTTTTAATAACCTTTAATACAGTATTTCAATCACTTTCAATAGTACAATAGCACACATAATGCTTTTATCGGATTTATTTGTCACTGTGGACAGATTAAATAACAGTTTAAATACACACTGTTAGAAACCTCACTGTGATATCAAAGATTTAAACTTTAAATATCAGCTTTTGATCGCGACTTAAGACATTTTACGTTAACAAATAAATAAACATATGTACTTAACCGAATAAATACTTATATTTTTAAAGAATACGGAGCTATAAAAACGATAGTTTTATCAACTCAAACGTATACTTGGAACTTATTTTACGTAACTGAAATTAAAACATTTTTGGGTTCTTTTTAATTTAATTTTATTTTATTTTATTGAGTTCGATTTGAAAATTTAAAAAGATGGGAGAGTTCAAGACATCGTTTAATTCAATCTTAAGCCGGGATTTAAAACACATTTACAGTGGGTTCCCCCAGGTTCTCAGATACCGGCACACCAAACCGTATCCTACACAAGATCAACTCAAGATTAAGGTTTGTATCTTTCACTTATTTATACCTTTAAGATCGTTTATTGAAAAAGGATGCACAATAAGTACTGATTAGTAAACACTTGACATGATAAATATATCTTAAATGGACATATCCATCTTTTAATCCGGACAAAACCATCTAGTATCTATAGGGGAAGTTTCAAAATTCGAATTTCTATACTGACTGAATAATAAACAGTGTAAACTATGATCAGAGGACACGGATGTGTCGGCTGACCTGGGTCTGTACTTGTCGCATGGGTAAGAATCGGTTGGCCCCAGCAGGCTAAGGGTTAGGACAAAATGAACAGTATGTCCCGTTATAAAATTCATGTAAAAAATTATGATAAATCATTCTGAGACCAGTAAAGTTATAAAGTTTATATTGAATTACATTTGTTTAAATTATTGCTACCTCTGTAAGCAGATATTGTCCTTAAATTTGATTTTAACAATAGTCCGCTGTTTTTTTTAATTTTGCTTCTAAAGGAACTTCACTTAGGAAAAAAACTTAAAATCATAAAAGAAGAATTCCTTACATAGATAAGTTTGGGCACTTTAAAATAAATATATGAACAAGATAACTAATAAAACATTCAGAAAATTAATTGGAATCACATTGTTGTGTTATTCTTTACAATGCTTTTCAATTTTGTGAATTATTTTACATAATTAGAACTATCATTTTGAAAATCGGAGAGAGAGCGAATGATCTTAAATAAATTTGTATACACGATATTGGTCTACGCCTATATGAAACGGAACATAAATTTTGATAAAATTATTTCCAGTTTCATCACTTCAAAAAAAAACCACTCAGTAGAGTCCCTTTAAAAGAATCGTCCACATTTTTTCTATATTCTAATTTCAGGAGGAAAATCATCAACAGAAGACTTACGTGCTCAAGTCTTCCGAGTTTGTTCCAGAATATAGCTGTCTCATACCACGTGCTCCAGCGTTCCGAATACTTTCACGTCATGAAGTAAACGGTGTGGTTTCCCGCCTAACCACGCCCACAATAGCAAGTCAAGGTAAATCCGGGTATAATTTTTACACGTATAAGTTTCCTTTCCCTTAAATTATGACCTTTTTGTCAAGTTTGTTCCGAAAGTAGCCTTAATAACAACATTTGTGAAAACAGTCGTAAACCATCGGCTGTTCCCGTATACTTCGGGTCGTTAAACACCATGAAAGCACCAACGCAATTTGCCCGAGTTATAAGGCCTTTTGTTTAAGATATGAATCGGCCGTGACTGTTCGGTTTTGGAAATTGTGTTAAAACGCAGATTTGTTCCTCTTCCCCGCCAAAATAATTGATTGTGAAGGAGTTGACAAATACTTGTGAAGAGAAAAGAGGTTGATACTGACACAAATCAATGCAGGAAAGATTTCTAAGATTCAATTACAATGAAATACTCTTTCCCATTGTTACCGATTTTTAAATACCACAGTGACTGTTATCTTTACTTACCCATCATAAGAAACGTATCTCTATCACTCTTGCCACAAAGGTGGCTCATCGAGGCTTCCATTTTACCACGTGACTGAATGTAGTTCCAATATGTCGCCTCATTATGTCAGAAGTTTAAATGCGAAGCATAATTGCTGAGGAGATCAGGTAGCTGTGAAAAATAAGAATGAGATTTTGTGATTGTAGTATTCATTGTTATGCAACTTTTTTGTAACAAAATCTTAAAAGTCTTTTCTTTGCTTATCAAGTTCGCTAAAAGTAACATTTCATACAACAAAATTCAGCTCTTACGAACACACATTGATGGTTAAATCTTGGTCCATTTGTGATCAAACCCCATTAATGACACTTCTGCTTCTCCCCCGCCAATAGTTGATTGAAATATCCATGCTACCTTACTACGGGGCCGAGACTTAACTCTACGCAATGAAAATACACTACAGCCTCTGAAGAGCAACGATACTTTGAGTTGTTGCTGAGAGATGTGGGTCTATGGATATTATATCTATCGTGAATTCTTACTTTTGAAAGAACTGTAACCGTTGTTGTAAAGTTCCTGCTGGTCCATCGTGGGCAATTAGAATTACTCTACGCCTAATTTACTTTTATTCATTTGTTTCACATTATAGGCATTTCTTCAAAAAGTGTCAACGCAATGTTAGATGACAAGTCAAGAAACCATTCGAAATACCTCGGACTTCAAAAGATCGATGAGCGGGAACAGACGATGCTTACCGAGAGAATGACACGCCCAACCCAGTCATCGCGCATGCGCGAATATCAAACCAGACGACAAATGACGGAAATTGCATAAAATGTATGAAAAGACATATTTGTTTCGTCAGCATAATAAATTTTACCGAGACAGCATTAATAAGCAACGTTTAAAACGTGTTACCTATACAGTATTATTTGTTATTTATTTATTTATTTATTTATTAACGCCGTTCAGTTTGTGAATGTTAATATATTAGTCTGTTTACCTTTTTATAATAAAATAACATGTGTAGACTAGTTGAAACATTTAGTCTTGCTATGCCTTAATCTAACAATTATATTTTATATCTTGCTAGAGTCTTTCATAACTTATTTTAAAAGCATCGTGTAAGGATAAAGTATGATAATTTTGCTTATATTTTAAGAAGAAAATATAGTCTGCTTATTATTTATTGTGTTTTCGTTGTGTTTTTTTATTTCATTATTAAACATTGTAGGACACCGCAATATAAGAATGGTCTGCTTCCCATTTCAGAGCAATAACCATTTAACCTACTGAATTTATGTTATGAATTTGTCTTGCTGCGAAAAAAAACGAAAATGAAACATTCTGGAAGTTAAGTGTTACGTGAAGTGGAAGACATAATATATATGCGTATATTATTTTGTTGTTGCTCGTACACAATCCCAGTCAGCAATTGTTATGTGACTGTACATTGTGTTCGTTGCTAATTATGTTAGAATCTATTGTTGAGATAACGAAGTACCCCCGCATGGAATGACACGCATGCAATGGCAAACACAAGGGACAAATATATCAAATATCTAATCATGAAGTTGTGATGTTAAACTAAAATTGAATCAAGGACAAACACTTGTAACTAAGCCACAGTGATTATATGTCATTGATAAGATTTTGATTTCTGATAGTGAATACACTTTTGCGTACTTAAGTCACTTATCTGGTATGAATTATTAATAACTCAAACAAGCTTCATCTCTCCCGAACGTGTTACTGCATCACCACCACTTCATACAATAACAATACGCTTCGGATCCGGGGCTGTGAAGAAATTTCCCCGTTCTAACTCAGATCCCGGGATTGGTCAGAAACTGGCAGAGAATAAATATATTGACCAATGAAAATCCTGATATTCATAACTGATTTATAATTTTCAAACCAGTATAAACAAGTACCCCTGTTGAACTTTGCGCTATTTAGGTCAGACTATCGTAATAATTTTACATATACTTATAATGTGAAATTGGTATTAAACTTGAGTTTTCTTGCTAAAGAGGTGATTTTCTTAAGAGACGGAAATGCTTGATGCATTAAACTTATTATATCTTGTTATATAGGGGTAGCCAACAAAATGTTTGTCAAAATGTCTTAAAAGAGGATTACTTCCCTTTTCATTAAAAATTTCTGATGTATATACTTTTTTAAATGCAGATATTCAAATGCAAAATTATCCTAGAGACCTATGAAATATTTCATTTTCTTAAGAAAACAATGTAGTGTTAGTATTTAAATTGGTTTTCATACTTTAAAACATTCCATATTCATCCAGTCGCCTGATGTCCTATTAAATCTTACGGTTTTACCTGCACTTTCTTTCAGCAAATCGCTGGCCATGTTAAGATACGATAATCTGACCATATAGATATAATTAAGGAGAATATTTAAAAAGACGATGACGAGGTAATTACTTCTTAATGAGTTCCATTTAAAGATGTTTGGTGATATAAAGTGTATGACATAATTATGATCTTTCCTCGGTCTTTAAAATATTACCATTGCTGGACTGGTTCCCCTTACGGACTAACGATTTGCACGTGGATATAATCCATGTTATAATTGCAAAATACTTTTGGTCTGGAACTCTCCAAAGCATTGGAATGAATTCATATATTTAGATATTTAGATATAATCCTTACCGCTATTATATTTGCAAATCACTTTTGGTCTAGACCTGGCCAAAGCTTTGGAATGATTACATATATTTAAATGTATTTGTCAAGTGTCTATGACGAATTTATCATAATGAACAAAGTTTGAAAAGACCTCGTTGGCACATATAGTAAAAGAATGGAAATTCAAAATCTATCACCGTACCAAACATGACTGCACACAACTCAGAAAAAAGGACAGGGAATCGTCATGACATATCCAAACAAAATTTTATTTCTTCCTTTTCAAATAGCACTTATAAAAACACATTATCTAATCATCAATAACTAAGGATGAAACTTACGCAGCAACACAGTAAGTTATAATGTTTAATACAGTTAGTTACAAATAAAGTATTACGACAGTCTTAACAAAATATACTTGATTTCATTTGTAGTACTAGTATTAATGTTTTGGGTTTCATCTAGCTGATAAAATAACAATAATATTTATATCTTGGATAAAGTGTAAGAAAATATGTTTCATATCACTTACAACCCTACTGCAACCGGGAGTGATTGACCTTTGCCAGCAGCAAAAAGCCAGGCCAGCCTGCACAATCGTGTTGTCTGACCAGGCTCTATACTGTTAGCTGACCAAATTCATATTGATTATGCACTGTTCCAGATCTTGATAATTGAAATTCAGTAAGTTAAAGGCACATTGTGCCTCAGAAATCCACATTTTTAGAATTGTTTACAATTGTCAAACATCTGCTCAATAATGTTTTATAAATAGATTTAGAGCATTTTAGATGTTTAACAACTAAAGAAAGTTGCGCTTAATGTGCGGTAATGTGTCGCTTAGGTAGAAAAATGTCAACAAAGTAGTATTATGACTTCCATACAAAATACACATTCACTATAGTTATACCAACGAAGTACCAACAGAGCAAAAAAAGTGCATTTATGTGGCAAATGTGTTATTTATTTTGGACACTGTAAAAAGATACATGTACAAAAAGAAAAGATTTTGAGAAATAAAATGATAACATTTCTGAATTTCTGAAGCATAATGGGCCTTTAATAATGTCTTTTTCCCGAAAAGTTATGATCATTACAATAGTATACTTTACATTATTCATCTGCTCGAGAAAAAAAACTATTCACTCATTAACTATATACACATGTATGTGGCGTCGTTATATGTAGGGAAAAATCTAAAAGAAAATGGCTTTCAAAAATACAGAATCCAAAGCAGGATACAAAAAAAATAGGTATTGTTTACAATATATAATTACACGCATATAAGTATATATTAAGGATACATGTATACTTTTAAGTACTATTAATGGCTACATTTTCTTTCCCGAATGTTTAAAGGGTGAAGTAAAATGACATTAAATCATTGGCTACAGGATTTGAATAAACATTTCTATTTAAGTTGCATCAATGGTATTTCGATTAATATATGTGCAGCGCTTTTTGTAATTAACCCCGAACCTGCGTAAACCTATTGATTAATCCTTGCCACCAGTAGAGAGCCGGGACTGCACACACGTCCGTGCTGGGATTGCCCAGGGTCTATACAGATGACATTTCATTTTTATTTGTATTTCAATAATTTTCAAATGAACTGTTCCAAATACAAAGCAGGACAATTCCCCCAAAAAATAGCAGGTTAAATGCACATTAATGCCAGTAGCAGTAAACTAAATGCAAAAGTGTGTGACACATTGCAAAAGTGTGTGACACAATGCAAAAGTGTGTGACAAACTGTTAAAGTGTGTGACACTATGTAAAAGTGGGTGACACACTGTTAAAGTGTGTGACACAGTGTAAAAGTTTGTGACACTATGCAAAAGTGTGTGACACAATATAAAGATGTATGACACAATGTAAAAATGTGAGACAAAATGCAAAAGTGTGTGACACTCTGCAAAAGTGTGTGACACACTGTAAAAGTACGATACACAATGTAAAAATGCATGACACAATGTAAACTGTGAGACAAAATGCATAGCAACACAATTTCTGTACCATTTTATGAATTACAATGTAAACAAGATTTTAGGACTAGAAAAAAGGACAATGATATTAAACAGAAAAAATATATACCATTTCTGATTAAGATAAAGGGAAACAATCTGGCTATAATTTACAAATTTATACGAGTTACATGTATATATAGATATCGGATCGATTGATTTTGAAATACACGTTTTTATTTGCATTTCACTTGAAGCTGTGTTGTTGTTTGTTTGATTTTTTTTCAGGGTTTTTATAATCGGAACATAAAATCATATAAATAAGATCGCTGGTATACTTTTTCCAGTTGATGTGCCTAACGTGTAACCAATGCTGAAAAGTCTTTTACTCTATCTCAATCCATTGAGAAGTTGCAAAACAAAATCAGTTTTGATGGAAAAATAACAATGCAAATAATGTTTTGACTTTCATTTTCACTACTCTCAACTGATGTCCAAACACAAAACAGGTTAAAATTTGAATTTCTTGCATAGACCAGCTGTGGTACTTAAAGCAGAAATATATGCAAACGATTATTTATGAATATACTCAGAAATAAATTTGAAATCATGATTATAAGCGTTGCAACGCTTTTTAATTTTGCGTCATGTGTTAACAATTAGAATAATTATTACGGTAAAACGGAGTGAGCGATTTATTTGAAATCTTGCACACAAGTTATTTGACCCACAATAAATGGAACATTAATTTTGAAATAAAATAATTCAGTGGCGTCCCTTTAAGGGATTTAAGAATCAAAGTTATACTCGGTATAAGAAATTCATAAACGATCATTTTGCACAAAAAATGCATTCTGTCTTTGATGTGAAGGTACAATACACAAAATGTCAATATATCTACTCAGATCTTCCTCTTTTTACAAAAAAGTCTAAATGAAATTATATTATTTAACCTGATAAGTAAACTCACGGTGTATCAATAAAACTATTGGCCAATTTCGTATAAATACATATCAAGATCTGAACAGTCGAACATATTTAATGATGAGCACTTAAAGATAACCTTTCCGTTTTTAAGGATACTCATTTCGTATTTTGAACGATAATATACTGAAGTAGTTTCAACCAATTATACGTCAGAATGTGGCAGCTTTGAGGTTGTTACATTAAACTATATTAACATGCCAAGTCCTTAAATAAGGTAGTTTGGGCATACATTTCAAATATAAGTACCGCTTTCAATTATTTCCATTGTGCCAAGTAGACTTTGAAAACGAATAAAGTGAAAACTCAAAATCACCAAAAATGAAATAAAAAATAGAATAAGATAAATAGCTCTAAATAAAAGATATAATTAAAAAATGGCAATATCGTGTCAATGTTGTATTAACGATATATCATTATAAATTCTTTTTTCAATTGCGACTTAATAGTGAAGTATTATATTGATGAATGAAATAAACTAAAAGATGAAAAATATGACGAGAACTAAATCTGCAAAAAATCAAATTTTTACCATAAGAAAAAAGAGAAAAAAGATGAAAGTTTTAAGCGGCTAAATATAAAATGACTAACTCAATTATCGATAATATTTTCGCTACTAAAAAAAAACAACAAAAAACAAACGTAACAAAAAAGAAACTTAAAATGCCTATAAAAATGCAAGACAGAAACACTATTGAGGTAAGCTAAATGAAAATAAACTAATTAAAAATGACTATATATTGTAAATGCTAAACTCTTTTGCAAATCTATTTGACGGAGTAAGTGAGCACTTATCGCACGCATCACGTACTTCCGGCACATCAAACTCTCCAAGACTTCTCATACTTTTCCGCACATTGCTTGTCACTGTTGGCAATATAAGCCGTTCTGTAATTTCGTCTGCTCTCTGTCGGCTTGCCTTTGGTTGAGCAGACAACGCCCGGCATTTCCGGCAGGTTTCTATGAACGCGCGGCGCGCTTCTCTTTCACACACTTCCGACGCCCTCCTTCTCTTGCTTACTGTTGGTCTTGACAGCCTGTCAACGATTTCGTCCACTCTTGAACGCGACAGTTGCTGAAACGCTGGCGCTCTTGGAATTCTTATTTCGTTTTCCGGGTCATATTCGTAATATCTTTCGTTCAGAAATTTCTCGTGTGGTGCCGATTTTCTCATCTGTTCGTGTACCCTTTGCGCTGGGACAATCGATTTACTATTACTTGTTGTCCGCCATTTTATTTCCGCCGGAAGTCCTCCGTACAAGTTCCGAATGTTGTGTTTAGAAAGATTATGATATGTCACAACGAACGCCATGTTTAATATACTAGATACACTGTCACATTGAATCCTTTTCAATTATCAAAATCGTTTTGATCATTCTTATATCCTCAGTTTATTCAATTTGTATAGTCCTTAAATACAATTTACGTGGTATCACATTATTTAATTATTTTTTTTGAATTCGTTAACCGGTACAATAATCCTTACCATAATAGTCGTATATAACAAGTGTTAAAGTTTATAACTTATCAACTTCCTACATGCGTTTGTAAATAGTCAATATAAATAACAATAATTGTATACAAATATTATCTCATCTCTCAAAGCATGAACACTTTATTTTATTTCACGATAATACAATCTTGTTTAAATTGTACAGTACGTGTAGTCAACGACATTGTGACAAAACGAAATATCCAATTTATCAAAACACTGCATTCATATTATTGTTACAAATTATCCATTTATGTCCTTCATAACATAAATATATTCATAAATTATTCAATAACCAATATATTTAAATAAACAATTCTTTTCAGTTTTTTTTACAATCGTTTCCAAATTGACAATCCGTTCAACACTGTCTTAAGGCACTTCTTTTTAAAGATCAAGGCGAACTTCAACACACACTTTTCACCAAGGTTTTAAAATTGGTGTACAGTTTATTTTCTTTCCATATCATTGTGTAAATATTGAAAATTGACGCACTGATAAAAAATAAAACTGAATTGGGAAAACGTTACTTCAAGTACCCGAGTACTCCTTCCGGGTGTACATACGAGTACATAAAACATTATCTATCTAGATACATAATACACGTTCAGGTAGATTCACACTTCAGTTGAATTATCATTTTGATTTTAGTTATGTTTCAGATCTTTCTGTGTTAATGTAAATTATAGAGTATTAAGTGTAAATAAAAGGGACACAAATGAAAAAAACTGTTGGTTTTTTCTATTATTTATTCTTAAAAAAAGATTTTCTGGTCTATATGTAGTCCTCTCCTAATTTTAGATGCATTAAATCTTTGAAATGTATCTTAATGATGATGATAATAATAATAATAATAATAATAATAATAATAATAATAATAATAATAATAATAAAAATAATAATAAATCTACACCTACCAAAACGCTTATATACGCCAACATTTGCATACATGTATTTATAAAAAGATCTTTAAAAAGAGAGAATAACAATAATTTATGTTGTTAAATATCATTTTGTTTACTATATGAAACTGTATGAAACCGAAATTTGTGTTTAAGCATGATAATATAGACATGACAATTCAATCAGACGGGCCTCAAGTGGGCTACGTTTTCTCCTTATCAGACTTCAAGTTGGTAATTTCAAATGGCACGTGAAAGTACTTCAACGCTCTAAACACTGGCATATGTCTGACATTTGTTTATTTATAATTCAACTGTTTCCGTGTGTTTGAATACAAGATTTAAACTGCCACAGTGATATACGATTTATATAATGAAAAACAAATATTTAAATGGATATAATTAATCCACTTGTCAAAGACAAGCTTTGCAAACTTTCAATTAGGCCATGCCACTGGTAAACGTACGAAATTTAAAGTATAGTCGCATTTATAATACTGCACGTTTGTAATATGTCGCTTTTCATTGGGTAATCGTGACGTTCATATAGTTTTATACACACGGCTGCTGTCAATTCATGAAGAAATCTCACCACTTTTTTTCTCTAAAAATGGAAGTTTGCAGTATTATAAATTCGTTATAAATACTCCTGACAGGTTATATGACCGTATATAAACGGTTCTTTGTAATATAACCCTCGTCTAGCGGCTCAGGTTATATTTACTAACAACCGTTTATATAGAGCCATATAACCTTTCAAAAAATTTTATATCTAATATTCTGATGTACAGCTGAAGAAAAAAAAAACAACTACGAAAAACGAACTATTAAACCTATTCTTTATATCACCAATTTATTTATAAAATATTCTATAAATAGTAATAAATTACACGATAATTACCTTACGTATACTCTTCCTATTGATAAGGTATTTACATTACGAAATTATCGCCGCACAAACATAAGCGTCTATATTATGCTTGTTTAATAGGCTATTGCAACGGAACGCACCATTTATCTAAATCCATTATACCCAATAATAATAACAAGAATATTCCCATTTGTCGGTGTATTTTTTTCTATGACCAATCACATTCCTGGCGAGTGTTCAAGATTCGAACGATGATGATGATGATGATATATGTACACAACATACTACAAAATCATTATTATTTGTGGAACACTTATTTCCGTGGTTTTCGTGGATAGGTCATCCCACGAATTTGATATCCAACGAAATTTTATTTCGTCTGCTGTAAGATCATTTTGCATCATATTATTTACATTTTACCTTTTTTGAGAGAAAAAAAGACAGTCCACGATTTAAAGAACCTACGAGCATGGTCTTTGTGAGAAAACTTCGAAACTTCATGCCCACAAAATTAAGTGAAAAAAAATTCACAGTTATATTGAAAATAACCGGAATAAAGACACTAACAATGCCACACTGTAGGAAACCATTTATTTACAGCAGTTCAAATAGGTTAACAAAACAACAAAGATATATATACCATTTAACTTAGACCTGACATTAAAGGCACATATGCCTCAGAAATGGATTAATGTATACTTCTTCAGAAAGGCCAATCATGAGATTTTGATTATGTTAAAATAAAGGTTTTAAGAGTATGTTATAGATGCTTATTATATTATCTTAATAAAGCAGTGCTAAATGTAAACTTATTTGTCGTGACAATAGCAAATTTAACAAAGTAGTATTTTGACTTCCATACAAAATATTAAACCACTATAATTGTACTATTTGCCAACAGAAATGCAACAGAAGAAAATGGTTCAGATAATTTGCCAATGAGTAACATTTTGGAAACTATAAAATAATACAAAAAAATAAAAGCTGTTGAGAAATAAAAACAAGCGCTTTGAAGAAAGAGAAAACATTTTTTGCACGATATTCAAGACATTAAACAAAACATTACTTCGATCAAACACTTAAGGCAGTAATGTCTCTTTAACCCCCGCCGGAACACACGTTACATTTCTGTATTTTACATCTAATTTGTCGTTTATACGCACAAGTACTAAATATAACCGTTACTAACTCAATGAGTATTAAAATGGATCAAAATGGATGGAAAATATCCAAACGAAAGCTCTAATTTATATACACATATTATGAATACATTATAATTAGCATGCTAATTAATATACTTTTTGTATACAAGACAACAAATTTCAAAACGTAATTCCGAGTTTAAAAGAACAAACATGCTATGAATACAATATACAACATTATCATATTAACTCATTGTATCTTCATAAAGTTATAGTTCTGGAAATGATTCCTCGTGTTTCCGTTTTTTATTTTTCTTATGTTTTTTATCTTTCTTGTTCGTTTTTTCCTCCTCTTTCACTGCCGGCGGCATCACGTGACTCTTGTTCCCTCCAAATTTGCTCAACGTTTCCCGTAAATGATAAATCTTCTCGTCCCTTGCAGTCCGCCAATCGTTATAACCAAGGTGATCCGTATACTGAAATTTGAATCTTTCTTTTGGTGGCATTGTCAAACGCTTGACAATTTCATCCACTTCCGGTTTAGGAATGTTTCGGAATGCCTTTGCTTTCGGAAGTTCTATGTCGTTTTTCGAGTCGTACTCCATAAATGGTCGATTTCTCTGCCGCTTTATTCTATCTGCGTCTAAATCATTCAAAAACCCAGGCTGGAAAAAAACAACAAAAAAACATGTTTGTATCACTTGTAGCATACCTCATAAAGCTTCTCTTAATCATACTATATATATTATAAATTATCATATAAGACAAACCCGTTCTCGGCTTGAATATGATATACGTATGTGCAAATATTGACAATTGCTATACAGTATTTTTGTTAATTTGAAATAAAAATGTTGGACTTCACACAAAGTGAATATAATTTGCAAAAAATCCTACACACTATAAATAGACACAATATGAATATCAGTGTCATTAAAAAAAACTGGCAGTTATTTTTTAAGAAAGGACCAACTTTACGTGTACTATAGACGAGTAATAAAGAACGCAGATTCCCATACAAAGTTTGTACGTTATCATTGTAAGACGCTATCACCTAAAAAGTAACTCTGAATGTGAAATTATTTGTTAAAAACAGTAGCAATATGTAAACAAAGTAGTATTTTGATTTCCATAAAGAATTACATCACTATAGATGTACTAAATGCCGAAAACAAAGACTGCATGTAATTGCCCAATTAGAAACATTTTCTAAACTATAACAAGACATGAAAAATAAAATGTTTTTGACAAATATACATAAAAGCATTTCTTGGGAATAATGGGCCTTTATCTAACAATATTCTTGCTCCAATTAATATATACGTATATATACATGTATATATTTAAATATTCAACTGGAAAATGGTGGGTGTGTTTTAATCATATATTTGTTCGAAGATTGGTGTTATAGGCAACTTATTTCTATTCACAACAGTTGTGGGATATTTTAAGATCTTTATGTAATAGAATAGTGCTAGTAAGTTAAATGCTGGTCTTGAAAAAAATATTTGTAAAGAAATCTGAAACAAAACTTTCAAACACTGAAAGAATCAAATTCAAGAGAGAATGTATATGATGTTTATATTGACCATTTCGCCCTCTAGCTGAATTAGAGTTACTGATTTGCTCTGTTTTGAATTTGGCACTGTCGTTAACAAATTTAAGTGATTCCAATGCATGCATCAAAATACAAGAATTTAAAACAAATTACAGAAAAATGCGTAGACAGAATGCATGGATGTGCAGGCTGACCTGGTTCAAAATTCTATACTGGTGACAATAGCCAGTCTCTTTCGTTTCAAGTTTGCAGGCCAGGGGCTTTTAAGCCTTATACTCACCTTGTATTGTGGCGACTTTCGTTTAGCCGGTTCTTTTAATGATCTTGTGGTATAGAGATGCTGAATATTCTTCTGACACACTCCTACGTAACCGATGCTAAATGCCATCGAAAATTGATATAAATCAACAAAATCCACAGCAGTTCCGCTGATTAAGATTTCCTTAAAACACCAACGCAGCTCAGGAACCTTGTGATGTTTTTAGAATTAATTCAGTTATCTTTTTACACTCAAACTTTACTTTTTCACTTTACCGGAAAGAAACGACAGGGATATAAAATAACGAAAAACAGATATACAAGTTTATTTCAGAGTTCCATTTTTGCAACTAAGCTTTCTTAACAAATCTTGACAGCGTTTTTCAATGTACAATCATTCCTTTTGTCTATATATATCTATTATATAACACATCTAAATCATTGTCACTGTTTATTGTTTCATTATGAAAATATTTCGTAATTTAAAGCATTTTTCTTAAAATTTCAACAATACTATAATGTTACGTATGTTCCTTACTATTGTCAACCATTTTTAAAAGCCTGTTGTGATACTATAGTGTGCTTCTATAAGGTATCATAATTGTCTTTTTAAATATTTTAGCACTGCGCTGACAAATATATCTAGAAGCATTATCAGAAGGGGATATCTACGAAAGACCGACGGGGACTTTTCAACTTTACAAATTCCCATTTTCATCTTCATGAATTCCATGAATTCACGTTTTCAACATACGAAATTCACGATTTCAGCTTCATGAATTCACGCTTTCAACTTTACTCATTTCCGATTTAATCTTCACGAATTCACTATTTTAACTTCACGAATTTAACTTCGTGAATTCACGATTTCAACTTTACAAATTCGCGATTTCAACTTCACGAAATCACGATCTCAAATTCATGAATCCCACTTCGTGAATTCACGATTTCATCTTCACGAATTCACGATTCCAACTTCACGAATTCACGATTTCAAATTCATGAATTCACGATTTCGACTTTGCGAATTTAACTTTATGAATTCACGATTTTTATTTCACGATATGATTTCAACAGTTGAAGTATAAAGTGAATTCGTTAAGTTGAAGTTGCAAAGGTGAATTCGTGAATTTAAAAACGTGAATTTTGAAGTTTAATTCGTATGAAACTGGGAATTCATGAAGATGAAATGTCCCTACCGGACTTCCGTAGATATCATTCATTCTTCAATTAAATTGTGCTAAACTTAGATAGGCGGATCATAGCATACAAATCAAGACAATAAAGATGTTTATCTCAATGACAAATCACGGGCTATTAAATACCAAAAGGGTATTTAACAACTTAACAAATTTGTTCGATGAAATGTGAAAAAGCCACTAATGATCACGATGGTATTTAAATGCAGATTAACACAAATACCCTTTTGTGTTTTGCTGTACCATGCAAGTTTAGGCGGTAGGGATAAACAAAACAGTTTGATAGATTGAATCGAACAGAGATAAATACCGCAAAAGATAGTAAGATAAAAAAAATTGGTTTGGACCATTTACGAACAAACACTTCTAAAGTGTTTAAGTTTACAAAAAATTCAAATTTTAATTATGATCAATAACCTGATAAGATGTTGAAATAAAGTAGTGTTTTAAAAAACGTTCTCGTATTTATATTGATCGTTTTGTTTCTCTTTTCACTGATTGTATAGATACATGTTATAGAGAAACGTTTATTTATTATAATTATATAATTAAAGTAAAAAGCAATGAAAAAAAAACACTGTTAGACTTCCGTGAAATTCCGTCAACACTCGGATATTGATGTTATGATGGCTGATTTGCGCAATGTCGTACTTTTGCTCCCTGGAAGCCTTGCGCAGCGCCGCGCGAAAATCCGACATGGCACACATTAGCCACCATAATATGGGTGGCAAAAGTGAAATTTTTCAAATAATATATAAGAACGTCAGCAACTCAGGATATAAACGTGATGTTAAAAAATGATACTTTAAACTTACGTTTAATGTAGAACAAAATAATTATGTAACTCTACGAAAAGCGCAACATTATATTGTATATACATACCGTATAGTTCAACCCTTAGCGTATTTGCGGCGATAGATTTTACCCATGCGACCAGTGCTGACCAATATTAGCCGGTACATCCCTGCCGTCTGATCATGGTCTGCACTTTTTGCTTATCAGTCAAGTCATATTCTAAAACTTTTCCTTAAAATGATGACTGATTAAGGTGAAAATCTATACAAGATTACTTAGCTATAAAATGGTTAAATTGTTTCAACTACAAGGTGTGTAGTTTGTTAGTTTAAATTATGTCAGTATTTCATCAATGCAACATCACACCAGAATGTTAAATAATTCATGCTAACGTTTCCTTACAATACTTGCAGTTCCTACAAACAAATACCCATGTTCCGTTAGCTTTTATTTCAAACAAGCAATTTCGTTGAATTTATATCCCCCGCCAAGTACTGCTTATTTCTAACACAACAGCTGGAGGCATAAGGCTTTATTTACATAAATTTATCTTAGCATGCAAATTTCCTTTTCGTATTGATGGTTTCCATAAAGTCTTGTTGAAAACATTCCAGGAGTTGAAAAGAAATAGCAATATTGCTCTATATGCATACTGCATAACTAATCACGGGCCATAACTCTGTGTTGAAGATCTGACCGTAACAAAGCAACGATATACACATCTCCTTTTGGTATTGATGGTTTTCATAAAGATTCGTTGAATTCCAGCCAGTAGTTGCAGAGAAGAAGCGCGGAAACGATTATTGCTCTATATGCATACTATATAACTAATCAAGGGTCATAACTCTGAGTTAAAGAGCTTGACCGGAACAAGGCGACGATATGCGCATCTCCTATTGCTATTGATGGTTCCCATACAGTTTCGTTGAAATCCAGCTAGTAGTTGCAGGGAACTAGCGCGGAAACGAAATTCGGACGGACGGAAGGACGAAGGCACGAACATGCAGGCTGGCCTGGCTAGGGCTTATCACGCTCAGTGCAAGCAGGTTAATGGTTTAGTCACACCGGCACTTCCGGCGTTCTTGTTGTGCCATATATATTGCCGTCCATCGCGTTCAAAGGTTGACACACGCCAATGAGAAGTGGTATCGCAAACAATACGATACAAGGGAGATAAACAACTATACCATCTACAATATCAATCATTAAGCAGAGTTCTCGTTCGTCCCGCCTGAGTGAAAATGGTTTCGAAAATGTCACTCTATTAATTATTTTACAATTTCTTTGTAATTTTCATTGATATGAAAATTGAATCCAAAACAAAACGCGTTTTGTTAAAAGAATAATAACATTTGCACGAGACACACATATATTACTTTCGTAAATAACACAAGAGAATCAAACGGGCAATGAAAACTAATTGAGTGGAAACGTTCAAATGAAATACGACACCGCACAGCTTTAAACTGAAAACAATGGAATTTGTTTTTATCTACTGTGAAAATTAAGTCAATGTCTGTGTACAATAGAATAAAAGTTGTAACGTTAAATAATGTATGCAAACAGTGTTCACTTACAAAGTCATAAAGAAGTATATTCTATATATGCATCGTTTTATGATAAAATTGATAAATTAATATAAAACTGTTCTGAGGATAGAATATTTGTTGGAAGTATCTTTTTGAAAAAACATTTAACTGATTTTACATCGCTATTCGTTTCTGCTGAGAAAAATATAATATGGATATCAACTGTTTTATTGTGATCTGAATTGTGACATAAGAATTCCAAAATGTCGACAGGATTTCGATATTCGTATCGTGACATCACAAATCTTGATATCCGTCACATCTATAGTGGCAACATAGTGTCCAGTGGCTATCGCCTTCGACCACCTGTATCCCATGACGGAATTAATTACCTGGACAGAATCCACGAAAACATGATACGAGCAAAGGCTTTTAAATGGCCAGAAAAATCATTTGAATATAATCGCAAATATAAAACCGTGATGCCACGTGCGCCAGCATTTGAGACGCTCTCCAGAAAGAAGGTAGAAAATGTCGTGGAAAGGCTAACTAGTCCAAGTGATACGAATGAACCTAAAGAAGAGCAAGAGACGTCAGGAACGGATAGTGAACCGACAGAAACTGTTGTTGCAACAGACGACAAACCTGTGACGTCATCTGAGTCTAACAAAGCAAAGGGAAAGCAAGATTCTGACAAAAATGGTACCAGCAATGTGTTTGACAGACTGTACCGCTCTAAGACTCAAATCACTATATTAAGACAGCGGGAAAAGGTTGTCTTGCAACCAAAGTCAGCAACTTCAAATAGGAAAGCTAAAAAGAAATGATACAGTCGGTAAAGAACGTTTTCTCATCAACGGCGTAACTTAAGAGATGATACAAAAGTGACATATTTATTTGTTTTGTTTTTATTTATCTTTTCATTTGTATTAAACAATTCCATTCTGTATTAAAAAAAAATAATTTATTTATCTATCTATTTTATTTTATATCTATGTATTTTATTTTCATTTATCTTTTTATTTGTATAAAATAATTACATTCTGTATAAAAATCTAACTTTTATTTTTCCATTTATTTATTTATTTATATTTTATTTTTTTATTTATTTATTTATTTATTTATTTATTTATTTATTTATTTATTTATTGCTCTTCAAATTGTATTGTTTACTCTAGAAAATCAGTTAATATTTAACTTTTCTTGTAATATATTAAAACGTTTTTCCAAAGTTTGCGTTGACATACATGTAAAAGATACATCAATTTTCAATTGTCTCATTCTATTTCATACGTACTTACTGTATTACTACATTAAATTTGTAGTATTCATTACATCTCACAATCAGACTTTATCAAATAGACTGTAAATTATTCATTTTTTATTTTTGTTTCAATTGCTCCCAGAGAATCTCCACTTTTCTAGACTATTTACCGCCTAAGAATAAAATATACGAACTGGTATAACTGGAAAAATATCATCAGCAAATAACAATACCTTAAATCAGCTATCGTACAGATTTTTGTCAATGTCTTACTATGCCGAACAACGTTAATTTCTTCTCCCCTTAACGTTCAATAATTTACGAATTTGCTGATGGTGATGGATTTGTAGCTAAAGACAATTTTGTTAATTTGTGATCGGCAGAAAAAGAGAGAGAAAAACGAGAGTAAAACATATAAAAAATGAGTTACTAATATAAGAACTGAACTGTATTCGTTTTAGACAATTATTTTTCAACTACAAAATTTGAAGAAAAAAATCTCATGTTCATTATGTCCCATTATGAAAGGATTTATATCTTATATCAATAGTTATGTCTCAAATAATACAGTGAATAGAAAAATGTGTAAACAATATGAAGTAAAACTTTTCAATCATTCATTCCACTCTAGATATCAGTGTCATTAAAATTACGCCAACACCGTGACACAATTCTTTTGTTCAAACTTTTTCAGTCTGCCAAATAGAAATGGCTAAATGTGAACCAATTTTAATTTGATATTAAATGGACACGTTTATATAAAGGTGTTAAAATGGAACTATAGTATATCTTAACATTATTTTGTGTATACAATTTTTATTCGTTAAAAAAGATATTAATTAACATTTTGTTCAAATAAGATGTGACAAGCAATATAATGACGTCAAGTTTCGAATATTCAAGCGGAAGTTCAAAAGACAAGAAAAAGAGGCGCCAAGCAAAGCGAAACTTGAAAATAGCATTAGATAAATATGATTTTCGAGAAAATCCAAATCAGTTGACTGTTCTAGATCGAGTAAAAGAAGCCCAGATTAAAAGACGAGCGTCAAAATTACCACGAAAATGTTTCGAATATTCGCAGCAATACGACATTGTCCTACCTAGTGCGCCTGCGCTAAGGTCACTTCCGCGGAAAACTGTAGACTCCTTGGTTAACAGGCTTTATCCATTCAGAAAAATTACAAGGCGGAATGAGGATGACAATGAAGAAGAGCAGAAGCTATCGACAGCAAACAAAGACAATCAAAATAAACAAAAGATTGATTCATTTAGAAGGTGTTCATATTGTGATTCCCATGAATCAATATCCGCCAGAAGGAAGCATTCGAAAAAGACACCACAACAAGTTCAAGACATGATAGACAGACTTTCTGTTGCTAAGTTGCATGACAGTGACTTCCGGTTTGGAAAGCTTATTCGATTCCGAAGCGTCAGATCACTTAGCGAATATGAAGATCCACCTTCACATTTTCAGAGTATGACGTCATTGACTTCCGGTTTAAGTAACACGTGTAGTTTTCAAACGGCTCCACCCAAAAAGGCCTCGTCTGTACCTAAATTACCACCTATTAACAGTCACAACAGAACTGTTTCGTCTGATGGGGTAGATGGTTTAACAGTCACTGTAATATTGAAGAACAAATCGAAGTCAGTTGACGAAAAATCAATTGAGAGATTAATAAAATCGTCTTCACTTAATCGGAACGATATGAATCTTCACCAAAGTGCACGATCAATACAGTCACTTTAGGTTTTATTCTCGAGTTCTGCTGAATATATAAATCTTGTATTCTGGCTCAAGCTTTGTATTATGAACGTGAAGGTGTTTGATTAAAAAACGATAAAATCTAGCAGCAAACTGAATAGACTCGTCCAAGTTGCAAATACGTGTAAGAAAAACGTGACGATATTAATTAACCCTAGCGTTTTCAAATGTTATATATAATAATAGTTAAGATACATGAAACGAGTTAGTTGAAGGATATAACACTGGCTGGGGCGACATTGATGGAAGTTTCTGCTTAAAATATGTCGGGGTTGTTTGGCGAAGACAATGTTTTTGCAGCAGAAATATCCCCAGATGTCACCCAGCCAGTGTTATATCCCTGTTTCTAACGAGTTTCGTGAATTGTAACGTTTTATCGCAATTTAAAAAATATTGCAACTGAAATCAGCAAAATATTTTGTTCAGTGCTTTTCCCTCTCTTGTGCCCTTTCTCTTTTGTTTCGAAGGTAAACCCTAGAAAAAAAATGAGGCAATATATGCTAATTAATCAACGTCTTTTGTTACTGAGGATGTGTGATACCCAAACCCCATTCCAATCTCTGTAAAAACTACACTGATATATAGCAGGGTGCAAAAACCTCAACTGTTATATACCAGCTTAGTATTTTCCTTTAAAATGAAAATTAAAAACAGCACTGTTATAATTATATCTAAACAGTTTTGAAATTCTCATTGAAAGTGTACTGAATATAATAGGTAAATAAGAACAAAAAAAATCTAACCTTGTAATTCTTTAACTAAGAAATATTACCGTGCTAAATTGATATACGTATATGGCTATCACCACGAGTCCGAGTGGGAGCATTCAGAGAAAAAACACTTATCCCGTTTTCAGGCCTAAATCAGGCAATGAATCTATAAACTTTTTTTTTACAATTATCTCAAGTACTATAGCCATTCTTTGGTGCGCTACATGTTTTTTTAATACTCTTACGTTTTCTTAAAATAAAATTGAATTTTACCTTCGAGTCGACGAAAAAATGGTCCAAGTGGGAGCATTCAGCAGGTGCGCGATGACGTAGAATCCTACCATTGGAATTTAGCGTCACTAATCTTATTTCCTTGACGCTGTCCCGTGGGCTTTATTGCCATAAGAACCGTCTAATAGGCCTCACACCGTGCTTGATATTGCTTCACTAAATTCCCTGAGGCTGTTACCGTGGGTTTTATTGCCATCAGAACCGTGTAAAAAGGTTAACATCGTAGTTGATGTTAGCTTCACTGAATTCCATGAGGCTGTCAACATGGATTTTATTTTTCATAAAAACCCTCTAAAAGGCTTATCAGAGAGATTATCACTGTGGTTTTATTGTCATAAGAACCCTCTAAAAGGTTTATCATCGTTGGCGATGTTAGCTTCAATGAAATCTCTGAGACTATCATCGCGGGTTTTACTGTCATAAGAACCCTCTTAAAGGCTTATTACCGTGGGTGATGTTAGCTTCACTGAATTCCCTGCGAATGTAACCAAGGGTTTTATTGTCATTGGAACCCTCTAAAAGATTTATCACCGTGGGTGATGTTAGCTTCACTGTATTTCCTAAGACTATCACCGTTGATTTTATTGTCATAAGAACCCTCAAAAAGGGTTATCACCGTGGGTGGTGATAGCTTCACTGAATTCCCTTCGAATGTAACCATGGGTTTTATTGTCATTGGAACCCTCTAAAATGCTTATCACCGTGGGTGATGTTAGCTTCATTGTATTTCATGAGACTATGAACTTGGGTTTCATTGTTAAAAGAACCCTCTAAAAGGCTTATCACCGTGGGTAATGTTAGCTTCACTAATTTCCCTTCGAATGTAACCATGGGTTTTATTGTTATAAGAACCCCCCCCCCCCCCCTAAAACGCTAATTACCGCGGGTGATGTTAGCTTCACTGAATCCCCTTAGACTATCCCCTTAGACTATCACCGTGGGTTTTATTGTAATAAGAACCCTCTAAAAGGTGTATCGCCATTGGAGATGTAAGCTTAACTGAATCCCCTGCGAATGTAACCATGGGTTTTATTGTCATAAAAACCCTCTAAAAGGTTTATCACCGTGGGTGATGTTAGCTTCAGTGAATTCCTTGAGACTATCACCATGGGTTTTATTGTCAGAAGAACCCTCTAAAAAGCTTATCACCGGTGGTAATGTTAGCTTCACTAAATTCCCAGAGACTATCTATTTATTGTTATTAGACCCCTCTAAAAGGCTTATTATCGTGGGTGATGTTAGCTTCCATGAATTCCCTGAGGCTATCAACTTGGGTGTTATTGTCATAAGAACCCCCTAAATGACTTAACAACGTGGGTGATGTTAGCTTCACTGAATTCTCTGAGACTATCACCTTGGGTTTTATTGTCATAAAAATCCTCTAAAAGGCTTACCACCGTGGGTGATGTTAGCTTCACTAAATTCCCTTAGACTATCACCGTGGGATTTATTGTCATAATAATCCCCTCAAAGGCTTTTCATCGAGGGTGATGTTAGCTTCGCCAATTTCCCTGCAAATGTAACCATGGGTTTTATTGTCATAAGAACCCTCTAAAAGGCTTATCATAGTGGGTGATGTTAGCTTCACTAAATTCCCTGAGACTATCACCGTGACTTTTATTGTCATCAGAACCCGCAAAAAGGCTTATTACCGTGGATGATGTTAGCTTCACTGAATTTCCTAAGAACAACCCTCTAAAAGGCTTATCACCGTGTGAGATGTTAGCTTCATTGTATTTCATGAGACTATCAACGTGGGTTTTATTGTCATAATAACCCACTAAAAGGCTTATCACCGTGGGTGATGTTAGCTTCACTGAATCCCCTGCGAATGTCACCGTGGGTTTTATTGTCATAAGAACCCTCTAAAAGGCTAATCACCGTGGGTGACATTAGCTTTAGTCATTTCCCTGCGAATGAAACCATGATATTTATTGTCAGAAGAACCCTCTAAAAGGCTATCATCGTTGGTGATGTTAGCTTCACTGAATTCCCTGAGACTATCTCCGTTGGTTTTATTGTCATACGAACCCTCCTAAAGGCTTATTATTGTGGTTGATGTTAGCTTCACTGAATTCCCTGAGACTATAACCGCGGGTTTTATTGTCATAAGAACCCTATAAAAGGCTTTTCACCGTGTGTGATGTTAGCTTTACTGAATTCCCAGAGACTATCACCGTTGGTTTTAGGGCCATAAGAACCCTCTAAAAGGCTTATCACCGAATTCCCTGAGACTATCACCTCGAGTTTTATTGTCATAAAAACCCACTCAAAGGCTTATCACCGTGGGTTGTGTTAGCTTCACTGAATTATCTGAGACTATCACTTTAGGTTTTATTGTCATTAAAAAACCTTTTCTAAGGCTTATCACCGTGGTTTGTGTTAGCTTCAGTGTATTTCATGGGGCTATCAACTTGGGTTTAATTGTCATAAGAACCGTGTAAAAGCCCTTTCATCACGGGTAATGTTCGCTTCACTGAATTCCCTTACACAATCACCGTGGGTGTTAATGTCAGAAAAACCCTCTAAAAGGGTTTTATTGTCATAGGAATACTCTAAAAGGCTTATCACTGTGGCTGATGTCAGCTTCACTGAATTCTCTGAGACTATCACCTTGGGTTTTATTGTCATAAGAATCTTCTAAAAGGCTTTCCACCGTGGGTGATGTTAGCTTCACTAAATTCCCAGAGACTCATCTCCGTTGGTTTTATTGTTATAAGAACCCTCTAAAAGGCTTATTCTCGTGGGTGATGTTAGCTTCCTTGATTTCCCTGAGGCTATCAACTTGGGTTTTATTGTCATAAGAACCCCCTGAATGACTTTACAACGTGGGTGATGTAAGCTTCACTGTATTCCCTCAGACTATCACACTGGGTTTTATTGTCATAAGAATACTTTAAAAGGCTTATCGCTGTGGCTGATGTCAGCTTCATTGAATTCTCTGAGACTATCACCTTGGGTTTTATTGTCATAAGAATCTACTAAAAGGCTTACCACCGTGGGTGATGTTAGCTTCACTAAATTCCCTAAGACTTTTACCGTGGGATTTATTGTCATAAAAATCCCCTCAAAGGCTTTTCACCGAGGGTGATGTTAGCTTCGCTAATTTCCCTGCGAATGTAACCATGGGTTTTATTGTCATAAAGACCCTCTAGAAGGCTTATCATCGTGGGTGATGTTAGCTTCACTAAATTCGCTGAGTCTATCACCGTGACTTTTATTGTCATCAGAAGCCGCAAAAAGGCTTATTAGTTATTACCGTGGATGATTTTAGCTTCACTGAATTTCCTAAGAAAAAACTCATAAAGGCTTATCACCGTTCGTGACGTTAGCTTCATTGTATTTCATGAGGCAATCAACGTGGGTTTTATTGTCATAAGAACCGTCTAAAAGGCTTATCACCGTGGGTGATGGTAGCTTCACTGAATTCCCTGAAGCTGCCACTGTGGGATTAACTGTCATAAGAACCCTCTAAAAGGCTTAATCGCCGTCGGTGATGTTAACCTCAATAAATTCCCTGAGACTATCACCTTGGGTTTTATTGTCATAAGAACCTTCTAAAAGACTTATCACCGTGGATGACCTCAGCTTTACTGTATTCCCTGAGACTATCATCGTGGCTTTTATTGTCATCAGAACCCTCTGAGAGGCTTATCAATATGGGTGATGCTAGCTTCAATGAATGCTCTGAGACTATCACTGTGGGAACTATTGCCGTACGAACCCTCTAAAACGCTTATCACCGTGGGTGATGTTTGCTTTACTGTATTTCGTTAGGCTATCAACGTGGGTTTATAATTATAAGAACCCTGTAAAAGGCTTATCACCGTCGGTGATGTTAGCTTCACCGAATTCCTTGAGGCTGTCTTCGTGGCTTTTACTGTCAAAAGAACCCTCTAAAAGGCTTATCAACTTGGGTGATGTTAGCTTCACTGAATTCCCTTCGAATGAAACCTTGGGTTTGATTGTCATAAGAACCCTTTCAAAGGCTTATCACCGTGGGTGATGTTAGCTTCACTGAATTCCCTGAGACTATCACCGTGGGTTTTATTGTCATAAGAACCCCCTAAAAGGCTTATCACCGTGGGTAATGTTAGCTTCACCATGGTCGGTCAAATAGAATGGTCTGGAGTCGGACTGATTATTTTCGGTTGAATCCAAGATATTATGTTATTTACCGACCTTGATCTGGCATAGTACATCACCATTCAAAAATCATATTATAAGATAATGTTTTGTTAAATCGATCATTTTGTTACTGAAAAGTAATCATGGCTAAATAAAATTATTAAAATGAAGTTTTTACTTTTAAAGGTAACAATTTTATAGATTTGCAATGAAAAAAAGAATTTTTCGTACCCGGTGTCAAGGTAAAGATTTACTGCTCATATTTGAAAATAGGTGAGAGTTTTATAAGCTTTTTTAAATTGATCCATTGTTCAATTGGAAAATAGAAATTGATTTTAAAGAGAAAAAATGTTATTTAATAGTATCATGTAAAAAGTTTAAAATATTTTACGAGGTTATTTGCAAATATTTGATGTTTATTTTGGTGAATTTCAAAATGGGCCGTTTATCGGCATTTTCTGAACAAGCAAATTATACCAAGTTCTGCCGAGTTATGCTTAATTGTAGCGAGAAGAGTTTATATAGCGCGTTTCCGGACCATTCTTTTTGAAAGACCCTAGCTTCACTGAATTCCCTAAGGCTGTCACCGTGGGTTTTATTGTCATAAGAACCGTCTAAAAGGCCTTACACCGTGGGTGGTGTGAGCTTCACTAAATTCCCTGAGACTATCACCGTGGGTTTAATTGCCATGAGAACCGTCTAAAAGGCCTTACATCGTGGGTGGTGTGAGCTTCATTGTATTTCATGAGGCTATCAACGTGGGTTTCATTGAAATAAGAACCCTCTAAACGGGCTATAACCGTTGGTGGTTTGAGCACCACTGTTTTCCTTTAGGCTATCACCTTTAGTTTTAGTGCAATGAGAATCCTCTTTAAAGGCCTAACAGCGTGGGTAAGATGAGCTTCACTGTATTCTTTTAGGCTGTCACCATGGGTTTTATTGCTATAAGAACCCTCTTAAAGACCTATCACCGCGGGTTGTGTGAACGTCATTGCATTTCATGAGGCTATCACCGTCAGTTTCATTGCCATAGGAACCCTCACAGTAGGATTGGTGAGCTTCATTGTACTCCCTGGTCCATCAACGTGTATGGTTTGAGCTTCTCGGTATTCCCTGAGGCTATCATCGTTGGTTTAAATCGTTGGTTTCAATGGCTTAAGAACCCTCTTAAACGCATATCACCGTTGGTTGTGTAAGCGTCACTGTACTCCATGAGGCTATCACCGTCAAGTTCATTGCCATATAAACCAATAAAAAGCCTATCACCGAGGTTTGTTTGAGTGTTACTTACTCCAGGAGGCAAATACCGTCGGATTCATTAAATAAAAAATCTCTCAAGGCATATCACCGTGGGTTTGGGGAGAGTATTTGTACTATCATTCAGGATTCAATTGCGATAACAACTATTTAAAAGGCTTATCACCTTGGATGGTTTGAGGTTCATTGGATTCCATAATGCTACCACTGTCGGTTTTATTGCCACTAGAAAACCCTCTAAAAGGCCTGTCACCGTAGGTTGAGTGGGCGTCACTGCATTCCCTGATGCTATCACCGTCGTTTGTATTGCCATAGAACTCTTTACAAGGCCTTTTATCGTGGGCTTGGTGAGCGTCATTGCATTCCCTGACGCAATCACCGTCGGTTGTATTGCAATAAGAACCCTCTAAAAGGCCTATCACTGTGAATGAGGAAGCGTCACTGCCTTTACTGTGGCAAAAATCCCCGGTTGTATTGACATAAGATCCCTCTAAAAAGCCCATTACCGTGGGTGAGCGTCACTACATTCCCTCGGGCTATCAACTTTGATTGTATTGACATGATCCCCCTCTAAAAGGCCTGTGATCTTGGGTTGGGTGAGAGTCACTGAGGCTATTACTGTCGTTTTTTTCAATAAGAACATTCTAAAAGGCCTATCACCGTGGGTTGCATGAGCGTCTCTACATTCAACGAGGCTTACACCTGATACTGCTATATAGAACGCACATCTACTATACAATAACTGATTAATATGTTGATATTTCCAAAATTGTCCATGTATGTGTATTCAACTAGCACTATAAAATCCTAAGGGTAACGAATCATGGACACCCGTGGGTATATCTCACCAGATCGCAACCCGTTCCGATTGTTATTACGGTCTCGACGGTTTTTAGTTAGACCGAAAGATGGCTGCCGCAACTGAATCTCCAAATATTTCAAGCGGTTATTCGCCTCAAGTACGCTCATTGAATAATATTCTTCTGCATGAAAATGTTACTAAAATAATTTTACATTTGCTATTTAGTGAACTCGATTGATTAATAAAATCTAAATGACAATATTACGTTTTGTTATATGTTTTCGCGACGATATTTTGACAAATTTTATAAGTTTTTAAGTTATGATAAAGATCGCCGATAAAGATATCTAAGGGGGCAGGGGACCTAAAAATGAAAAATTTTGTATTTCAGTGTGACCAGAAACACAATTCCAAATATTTCAAAATCTGTTTCACAGGCAGATAACCAGTTGCACAGCATTATTCAATGATATATATGACATACATTGAAGAAAATAATAGTTTGCATGCATTGCTCCTTCAAAAAATGACTGACAGCAATTTATATTCACCCCCACCCAGCCAAAATCACACCTAAAATGTACCAATATAGGCAATCTTCATGAAGGTGCAGCATACTCCAGAATCCGCCCGATTCCTTTAAAAATATCAGTAACACGCAGTGCAAGCTATGGCATTTTCAGAAATGACAAATAAAGTGTCTGTCATACGTTTAGATTTTTCACAAAATTTATCTGAAATTTCTTACTTGTTTGGCGCCAACTGTCAAAGCTTGATTTTTAACTTTTTCACCTCCATTCGGAGAGTCAGAAATACATACAAAGCTACCAAAATGCATAGTTTCGGGTAAAAACCCAAAAATATATCTCATTTCCTACACACAAACAAGAAAGAATTACAGTGACAGAGAAATATCAGAAGTTATCAGTACCTTCAAAACACCATGTCTGAGTTATTAAAAAATTTGACCAGGGCCATCATTTGAATATGTCCCCTGCCCCCTTAAGATTTTTTATGTGATTCGCATTAAAGTGTTTCCTTTTATTTTCTTAAAATATGGAGTATTTCGCATTAAACGTTAACTTCGAAAAGTGAATACTGCTGTTACTTTGTATTTAATCAAATATTTAAAAAAGACCCTATTTCAGGGGAAGTAACTAGTACAATGACTATGCCTGTTATATGATTTACTTAATATCAAGTGCCAGGAACCTGTGAGATGGTTATTTTTCTGTATTCCACCTTTATTTAAATACCATAAAGTATTTTCAGAGTATTTAAAGTCTTTTGGAAGGAGATTATAGCAAGAAAAACAATATTACAGCCACAATTAATGTCCCAAAATGAATTTCACAGGAAACCAGACCCCATTCATTCTTGCATACACCTAAAAGTGCAGTAAAGATACCACTGTTGACTTATATGACATTATGTACATTTGTAACAATTAAAAGTGCTCAATTATGCATTATTATGTCAATTTGCACAATATAAAACTGTTAAATCTGGATAAATGTGCACATTCTGTGAAGTACAGTGTTTGCCAAAATTCCAAATTTTTATTACCTCCCTTGACTTGACAGTCTACTTACTCTACATAACTTGATAAATCCTACCAGTCACTTCAAATTTTGACTAACAAATGTAGAAGGAATGTTTATGGGCACATTTGGGTCAATTCCAACACATTTTATAAATTTGAAAATTTCCTTAAGGGGGCAGGGGACCTAAAAATGAAAAATTTTGTATTTCAGTGTGACCAGAAACACAATTCCAAATATTAATCTGTTTCACAGGCAGATAACCAGTTGCACAGCATTATTCAATGATATATGACATACATTGAAGAAAATAATAGTTTGCATGCATTGCTCCTTCAAAAAATGACTGACAGCAATTTATATTCACCCCCACCCAGCCAAAATTACACCTAAAATGTACCAATATAGGCAATCTTCATGAAGGTGCAGCATACTCCAGAATCCGCCCGATTCCTTTAAAAATATCAGTAACACGCAGTGCAAGCTATGGCATTTTCAGAAATGACAAATAAAGTGTCTGTCATACGTTTAGATTTTTCACAAAATTTATCTGAAATTTCTTACTTGTTTGGCGCCAACTGTCAAAGCTTGATTTTTAACTTTTTCACCTCCATTCGGAGAGTCAGAAATACATACAAAGCTACCAAAATGCTTAGTTTCGGGTAAAAACCCAAAAATATATCTCATTTCCTACACACAAACAAGAAAGAATTACAATGACAGAGAAATATCAGAAGTTATCAGTACCTTCAAAACACCATGTCTGAGTTATTAAAAAATTTGACCGGGGCCATCATTTGAATATGTCCCCTGCCCCCTAATAACAAGCTTCTTTAAATGTTTATTACAACATAGTTTGATGAATTTTTAATAGTTTGATAAATTTCAGATTTTGAAAACTACCACATAAACTTGAAATTTAATTTTTTATAGGCAGGGCCTCAAACTGCTCAAGGTCTTTGAAAGAAATTGTACAGTAACACAGATATACGTACAATATACATACATACATTCTATATTAAGCTCCATGACATTAATTAAGTCCATCGTCGACTGCACACTTTATTATTTCAATACACTTAGAACTGCACATTTTCGGGAACAATACAATCAACCCAACCACACACTATATACGGCCATTTCATGTTTTAAATGATTTCTAAATTGAATCAAATTATCACCCCGTCACAGGCCTTCAGAGAACAATGAACATGCATGCACTTAAAATCCAATTTCGGGCTTAATAATTCTATTTCAGGAAAAGGATATTGTGAAACGGGAACCGACGGGAAGTTGAACCGCAGTTTATTTGAATTATGATAGAATAATTTTTTGTATTGCACTTTTAGATATGATACAATTACATTATTATTTGTTATAACTGCTCAATCAAATCATCACATAACTTTTTTCCAATAATGTCATATAATGAAAGTAACCAGTGCAGCAGATTGCTTGTCTTTATTTTTGTACAGAGTATTTTCATTGGTCTGAGGTATTCACAGAACCAAGGAAAATATTCCGTACTCTCAAACCACAGGGCTATATTTAAATTTTTTGTAATAAAAGTCTCTGTTCTGACCAAGGCAGATATGAACTAAAGTATAACAAGTACAATCATGTTTTATGGTTAAATGTGAGGAAACATTGGTTTTTAGATACCGGAATGAAAGTCAGCAAATAGCAAGTTTATATATGATAAATTTCAGTTTGATTCTTTCTGTAAAGATGGGGGAAGCTTATTTGCCATTGAGGTGCCCGATGGGTGGGGCAGGGCTTAGTTTTAGGGTCAAGGGGCGTGGGTAAACTTTAAAAATAACATTTCTTTATATTAAGAATATTCAGAATTCACAGAATTTTCTTTCAGGAAATTTTGCAAGAAGTTCGTAACTTCCTTCATGGTGCCAACTACAAAGCACAAAATCAAAAGCAGCGTGAGTCTCTGGCACAGTCTGCCCTGATCCTTCTCCGGACCTTGCCAACTGCCAGACATGCTGTTTTGGAGTATATGGCAAATATGTTTGACGAGGCGGTGAATAATTATCTTCTTGAGATGGATATAGGCCATAAAGTCACAGGTACGTTTTGTAATGTTGTTGTGTTTCTTAAAGTGACGTTTAACACATTTTTTCATTGCCATAAGTTGAGCTGAATTAACTTAATGTATCTCAAAAGATTGACTGTTATAATGGTGATTGACCAACAGTTGATATTAGAAAATGTTTTGGGATAAAATATAAATCTGTCAAAATATAAAAAGACTGCGTCTGAAAAAAATTTCGGCTAATATTGTTATGCACCTGATTGTCTGTCTGTTAGTTTGCCTTTTGAACCGGTGAAAGGAAATTGAAACTTCTTGACATCAGAGGCAATGTGCAGAGTGCAGGATTGTCCTTTCTTAGGCCATGGTCACACTTAGTCATTTTGTATCGATTTCAAAATTTTGTGTCTGCTCCGTATCTTTTGAACCGATAGAAAGAATTTTTGACAGAAGTACAACTTAAAATAATATGGTGTGCAGAACACAGGTTTTGGCTTCCGGAGATCAAAATTGTTCCAGCCCCGAGGATTACTTGATTTACAATGTATAAAGACTTAAATAGGAAATCACATCTTAATTCTTTCTGGATAAATACTATGCCTCTATATTTGGCATATAGCATTATTAGCATTCATTATTTCATACATGTAAAGCCAAAACTAATTTTAGTCAACTAAAAAAAAAAAAGAGTCTTTAAAAAAGAGAAAAGGGAAATGAAAATTGCAGAGTCAGCGGTTTTAAAAAAAATAAGGGGAACTGGTAAGGAGAATTAAAATAGAACTTTTTTCATATAAACAGATACAGGCAGTCAAGTGATAGACAGTTTCTTACATGATGCGTGTGGAGTTCTGCATGCCTTTATACAGACTAACTCCGTGGCCTGGGCTCCTATCATTTCATCAGTAAGTGTTGATATTACATTATTAATCAAATTAGTAATTGTTGGTAAGTAAAATATAGTTGAATGCAGATCTGGTGGTCCAACCAACAAGATATAACCAGAAGTGTATTTAAGGCCCATTTAGCCTAAAAAATGTTAATATTTTTATTTTTCAAAAAACTTTCATATTTATTTGTGCCCTGTTACAGTTTCCAAAATGTAACTCATTGGCCAGTTAGCTTAACAATCTTTTGTTAGTATTTGTTATCTTGAATGGAAAGCAAAATAGTTTATCTGTTGCCTAAACCAACAAAGCTGTTACTCAGGTTGGAAATGCTGGTGTTTTTTAAGATTGACAAAGTATAATTGAAGTTTTGTTAGACAATTTAGAAATCCAGTTTCTTTATTTGAAACTTTTGAACCAACCTTGTCATTTATAAGTAATTAGTAATTATTCCGAATAAACATTAGGCAATATAACCACAAGCAATTTTGATAACTGCAAAATGACTTGTATGAATAAATTGATAAAAGTCTGGTTAAAAAAAAAGTTACTTCATCATTTAAAGTATAATGTATGTATTGAAATTTAATATCCTATGTCAAATCAATCAGTAGTGTACCTGAATCTCTGCAGCCCCAATGAACATCTGTAAAGTGGTAGCGTGACAAGTAAAATGTTAAAAATAATAAGCATGGAAAGGGTAGTGGTTTATTTATATTTCAGTGGTCGTTAGAATTGCTAGGTCATATCAGCAGTAAATATGCGGACAGACGTGGTGTTCCTCATACTGGTAGCCTGAACGAGCTCCTACAGTTATGGTTAACTTGTGTACCAACTAAATTGCTGATTGAAGTAGCCACCGAGTGTTTTGCTCAAATGTGAGTTTGAGTTTTATTCTGGTAACAAACTGTTTTTATAAACATCTGAAGTTAGGAAGGTTAATTTGAAAGGACAATCACATGAATATTGACATGTCAATGGTCTCTGAGTGCCTGAAAACGTGGATGGACACTCATTAAGCCTAAAATGCATACATACAAGGTTAATGTGATATTTTTGCTTTTAGTTTTTAGCTCGACTATTCGATAAGAATAAGTAGAGCTATTGTAGTCACCCGAGCGTCGGCGTCAGTGTCAGCGTCTGCGTCGGCGTAACCACTTATGTTAAAGTTTTTGTAATAGTTTTAATATTTTCAAAGTCCATTGACATATGGCTTTGAAACTTTGCACACTTGTTCACCATCATTACCCCAACCTGTAAACAGGAGGAGGTAACTCTATCAAGCATTTTGACAGAATTATGCCCCTTTTTCGACTTAGAATTTATGTTAAAGTTTTTGTAATAGTTCAAATATTTTCAAAGTCCATTGACATATGGCTTTGAAACTTTGCACACTTGTTCACCATCATTACCCCCAACCTGTAAACAGGAGGAGGTAACTGTATCAAGCATTTTGACAGAATTATGCCCCTTTTTCGACTTAGAATTTATGTTAAAGTTTTTGTAATAGTTCAAATATTTTCAAAGTACATTGACATATAGCTTTGAAACTTTGCACACTTGTTCACCATCATTACCCCAACCTGTAAACAGGAGGAGGTAACTGTATCAAGCATTTTGACAGAATTATGCCCCTTTTTCGACTTAGAATTTATGTTAAAGTTTTTGTAATAGTTCAAATATTTTCAAAGTCCATTGACATATGGCTTTGAAACTTTGCACACTTGTTCACCATCATTACCCCAACCTGTAAACAGGAGGAGGTAACTGTATCAAGCATTTTGACAGAATTATGCCCCTTTTTTAACTTAGAATTTACGTTAAAGTTTTTGTATTAGTTCAAATATTTTCAAAGTCCATTGACATATGGCTTTGAAACTTTGCACACTTGTTCACCATCATAACCATAACCTGTAAACAGGAGGAGGTAACTGTATCAAGCATTTTTTTTACTATCAAGCACTAAGAATAGTCGAGCGTTGCTGTCCTACCGACAGCTCTTGTTTTATGTGCAGGTTGATTTTTGAAGGGGCTGATACTAGGTCAATAGTCATTTGTATTGTCTCAGGGACAAAAATCTTTGCCAAATAATTTGTATTTTTTATTGCCAAAGGTGATTTTTGTAATTGTGGCAGAATTTTTATCTTTTATTTATAGTATCATTAATATATTGATGTAGAATGGGCCTTTAAGGTGTATTTCGATAAAACAAATATAATATTGAATGCATAAGAATAATAAATATGTTTGATCATTTTAATGTATTCAAATTTTGTTTCTTTTCATTGAATAGGGTAAGTGGAGCGCCAGAAAACTGCGTGGATTCTTTGCTTGAAGCGTCCGTGAAGTATACTCCTCATTTTGACTGGGTAGTTGCTCACATAGGGTATGTATTATCAAACGGTACACAAATCTTCTCTCTCCCCAGCTAGCTTCAGAAGGTCAGTGGTTCTATACTCAGGTGCCCCCTTAAGGTCGGTGGACTCAGGTGCCCCCTAAAGGTCAGTGGTACTACTCAGGTGCCAGCTTGTACTGAAATATCACGATTTTGTGAAATTATGATGGTTCAGTGAGAATTGGCACTCTGTAGAGCAATTATCTCTTACTATCAATTTTTCCAAAGCAATGAAGCAACCTTTCTATACCAACAGCTTTTAAAGCAACAACCAAAATATCTGTCTACCAAATGGTGTGCCTCTGCACACAGGTATTAATGTAGTGGTGGCATGGCCAGATGGTTAACATGCCAGTGTAGTAATGTAACAATTGCTGGCTGCGTGGGCTCGAACCCTGTCCGGGGCAAGTTATTGTTTTTATGAGCAAGAAACTTTACCCTTGTTGCTTTGTAAAAGTTTTTTTCCAGGAATGGATTCAAGGGTGTTTCAATAAGTTTATATAACTTCCAACACAATTAGATTAAAATAAATTTGTATAAACGAAATTAATGTACAATTATTTACCCGTTGATTATTGATTTACTTGAAACATGCCTCTTCTTTCTATGGTAACGATTTTTTACACGTATATCCTGTTAGGAATCCTTTGTTGTTTTATGTTAAAAAGATAATTACCTGGCTAGCTGAACATTGATACATGTAGTTCAACTTGTTTTTTAGATGAAAATAGCAAAATAGCAAAATAGCAAAATAAACAAACTTAAATTAATTCAATAACCTGTCTGCTAAAAAATCAACATATATTTCATATTGTCATGTTATACATGACCTGAGTATTAAATAAACTTGTAAACTTATAAATTTGATTAAAGAAAGTAATGAGTAAAAAACTTCTTATGTTGATTCTATATTTGTATCTCAAATTAAAGAGGTACTGAACTAAGATATATGTAGATGGTATACAGGTTTATGTTATAGCAATAAAATAAGAAATAAAACAGAATAAAATTTCCTTAAAGCGGACAGCTAGCTCAAATATGGAATGATAGCTTAATTATGACAATTTATACTTGACAGGTCAGCCTTCCCTCGTACCATTATTACACGTGTATTGATGTGTGGATTGAAAGATTATTGTCACCACGGTAACCATGGAGACGGTAATGTGGATACCAAAATACCAAAGATGGGGTCTGTGGTTGGAATCTTAGGTCATCTAGCATCCAAACACGGGCATGATATTAGGGATGCACTACTGACATTATTCCAGGTACTTGAGAATTTAATTTTGGTATCAGTACAGTGTTGTGTATATTTTGCATAAGATAGAGAAAAAGAAAGACAAATGAAATTAGAAATTGATTAAGAATGATGAATAAAGACATGGTTGAATAAAATTAGAAATTGATAATGAAAGACAAATAAAATCAGAAATTGGTAAATAAAGGCAAATAAAAATAGAAATTGTAGTAGATTTATTGAACTTAATTGAAATTTTACTACTTCACATCACACTGAAAATATTTGTTTAATGAATATTTCAGTTTTCTGCATTTGACATTACATGAATTGTGTCAGTGCAATTTAAAACTTAATGAAATACAATGTATAAAACTAAACGGGAGTTCATCTGTATAAGTTTGATTTACAAATGTATACCAAAACTCTGCTCTTTCAATATTTTGCATGTTTGCTCTTTTCAATATACCCCTTATTTATTATTCTCAAAATAAAATAAAATGCATGCTAAATGCGCAGAAAATTTATATTTTTCAAATGTAAATGAAATAACAAAAAAAAATTTCATTATTTGAAAATACATTTGTACATGTAGTTGATCTGGAACTGTTTATCACATAAACAAATGGGACACTGTAAGTGGACACACTATGAATATATAGTGTAATTAAAAAAAACTGGCAGTTTTTTTTTTTAAGAAAGGACCAGCGTTACTTGGCCTTCAATTAGGAATACAGATTCCCATACATAGTTTGTATGTTCTTTTATTTAAATAAGACATATTCAGTAAGAATTTAATAGATTTCAATAAATTTCTGCATTGAAATTTTTTACTCAAAAGATAAGCATAGTATATCTTTAAACTTTGACCAGACTGTTCCAAATTGAAAACGTGGCAAATCCATTACATAAATTCAGCAGGTAAAGGGTGAATGTGGTATTTGATATGATATTCTTTTTCCCTTTTCAGGAAAGTTTAGACACCTCAAGGGGAACCTCGAAAGCCACAACAGTACCGTTTCTTCTACAGCTAGCATCTATGTCACCATTACTTCTACATATTCTTGCTACAGATCTTGTCAATATGTGTAAGTGCCTGAGTTATCTTATAGTAAAAGAATATTTAAGAAAATATTTCTACTTTCTATTCATATAATACTGTGTGTAAATTTTTACTTGCCGAGGGGGGAGGGAAATGCCCCAAATAGAAAATACAGTTTAACAAATAAGCAAACTGTCTTATCTCCAGTATTTGTAATGGATCATGTGACCATAAACATGAACATTTCAGTACTGGTTAGTTCCAGGAACAGTTTTGAGACTGTGTCTATAAGCTTTAAGCTTCCTACACAATCAAACTAAAATAAATTTTGTATAAATCAAACAATAACATTTTGTGGTCATTTCTTTTAACCAGGGTTTCTAACCTAAAACTGTGGTTGATACCAGGAACAGATTCTAGAGTGTGTTTGTAAGCTTATAGCTTCCTACACAGTCAAATTAAGATAAATTATAAATCTAATTCTAGATTAAAAATAAAATATGCAAGATGTAAGATGGGTGAATGTCATCGGGCAGGTGAACAGGTGTTAACAGTTTTATGCAACTCTTAAATTTCTCTAGAAATTTCAAACTTTCACAGAAAGGTTTTCAAGTTCCTTGGTGCATATAATGATGTAATTATGTGATTTAATTATAGGAGGCAGAATTGTGGTCCTTTAATTTTTCCACATATATGATAATGGTTTTAAACATGGTTTTATCTCTTGTTTCTAGGATTTTTATGTGTTTTTATGATGCCCCAGAGTCCTGGCAATATGACATGTATGACTTTAATATATACTAGTAATCTAAGGATTGCTGCAGACATGGGTTCAAACCCAGAAAGGGGCAAGCCGTTGTTTCCTTGAGCAAGAAACTTAGTACTGTTTGGTTCCAGGAATGGATTTGAGAGTGTTTCAATAAACTTATAACTTCCAACACAAACTAAAACAAATTCATATAAACTAAACTACACACTGTATATAACAAAGAGGAGTGGTGACCTAGTGGGTAAGGTGTCTGCATCTCAAACCAGGTTTCGAGCCTTAATCGGGTCATGACGATGTTTCTATATACAACATCAGAACTGGTTGGTTCCAGGAAGCAAACTCGGAAGTGATTAATATAAGTTGCAAGAACTTGTTTTGCAATCAACCTTAAACTAATCCACAAATGTATTTTTAGCTCACCTGAGCATGCTCAGGGTGAGCTTTTAGGATCGATGATTGTCCGTAGTCCGTCCGTCCGTCGTCCGTTCACATTTAGTTGTTAACACTCTAGCGGTCGCATTTTTGCCTCAATCATCATCAAACTTGGTCAGGATGCTTATCTAGTTGATAGCTCGGATGAGTTCGAACATGGGTCATCTCGGATGAGAAACTAGGTCACAAGAGCTAAAAATAGAAAAACCTTGTTAACACTCTAGAGGTCACATTTTTGCCTCAATCATCATCAAACTTGGTCAGGATGTTTGTCTAGGTGATAGCTCGGATGAGTTCGAACATGGGTCATCTCAGATGAAAAAGTAGGTCACCGGAGCTAAAAATAGAAAAACCTTGTTAACACTCTAGCGGTCACATTTTTGCATCAATCATCATCAAACTTGGTCAGGATGCTTATCTAGTTGATAGCTCAGATGAGTTCGAACATGGGTCATCTCGGATGAAAAAGTAGGTCACCGGAGCTAAAAATAGAAAAACCTTGTTAACACTCTAGCGGTCACATTTTTGCATCAATCATCATCAAACTTGGTCAAGATGCTTGTCTAGGTGATAGCTCGGATGAGTTCGAACATGGGTCATCTCGGATGAAAAAGTAGGTCACCGGAGCTAAAAATAGAAAAACCTTGTTAACACTCTAGCGGTCACATTTTTGCATCAATCATCATCAAACTTGGTCAGGATGCTTATCTAGTTGATAGCTCAGATGAGTTCGAACATGGGTCATCTCGGATGAAAAAGTAGGTCACCGGAGCTAAAAATAGAAAAACCTTGTTAACACTCTAGCGGTCACATTTTTGCATCAATCATCATCAAACTTGGTCAAGATGCTTGTCTAGGTCATCTCGGATGAAAAAGTAGGTCAACGGAGTTAAAAATAGAAAAACCTTGCTAACACTCTAGCGGTCACATTTTTGCATCAGTCATCATCAAACTTGGTCAAGATGCTTGTCTAGGTGATAGCTCAGATGAGTTCGAACATTGGTCATCTCGGATGTAAAACTAGGTCACCGGAGCTAAAAATAGAAAAACCATGTTAACACTCTAGAGGTCACAATTTTGCCTCAATCATCATCAAACTTGGTCAGGATATTTGTCTAGGTGATAAAACGAGGGATGAGTTTGAACATGGGTCATCTCGGATGAAAAAGTAGGTCACCAGAGCTAAAAATAGAAAAACCTTGTTAACACTCTAGCGGTCACATTTTTGCATCAATCATCATCAAACTTGATCAAGATGCTTGTCTAGGTGATAGCTCGGATGAGTTCGAACATGGGTCCTAGGTGATAGCTCGGATGAGTTCGAACATGGGTCATCTCGGATGAAAAACTAGGTCACAGGAGCTAAAAATAGAAAAACCTTGTTAACACTCTAGTGGTCACAATTTTGACTCAATTGTCATCAAACTTGGTCAGGAAACTTGTCTAGGTCATTGCTGGGAATAAATCGAACATGGGTCATCTCGGATGAAAAACTAGGTCACAGGAGCTAAAAATAGAAAAATCTTGTTAACACTCTAGTGGCTACTGTTGTGATCCAAATATTCTGTTAATTGGTCTGAAAGTTTGTTTTGATGATTTCTAAGTCAAGATCGAACATGTGTCATCTTGGATGAAAAACTAGGTCACACTGCCCAAATATGGAAAAACCTTGTTTACATTCTAGTGGTCACATTTTCGACTCAATTATCATCAAACTTGGTCAGGATGCTTGTCTAGGTAATTGCTTGGATGAGTACGAAATCACATGTGAAACTAGGTCACCGGAGCTAAAAATAGAAAAATCTTGTTAACACTCTAGTTGCTACTGTTTTGATCCAAGTATCCTGGAAATTGGTCTGAAAGTTTGTTTTGATGATTTCTAGGTCAAATTTGAATGTGTCACCTGGGTAAAAAACTAGGTCGCACTGCTCAAATATGGATAATCCTTGTTAACACTGTAGTGGTCACATTTTTGACTCACCTGTCATGAGATTTGGTCAGAATGCTTGTCTAGGTAATTGTTTGGATGAGTTTGATAAGTCAGGTGAGCGATCTAGGGCCATCATGGCCCTCTTGTTTAAAAGTGCTGGCTCATTGTGATGCATAGTTGCAGATATTAATTTAAAGAAATAAAATCAGATAATGATATGATGTGGAATTATGTTTTCAGTAAATGCCACAGTTTTGAACCATCTCCATGTACAGATGCAGCCTTGGGTATCTAATTATCCCCAGGAGTTTAAGAGGTATGCCTATCCTTTATATAACAATCTAATATCATTATTAGTCCCCTACCGGTTTACCGGAGGGGACTTTAGGTTTACCCTCCGTCCGTCCGTCCGTCCGTCAGTCCGTCCGTCTGTCCGTCCGTCAGTCCGTCCGTCCACAAAATTGGATCCTGCGATAACGCAAAAAGTACTGAAAATATTTTAATGAAACTTGATATATGGATTGATGGCAGTATGGAGATTATGCACGTCTTTTTCTTTTCTTCCTATGTTGAAAATTCTGGTTGCTATGGCAACAAATAGACTGAAAATATGGCAAATTTTACACATAACCTGGATCCCGCGATAACGCAAAAAGTACTGAAAATATTTTAATGAAATTTGTTATATGGATAGATGGTAGTATGGAGATTATGCACGTATTTTTCTTTTCTTCCTATGTTGAAAATTCTGGTTGCTATGGCAACAAATAGACTGAAAATATGGCAAATTTTACACATAACCTGGATCCAGTGATAACACAAAAAGTACTGAAAATATGTTTATGAAACTTGACATATGGGTAGATGGCAGTATGGAAATTATGCACATCCTTTTCTTATCTTCCTATGTTGAAAATTCTGGTTGCTATGGCAACAAATAGACTGAATTTCAAGATTTCTGGTTCTAGTTTTTAAGTTTTTTCTCTATAAGTTCTTTATTTCTTAAGGTATTTTCTTCAAACTTTAAATATAAGTTGCTTGTCATCAACCACATCATATGTGACAAGGTTTACAACTCTAGCGCAGAATTTTTCAGAATTACCTCCCTTGAACTTTAAATTTTCATGAAAAAAACATTGTTTTTTTTTTAATAACTTCTTTTTCTGAATGTATCTACTTCAAACTTCATATAAATGTTTCTTATTATCACTCAACATTAAATTTTGTGAGTGTTCAATACTCTAGCAAGACTATTTCCAGAATTAATATTGCCCCTTTAAATGAACTTAGACTTTTTTTTGAGAAATTGGTAATTTTTACTCCAACTTCTACAATCATGATAGGATTTTAAAAATGTTATATTTTGATAACAGGGATGTTTAAAAAATAACTTTAGAGTGTCTTTCAGTCCGTCTGTCTGTACATAAAAACTGTTTCCTGTGATCACTTTTAAAGAACTTTTTCAACAAATTTACTTAAAATAGGAACCTAAGTGAATGGCCCTTCAGAATGTTGCTTGGGCTCTTACCGGTAGGGGACTTATGGATTGCTTGCAATACTATGATAATTGCTTGTTTATTTATATTTATCTGTTCATGGCTGAATGGTTATGGTTTTTAACTTCAAAGCACTTGCCTTTCACCGCTGTGGGTTTGAAACCCAACAGGGACATTATATTCTTTCATGTGAAAAAGCTACCCAGCTAGATGGTGGTTCTACTCAGGTGCAAGTTTGTGCCTGAAATAATGCACGGAAGAGCACCTGAGGTCTTCCTCCACCAGTAAAGCTGGAAAGTTGCCATATGACCTATACAGTATTGGTGCCATGTAAAACCCAACTAAAAAAATATATGTACAAATATATATTTTCAGTTCCATCATGTCAAAAAAACCTCCCCCTTTAAACCCAATTAATGAAACATCCCTCATTTAAGTTTATGAAAATAACGTAAATGTGTATATATTACAGTATGATGACACTGGTAGTGCATCTAGTCATGCAGACGGATGTCGGAGCAGATAAAGTGTTACACTTCCTTGTGTATAATGCCACAGTAACTAAAGGTAAGTTTATCTCTTTATGAAACTATTGCAACGTTTAGAAGATACATCTATTTTCAATAAAAAAACATAAATGCTAAAGCTATTGGATAGCATTAAAGGCGACTGTGGCTGAGTGGTTAAGGTCATTGACGTCAAATCACTTGGTCCTTACTGCTGTGGGTTCAAATTCCCCCACGGACTTTGGAATCTTTCATGTGAGGAAGCTATCTAGCTAAATTACAAGATGTTGGTTGTTCTACTAAGGTGCCTGTTTGATCCTTTACAGTGTTGTTGGGGACGTAAAGTTCAATCAAAAATAAAATATTGGATAGTTTAGTTAATGTTATATTTAATAATGGGCTTGAGTACCAATCATTTTGTTTATTTCTTCCTTTCTCAGTGACAATATCATTGAAAACATTGCCTTCATTTTATTAAAATGCATTTAAGGAGAGTTAGGGGCTTTCGTGGCTGAATGGTTAAGGTCTTTGACTTCAAACCACTTAACCCCTCACCGCTGTGGGTTCGAATGCTATTGGGACCTTGGATTTTTTCATGTGAGGAAGCTCTCCAGCTTTCTTACCGTGGTTCTACTTTGGTGCCTGTTTGTGTCAGAAATAATGCATGGAAGGCACCTGAGGTCTTTCTCAACCAGTAAAGCTGGAAAGTCACCTTATGAACTATACTTTGTTGTTGTGATGTAAAACCCAACCAAAAAGAAATGAAAAAATAATAAGGGGAGTTAATTGATGAATTTGTCTACTTTATTGCTTAAATGGTTGAAATGAGGCTGGATTTTCTTTTGCAGATGATGTTCCAGAAGGTACCATCCTGCCATTGCCAGAAATACAGAAAATGTGCTCAGCACTGCTTGTAAGTGATTCATTTGTTTTTGTTAACTTAGGAAACTTAGGAGTTCTAAAAAATCCTTTCAGTTTACAGAACTATTTCATAAACATCCATGTAGTATTAACATTATATTCCAAAGAGAAAATGGTAATAGGTACTAATAATTGTATGATTTTTGTTTTGCCATTTTGAACTTTAAACGTTCTTTAATCAATTTGCTTCTGTAAGGGACTGGTAGATTTGTTCTGTGAGGGACTGATAGATTTGGGGTTTTGTTTGTTTGTTTTTTTGTTGAAGTTAGTAAGAGTCTGCAATGGTCATGATAACTGAAAGCAATCTATGCTTACCTTGAAAATAAAGTTTCTACATGCCAATGATTCTTTTCATTTGGAATTATTCTGAATATGGCAATGCAATATCTCTTTACTGCACAGTGCTATGCATGAAATAATTTCTGTATTATATAAATATGAAAACTTAGTAGTTTATTATTATCACCATCTCCAAAGTGTTTTTTGAAAGGTTCTTTACCTCTAGCTTTAATCAGACAAAAGTAAATTGTGTGGTTTTCTGTAAGGTAGCATGTCACTGGGCAAATAATTATCTGCAAGGTTTGACCTTGACATATTTTCGAATATTTGAAATCATTGATCTTGACATATTTTAGAAATTCTGTCATGTTTTACCTTGACATGTTTTATTTTGTAATGTTTGGTATTAAGATTATGTCAAATTTCTACACTGCTTGACTTTGACATATTGTTGAATAACTGTTATGTTTGACCTTGACACATTATAAAAACATATGAATTTTCCCATAGAAAGATAAATTATGTTTGACCTTGACATGTTTCAGGATCAGATATTAAATGAGACCCAGGCAAGTATATATAGAAGAGGAAGGCTAGAATCATCTATAGATCTACCATTTCTTGGTGCACTTGGAACAAAACTATCAACTCTTACCAAAGATCTTCTCAACAGTACAGGTCAAAGGTAAGATTTGATCAAAGGTCAAGGCTATTGTTATATGTTTTTCAAATTGATATATTAAGGGCATATACATATGTGTTTTTGTCCTCAAATTTGGCTAATTACTTGACCATTGGTCATAGCATCTCATTTAATTGTCTTAAGCTTTCATACTTTAAAATTTGCATTTATTTGAAATGTGACCATGACACTTTAATAGCCTTGAAATTGAAGATTATATTTTTTTTAAATAGAGAAAATTGTGTCATAACATATCACATTTGTTGTAGATTTATGATTTTTGCATCAGTATTTTATGAACGCAGTTTGTTTTTCAAGTGTGCATATGCCAAAGATTAGAAAATAGCATTCAAAATAATTCTGATTAAAGAAAGACTGATATGTTTGAAAATAACGGAGCTAGTTCAGAAGTGAACTGAATATCTAAAGACAGTTAAATTCTTTGTGAAAGGAAAAATGTTATCAAGGGATGATTAATCATGCCAAATTGGCATCTATGGCTGAGTGTTTAAGGAACACTTGCCTCTCACTGCTTAAGGTTTGAGTCGCGCAAGTGTCCTATGATTCTGTCTTGAGAGAAAGCTATCCACAAGGGATACTGACTGTCAGTGGTTCTACTCAGGTGCCCGTTTTTGTCTATAATAATGTACAGAGGTGCACCCGAGGTCTTCCTCAACCAGTAAAGCTGGAATTTTGCCATATGACCTACACTGTGTTGGTGCGATGTAAAACCCAACAACACAAAAACTAATAATAAAATAAAACTCATGCCAGAAGTCATATTTAGTTTCTTATATTATAGATGTAAATGGTTACAGAGGTTGATCTGTTACATCATCTTGTATAAGGGAGAGAAGTTTGGTGCTGACACACTGGCATTTATACTGTCAAATGCAGTAAATAATGAACAGGTATTTGTTAATATGTTTTGCTGTCACAACTGTGTTAAAAAAGACCACCTTAAAGTAAAGTCCATATGACTACATAGAGAAAACATGATATTAATTATTAAGCAGTATGGGCTATGTTTCCATATATCCTGATTTATTTTTGGTAGTTTTTGTAGATTTTAAGTGCTGTTAGTAATGTTTAAATTGCATCCTTTGTTTACCTGACAAAATATTACTTTTTAATTCATTTAAAAAAGTTTAATAAAGTTAACATGAATCTGGAGGCGTGCTACTTTAAGGTTTCATGTACATGTATATATTCAAGTGATTCATTTTACGATATAGTTTATTTATTGATACATATTGAGGATATTCATGTTTTTTCTATAAATACAGGATTTATTTTCATCCAGTGGTATGAAATAATTATGATAATTTTCATATCAGTTTCAATGTGTTTTCACAGCTTGCACAGTTCATTAAAATCCAACAAAATATTGAAATGGGAATGGGGCAAGTACTAAGTGGGTGTGTTCAACAGGTTATGGACCTCCTACAACATCAGAGAAGTACCAATAAGCTCCGCCTCCTGAATAATTTGTATGCTTTGACTAAGTGGGAGGCATCATTGGATAAAACAATAATTAGGTATTTATTGTATTTTGATGCAATTTATAATTGCTGTAAAATTATGTTAAGAATTGATTTTAAAAATTGTTAACTGAAGTGCAATGTTAAATTGTTAAGTGATACAAGTTTCGTGTGTTTTTGTAACGCAAGTGAATTAGCTATGGATGAGATTTTACCATTTCTTTGCATCCTTAAGTCTGTCTGCTTAGCTCAATAGGGAGGGTCTCAGATTTGTAGTCCAGGGCTTGCAATCTTCTGAAGAATCGAACAATTTTATGTGACAGTTGAATTTGGACATTGTCGATTGATCAATTGTCTCTCATCGCTGATATTCAAAAATCATGTGGGATTAGCAGTCAGTCACTTGGGGATGAATTAGTAATAACTTGTAAGTTATCAAGGAAAAAATGTTAGGTGGACTGATTGCCGTGATATGAACAAAAATGTGTTGACATCAGTGTAAAAACTAGACAAACTAACAAAAACATCCATGGGGATGCAAATTAAGTTCTTATGATAAAGATATCAAATTGTATATTAAAATTCATGGTAACGAATTTAGAATATATTGTAACAAGCAATGCCATTTCTATCTAACTATATTTATGAGAAATGCCCTATTTTCTTATGAAAACAGAGCAACATTCAAGTCCTGTTTAGAGAGTCATTGGGAGTGCCTGTCAAAGTTGCTGCTCAATGATGACGTACAAGTTTCCATGGTGATTTTAAAGCTTCTCAATTATGTGACTGTACCAAGAAACCTGTCTAGTGGTGCAGCGCTCAGTGTATGTGGATCCCTTGTAGCATTGTTCTTTAATGTTTTGAATACAGAAGGTAAGGCATTTATTTCAAGATTTTAGTTAAAGGGACTCCACTGAGGTAATTTGACATGACTGGGCTGGAAATAATTTTTTGCGATTATTACTCCATTTGATGAAGATCTATACTTATAATTTATGTGCAAAATTTCAGATCATTAGCTTGCTCCGTTTTTCCATAATATTATTATAATAGAGAAAAATGACCCAAAATTGAAAAGCATTTAAACGCTTTTCACTCAAATCGGACTGAAAATAGCACAAACATACGGTTTTCAATATATTGCTTGTATATTTCTTAATTATATCTTATTTATATATCTGTTTTAATTGTTCATGTTTATCTTTGTGAAAAATTAAAGTTTTATGTTTTTAGGCTTATAAACCTCAGTGGAGTTCCTTTAAAGTGATGAGTTTATGCTAATTTATTTTAGCTAGATTGTGTAGGAAGCTATAAGCTTATTGAAACACTCTCAAATCCATTCCTGGAACCAAACAGTACCAAGCAATGAGTGTAATGTTTCTTAGGAAAACAATTAAATTGTTTGGTTGACAAAACATAAGAAATAACATATATTTTAGTGTTTAAGATTACAACAGGGAGGGAAAGAAAATAAGTGTCTTGTTCTTACTTTGAATCATTTCAGGGGTTTCATTCTCGATATATAATATGCCTTAGATAAGATAAAAATCCCTCTTAATTCTAACATCTTCATGAAACTGATAAAAATCTTTTATAAATTGGTGCTATAATAGTATTTTCATCCACATGTATAAAAAAATTCACCTAAATCAGTTGTCATATTGACTTTTTAATATTTTGTCAGTTATTATTAACATACAAAAACTATATAGCTAGAAAAGCTACTATATTAACTTCAATCAGTGTGTGTCTTATATAAACCGAAAAAGATCTTGTTTGTCTGATCTTATTCAGATACAAGAGCTGTTAACCCGATGGTACAAGCCTGCAAAAGATGTGCCAGGCTGCTGTCTAGTAGACCTTATGCACAGTCAATACTTGTCAGATACCTGATAGAGGGCGCTGTTGATTGTGTAAGTAGTACTAAAGATGTTTGTTGTTGCATACCTTTTTGTTTCCTTTAACATAAAAAGGTGAAGAACAAATGAGTAAATTTTACAATTAGGATAAATATTTGTTATAGTCAAAAGTGTCATTGAAGGCATTATGTGTAATAGTATTTGTAAATTTATATATCAGAAATAAAATCTGAAAAATGTGAAAATAAACATTATTGTTAACCAGGTTTTCAATTTTGCTGTGTTTCTTCTTGGAATTATTTAAAAAAAAAAAAAGGTTCCCAAGTTTGGCAATTATGAAAGCTTTCTGATAGTGAAAACTTCCTGCTTTATGTCAGTGGTAGTAAAATAGAATTATATAGAGAATCTGATCAGCTTTATTGGCTATTTTATACTTGGCCAATTGGAAGCGGTCATTCTGAGAAAGGTTAGATTTAAGCTCGAATAGCAGTTAGTACTTGAGATTCACTCCAGACACTTGGTTTATTGATTCTTATGCTGTTAAACATTATTTTTCTTACAGGAAAATAAACATTTACTGGGAGGGAAGACAGATCTTGGAACAGCCACTTCAGGCAGTAGGGATTCTCACACATCTCTCCGAGCCGAGAATAAAAAACATGGCGTCTCCTTGACAACACTGAGGTCACATTCCAGTGTGTTCCATGCTGGGGTCATAGGTCATGGTTTAAGGGCAAAGACAAAATTACATACACTATCGAAGGTATGAGACTGGTTGCTTCAACAGGACAATTATTTGTAGCTGTTTTTCTCTCTACAACCTAGAGATTTTAGCACAGTTATTACAATTTCATTTATATGTAAAGTAGGGAAATTTTACACACCTATTTAACATTCACCTTCACATAATTTTGCTTGTTTTGCCACTTATAAAACTATAACAATGAAAAGGTGTATTATTTCTAAATGAGATTGCAATTATGTGTGAAAAATTAAAAACGTTTTGAATTAATAATAATTTATTGATTTACTTGTGTGTATGAGTATATATGTATTTGAAAATAAAAAGGTGTAAAAAATGTATTTTTATGAATGATAATTTTTGTTCATCTTTTTTTCAGGAACTTGTAGACAGAAACTGTTTATTCCTGGAAGAAATGTTATGGGACTGTTGTAAAGAGCATAGAACAAAGGTCGTAGGTCAAAGTGAAGGTCAAGGAGAGGCAGAGGGTCAAGAGAAGACACATGTTTCATATAAGTAATTATTTATAGTACATAGATTTTTCCCAAATGATTAAATTAACTCTTTACCAAAATTTATTCTGCAAAAAAGAGACTTTGGTTTTCAAAAGTTGAAATACTTAATGATGTTTTCATACTTAGATTTTGTATATAAATTATATACTATGTAACATTAGCTGTTAATCTCAGTTAAAAATGTAATACACTTAAATGATAATGTAAAATTACTTATTTAAAATATTATTACTAATATGAAAAGTATTTTAGTACCCCTACCCTCTCAACAAAGACATACAATGTAAATGAGTTCTCTATATCAGTGAAAGCCTGTAAATGTAAAATCTGAGTGAGACTAAAAAAAGGATTGGAGCACCACACAATACTGTATTTCTGTACACACCGGACAATTCGCTTTAATGATTAAATGCTAAAATCTTAAACAGAATGAACTTTAAAATGTCTATTTTATCTTTTCACGTCGATTTATGTATGGCAATGAATAAAAAATGTAAGAATTGTCGAAAGTAACGATATTTGGCTATTTTGCGATCATAATTTCTGCCAGCATGTAGAGGTACTGCTCCAGTCCTGTAATGAGCTAAATACATAAAATACAGCACAACCTGTGTAGAGCAAGACCCTTTAGAAGGCAAGGATTAAAGTTGTTGCTGAAAGGGGTTTGTTTTATTTAAAAGTCCTAATTTGAGAAAAAAAATTGAGGTGATTGCTCTACAGAGGGCCTCACTGCAGAGTTTGTACTGTATTTCTTCTAACCTTAATGAATAAATGAAAAAGACTGTGTCCTGATTTATACTTTATTAGTTTAAAGTAATTCAGTATTAGAATTAAAATATTTAAAAAGATAACAGAATAGAGATCTGCACAGACTTGGAGGCATCTTTGCTCTATTTCTGCTGGCAAGGGTCTATTTCTACTGCAGTTAATTATCAAATAGATAAGACTATATAATCTATATAGTCATACTATATTTATTGTCAGTCTGAGGATCCCGCCAGATCTATGTAGGATGATAGGAACTCTACTGGTAGAGATGACCACGCCAGATGTACTCTATAACAACAGGTTCTGGCCTGAAGAGGAGTCCCTTAAAATGACCGTAGAAAGGTAACTACATGTATATTTAAACATGTTACGAAATTTTGGTTTTTAAGACTGCATCTTTCTTAGCATATGTTTGGTCTTCCTTTTCTTTCACTTTGGTTTTAGACTCACATTGGCATTGTTCATGTCATATGGATATGGTAACTTTTATAGAGCAGTGGTTAAGGTGTGTGTTGCTCAACCATTGGTTCATGGGTTTGAGCTTCACTGGGGTCACAACTATTTTTCTTTATTTAATGGCAGTGCTGATTACTTCCAGTAGCTGACTCCTGAGTTGTTCACATATGCTTTTAAGTTTTCACCATAATCTAAGCTTAAATGAATCTGATTAACCCTTAACCTGCTGGCTGCAATGTGACCATTGCCAACCAAGATCAGCAGGCACATCCATGCCATCTGATCATGGTCGGCACTGTTTGCCATTCAGTGAGTGCATATTTTGAAATTTTCCATAAAAATGATAAATGGTATCATCCAAATTGAAAGATGCACATGTCCATTTATGATTGTTAAGGTGGCCCTTAACTTATAACTGTCAATGGAATACCACCAGATGCTCCTGTAAGTAATATTTAAGGTGCAATACCTCACATGGAAGCATTATTTGGTCAGTCTTTATTTCAGTACTATCTTTAATAGATAAATATGCATCTGGAAGGCAATATTTAAGGCACAGCTTGGCACATATTTACAACTACAGACCTCACACTATAGGCTTTGATTAAATCATCTCATTATACCCCCACAAACGAAGTTTAGGGGGGGTATATAGGAGTCAGCTTGTCGGTCGGTCGGTCGGTCGGTCGGTCCGTCCGTCGGTCGGTCCACATCATGGTTTCCGGACGATAACTAGAGTTTGGAATGAGCTATTGTAATCAAACTTGGTATATAGCAACCTTATGTGGCAACTCCGGTTGGTATTGCATTTGGACCCCCTGGGGTCAAGGTCAAGGTCACCGTTACTAAAAATAGAAAAATGGTTTCCGGACAATAACTAGAGTTAGGAATGAGATATTGTTATCAAACTTGGTGTATAGCAAGCTTATATAAAGACCTGGGTTGGTATTGCATTTGGACCCCCTGGGGTCAAGGTCAAGGTCACCGTTACTAAAAATAGAAAAATGTTTTCCGGACAATAACTAGAGTTAGGAATGAGATATTGTTATCAAACTTGGTGTATAGCAAGCTTATATGAAGACCTGGGTTGGTATTGCATTTGGACCCCCTGGGGTCAAGGTCACTGTTACTAAAAATAGAAAAATGGTTTCCGGACAATAACTAGAGTTAGGAATGAGATATTGTTATCAAACTTGGTGTATAGCAAGCTTATATAAAGACCTGGGTTGGTATTGCATTTGGACCCCCTGGGGTCAAGGTCAAGGTCACCGTTACTAAAAATAGAAAAATGTTTTCCGGACAATAACTAGAGTTAGGAATGAGATATTGTTATCAAACTTGGTGTATAGCAAGCTTATATGAAGACCTGGGTTGGTATTGCATTTGGACCCCCTGGGGACAAGGTCAAGGTCACCGTTACTAAAAATAGAAAAATGGTTTTCAAACAATAAGTACAGTTAGGAATGAGATATTGTCATCAAACTTGGTGTATAGCAAGCTTATATGAAGACCTGGGTTGGTATTGCATTTTGACCCCCTGGGGTCAAGGTCTCTTATACTAAAAATAGAAAAATGGTTTTCGGACAATAACTTGAGTTAGGTATGAGACATTGTAATCAAACTTGGTGTATAGCAAGCTTATATAAAGACTTGGGTTGGTTTTGCATTTGGACCCCTTAGGGTCAAGGTCACCTTTACAGTGTTACTAAAAATAGAAAAATGTTTTCCGGACAATAACTAGAGTTAGCAATGAATTATTGTAATCAAACTTTGTGAAAAGCAAGCTTATTTGGAGACCCCAGTTGGGATTACAATTAATTGAAATATTTCTTTGTACACAGTTGATAGTTTGTGTTCAAATTTTTCTTTCAGACTACTTATTTTTCAAAAAGTCAAAGTTGCTGGTGGGGGTATTAATCACCTTCAGTGATAGGTCTAGTTTATTTTATAAATAAATATGCATCTGGAAAGTTTCTTAAAAATTGGATCATATTTATTTTTCAGAGACCTTCATGTATGGAAATTTTTTGATGACAACCCTGTGTTGTGGAGGATTCTTCAAATGGTGGCGGGGAGTAAGTTTTTCTATTAATAGACGTCAAGACATCAATTGTTTTGTTTTAATATTATTTGAAGTAATTTGTGCTTTAGAAATTTCATTGATTTGGTAATATATTAGTTTAAACAATATTTTATTTATAATCCACACATGTACATATTAAAGTACATAAAATAAAATTTACGGATTGATAGGAAGCTTGTAAAGCTTTTTTGAAAACTCTCTCCCATAAATATATATTATGGTAATGTATTATGTAAATGATTTAATAACTTAGATATAATGATAGATCTATTATATATTTCACCAGATACTCTTGTGATATCGAGATGTTCAGCTGTACTGAAATCACTCACGGCAACGATGATGCACCATTTTGAACTGTCGAGGGAGAAGATGGCAACAAATACACCAAAACAGCTCGAGTCAGCTTGCTATTTAGTTAGAAGTCTTGGTAAAGTAAGTGATGTTTTCATTTTAAGTTCACTTAATGTATCATTTAAATGACCAGTTTGTTAACCGTAACAATATTAATAACAGACAACATAAGTGACCCTCATCAAATTATGAGTAAAATATTTTTGCTGTATATGGATTGCAATATTAACTCATATTTTTTATATAAACGATTAAAGAATGCCTAGAATGAAAGAAATTTGTTAGTATGTTTTATTGAAAGCGAGAGGGGCATGTGTGAAATCATTGCCAACCCTACTAAAATATAGGCAGCATATTGTGTTCCCAAGCATTTTATTCTGTTTTAAAACAATATTCATGTGATCATTCTATGTTACAAAAATTGACCACAAGGTTATAAAAACAACATACTTGTGTATTGTTTTTTTTTAATTTTTATGAAATATTTCTTCAGATATAGCTTTACATACTTTAAATTTATTCATATCTTTGCTGTTGATTTTTTCAGAGTGGACTATTACCTCACCCACTTAACATCATGTCAGAGTTGTTCCCATCCCTAACACCCTATGAGGTATATCTGATACTGTTAGCTATTTGGAGATTTATGAAGGTATGTTTGTTTATTTATTTTGTTTATCTAGTATTTACAATGATTTTAACAAATTTTTGGTCATAACTCGGCAGTCAGTCCACCTTGTAGAGTTTACATCATAAATTGGTATGCAATAAAAACTTGTAGAGTCCCCTTTAGGGATTTTGTCATTTCAATACTAAGATTGTGGCGGCATTTATAATAGAGTGGTATAGGTCCTTGACTTCAAACCACTTCTCCCTCACCTCAGTGGGTTTACATCCCACCAGGGCCTTTAAATTCTTTCATATGAGGAAACTATTTCAGCTTGCTGATGAAATGTAGGTGGTTCTACTCAGGTGCATATTTATGCCTGAAATAATGCACAGTGGGGCACTTGGGGTATATTTTTTCTCCAGTAAAACTGGAAAATCGCCATATGACTTTTATAGTGTTGGTGTGGGGTAAACCCTCACCACCCCCAAAACAAAACAAAAACAAAACCCAACACATACACACCTAAGATTGTACAGTTAACAGTTTAGTTGTGCAGACTAGTATGCCTGTTAAGCGATTTTTTCAGTTCAAGATTAAATTAAAGAGTACCAGTTAAGCAAAATGTACATAAAAGTTTATAGAATATGTTTGTTTTATGTTACATTTTTTTAGCATAGTAATGAAAACACTTTATTATTTAATGAAAAGCCATGCTCGACTTATTTATTTATTCATTTATAGGAAAACCCACCAACAGAGGATCCGGACGAAGTTACTAGAAGAGGTGAGACTTAAACTTTAGCTCACCAGAGCCGAAGGCTCAGGGTGAGCTATGAGTACAAACGGGATGCTCCGGCATCCGTCGTCATGCATCAACAATCGTCTTCTTCTCTGAAACTTCTAAGCAGATTTACTTCAAATTTGGTCTGTAGCATCCTTGTGACAGTCACACTTGAATTTGCTCATGTCATTCCAATTGGCCCCTTTTAGGGGTCAGCAGAGCTAAAAATAGAAAAACATTCAAACATCTTCTTCTACAGAACTAATCGATGGATGATCACCAAACTTTGTCTGTAGCATTCTTGGGTAGTCTTTTTATCAAGTTTGCTCATATTAATTTGATTGGCGCCTTATAGGGGTCTCTAGGGCTAAAAATAGAAAAACCTTTAAACATCTCCTTCTACAGAACCAAAGGATGGATGATCACCAAACTTTGTCTGTAGCATTCTTGGGTAGTGTTTTATCAAGTTTGCTCATATGAATTTGGTTGGCCCCTTTTAGGGGTCTCTAGGGCTAAAAATAGAAAAACCTTTAAATGTCTATTTGATGGATGATCACAAAACTTTGTCTGTAGCATTCTTAGGTAGTCTTTTATCAAGTTTGCTAATATTATTTTGATTGGCCCCTTTTAGGGGTCTCTAGGGCTAAAAATAGAAAAACCTTTAAACATATTCTCCTACTGAACTAATTGATGGATGATCACCAAACATTGTCGGTAGCATTCTCTGGTAGTATTTTATCAAGTTTGCTCATATTAATTTGATTGGCCCCTTTCAGGGGCCGCTAATGCTCAAAATAGAAATACCGTTTAATGTCTATTTCTAGAGAACTAATTGATGGATGATCACCAAACTTTGTCTGTAGCATTCTTGGGTAGTCTTTTATCAAGTTTGCTAATATTATTTTGATCAGCCCCTTTTAGGGGTCTCTAGGGCTAAAAAAATAGAAAAACCTTTAAACATCTTCTCCTACAGAACTAATTGATGGATGATCACCATACTTTGTCGGTAGCATTCTCGGGTAGTGTTTTATCAAGTTTGCATTGGTCCCTTTTAGGGGCCACTAAAGCTAAAAATAGAAATATATTTGTTTTCGTATCATTGCAGTTTGTGAGCCAAGGCATTTAGAGGTAGTTAAGTCAATAGTACACTGTAATATAGAAACATTTGGACAATTTTATGCCCGATTCTTCCCACAAGGTGCTGACGTAAAACAAGAGGAAGATGGAGAGTCATGAAACACATGGAAGTGAAATACTGGTATTGTTATGTTTAGATTGGGAAATGAAATAGTGCTATAAAAAGAAAGTGAAATAGTATTATAAATTTGGAAATGAAATAGTGTTTGACATAATGGAACTGAAGTGTTATAAATTGGGAAAATGAAAAAGTGTTTGACATTGTGGAAATGAAAAATGTGTTGTAAATCGGGAAATGAAATAGGGAAGAAATAGTATTATAAATTTGGGAATGCGTTAGTGCTACATGGAGAAGAGAAATATTAATACTGTATTCTTTTGATGCTGGAAGTGAAATAAATGTAATGTTATGGTTACTTGCGGATAGGGGAAGTGAAAAACAAAATTAAGGGAAGAAACATCATAGTCTCTCTAGTTTAGAAAGAGGAAGTGAAATACAAATCCTGTAACATTCTATTTCCATGAAATTTTAATGTGGAAAACTTGCACAGTTTAGTTTTCCAAAGTGTAAATGATACATTAATAATCTAATGCCATCAACAAGAAATATAAAATTTGAAGTGATATTTAAATAAAGGAATGTGAAAAAATTGAGGAAGTAATTTACTTATATAAAGTGGATGTGAATTGAATGCAATATTACATATAGGAAGTGAAAATGTTCATGCAATATTAAAAGGAAATGGAATCATGCTATTATTTGCTTTGTTGACACGTATAATACAAACCTCCTAATTTCTGACTAAAAATCAAAAAAACTTTCGTATGAAGCCAGAAAAAATATATTGGACTGAATACATTTGAATATTTTTGAAGATTTATTACCTTTGATAAATTGACTTTTTTGTTTGTTATTATTCTGCTAATAAAAGAATATGTATAAACAGTTTTGTTATGACAGTTAAATCCAATTTGTCATATAATTTCACTTTAGTGTGGTAACAACCTCAATTACAACAAACAGGATCTATAAGTATATTTTAAGTTACTACTGTCCTTTAGTTCATGATGGGTCACTTAAAATTTTGTCAAGTGGTTCAACTAAGAAGTCTGATGATTATGTATTAAAAAAGAACTACTTTTAAATATAATTGGAGAAACATGCACAGCAAGTTTTTAGCTCACCTGAGCACGAAGTGCTCAAAGGTGAGCTTTTGTCATCACTCTGCGTCCGTCGTGCGTCGTGCGTCCTTCAAAAAATGGCGTCAAACTTTTCAAACAACATCTCCTCCTAAACTACATGGCCAATTGCAACCAAACTTTACAGAAATGATCCTTAAGTGGACCCCTTTCAAAGTTGTTCAAAAATTTAAATTCCATTAAAAACTCTGGTTGCCATGGCAACCAATAAGAAAAACTTAAAAAATCTTCTTCTAAAAAACCGTAAGAGCTAGAGCTTAGATATTTGGCATGAAACATCTTCTAATGAGTGCCTACCAAGTTTGTTCAAATCAAAGCCCTAGGGTCAAAATTGGCCCCGCCCCAGGGGGTCATTGATTTTCCCTATATGCATATAGTAAAAACTTAAAAAATCTTCTTTTAAAGAACTCAAAGAGCTAGAGCTAAGATATTTAGCATGAAACATGTTCTAATGGGTGTCTACCAAGTTTGTTCAAATAAAAGCCCTGGGGTCAAAATTGGCTCCGCCCCGGGGGTCATTGATTTTCCTTATATGTGTATAGCAAAAACTTAAAAAATCTTCTTTAAAAGAACCCAAATAGCTGGAGTTTTGCTATTAAGCATGAAACATCTTCTAGTGAGTGTCTACAAAGTTTGTTCAAATCAAAGCCCTAGGGTCAAAATTGGCCCCGCCCCGGGGGTCATTGATTTTCCTTATATGACTGTGTATAGTAAAAACTTAAAAAATCTTCTTTGAAAAAACCCAGATAGCTAGTGTTTAGATATAAAGCATGAAACATCTTCTAGTGAGTGTCTACCAAGTTTGTTCAAATAAAAGCCCTAGGGTCAAAATTGGCCCCGCCCCAGGGTGTCTTTGATTTTCCCTATTTGCATATAGTTAAAAATTAAAAAATCTTCTTTTAAAGAACCCAAAGAGCTAGAGCTAAGATATTTAGCATGAAACATCTTCTAATGAGTGTCTACAAAGTTTGTTCAAATAAAAGCCCTAGTGTCAAAATTGGCCCCGCCCCCGGGGGTCATTGATTTTCCCTATGTGCATATAGTAAAAACTTAAAAAATCTTCTTTTAAAGAACTCAAAGAGCTAGAGCTAAGAAATTTAGCATGAAACATGTTCTCATGGGTGTCTACCAAGTTTGTTCAAATAAAAGCCCTGGGGTCAAAATTGGTCCCGCTCCGGGGGTCATTCATTAGCTCGACTTTTTTTTTAGATATATACATATTATATATATACACATATATATTTAATATTTATATATATATATATATATATATATATAAATGTATATATATGATATATATATATGTATGTATGTATATGTATATATATATATGTATGTATATATATATATATATATATATATATATATTTGTATTTATATATATATATATTATATATATATATACATACATATATATATATATATATTATATATATATATATATATATATATATATATATATATATGCATGCATACATATACAACCAAGTTTGTTCAAATAAAAGCCCTGGGGTTTTAACTGGCCCCGCTCCAGGGGCCTATATACAGGTGAGCGACTTTGGGCCATCATGGCCCTCTTGTTTATTGAAAAGGTTCATTATCAAATCTGAGAAACAAGATGAGAACTTCAAGATAATGAGCTAACAGTTTATAGCTGACTGAAACTGCCTGGACATACAGTCTAGCAGAAGCTAAAGAACCTAAAGGTTCCAGCATTCCAGGCTCAATAAAAAGGAAAATAAAAACTTTAATAGATATATTTTATTTGTATGATTTGTAAATATTTCAAGCAGAATAAATTAACATATCAAATTATTGTATAAACTATATGAAAACATGTCAACATGACATGAAAGATAAAATTTCAATATAAGTAACAAACAGTACAGAAATAGACCTTATTTTTTGTGAAAACACCAAGTTGAGAAATGTTTGTGAGTAAAGAAATGTTTTTCATGGAGACAAAAACAAAAACTTCATGAATGATACAAGTCATCAAATTTCAATATATAAGAAACTAAAAATATGGCCATAGGACATGAAAGCCCCTACATTCCACTGTTTTGTCAAATCTATGGATGGACAGCAGTCCTAATGGTCAAGGACAAAAGATACCCAAATCACTATTTTGGCTAAAAAATAATGAAAGTAATATATTTAATTCTTTTATATCCCACATCTTTTAATCTTCCATTTGATCATGTTTTATATAACAGACATTTTATATAAAATTCTCTGTTTTACATAAAATTAAATCAATGGCAAATATATCTTCATCACATTAACACACAAATAGATTTGGCATTTAACCGTTAACCTGCTGATTTTCTTAAATTGATTTGCCCAGCTTCTATTTTTTGAACTGACCATCACACTTTGATGCAAAATTGAGGTTGTCCAATATCAGGCTAGGTTCTAAACTGTAGGCAAAGTCTTATCAATTTCTGTTCCAGCAGATTAAGGGTTAAAATTACAATATACATGTATATAAAAGTTTACAGTATCACAGGAGAACAAAAGTAACACAGGAGGACAAAAAGGTTCTCCAAAAACAAAATTGAGCAAAACAATAATCTTAACTTTTCCAAAACCCAACAAACAAATTATAACAACATTTTATCCTTAACACAACACACTGATGGGGAAAAAAACAAACAAACATTTAACATGCACACTTTTTATTGAAGTCAGGGGCAATAACTGTGGATCTATAATAAGTCGAATTTCATCTGTAATTTTAAACTATGGTTTTTATTTGGGCTGATCGAGAAATCTAAACTCTCCTTTGACCTTTTAACCTTGAATTTCACCTGAATTGATGTCATTGATTACATTTTTCACACACTGTTTTAAAGCATGCCTCCTGATTCATGCTATTTTTCGTGAATTTTTGAAAATGCATTTAAAAATGAAAAATTGTGAAATGAACAAAGAACGTATTTTACTAATAGCGAATGGTTTTTACAATTCACGTAAATGACCAAAAAGGGGGTAAAATTTTGCAAAAATAGCCTTTACTGCATTAGTCATGCAATTGAATAGTGATAAATACTGCAAAATCAGTTACGAATTGCACTAAATATGTAAATTATTACTTGAATCTTTTTAATTTTCTTAAAATCTTAGTACATTTTTCTAAAGTTTGACTTATGAAATATTTTGGATCATCAATTCATCTGGAGGCATGCAGCTTATAAAGTAATCTCTGAAGACCAAAAATGGGAAATAACGAGAAAAAAGAAAAGAAAACTAACAAAAAACAATAAAAGGTATTAAAAAAGATTAAAAGAAAACCATTGCTGTATCATACTTTGCACATTTTTGTCATGTGAACCAAAGCAAACTGTATTTTTTTAATTAATGATCGCATCCGTATCAGTGTGAAAGATTCTTTTATAATTTATTTCAATTTCACAAATAAATTTTCAAGGGGAGATAACCAATATCATGAATATATTTGAGTAAATCTGAAAACATACAAACAGGTACTGTGTTCTTAACATACGAAAGTATGTAATACCTTTGGAAAAAAAATGTAACAAATTTTGGTCTAGCTATCAAATAAAATATACATGTATATAGAAAAACCAACAAAAACAAGCACAAAACAAATCTAACAAGAAAATATAAATATGCATAAACATGCAGTATTGCACACACATTTATAAAGCATGGATAAATAAGCCTTAAAAAATTGTTCAATTTTATCCAATTTACTAAAATTTAAAATTCTGAGCAAAACATACAATAATTTGTTATTAAAATATGACTTTATAAGTTACAATTCAGTCAATATTTTACTTGGCCATAATGGCATGATTCACAGCCAATAATCTCTGCTTCTTATGCTGATTTTAATACATGCCTGTCAGATCATATATTTGTAGACAATCTCCCTAACCGGCTTTCCTGGATAACTAACCAGTGATGACTCATTTCTCCACAAGTGATTGACAACTGAACCCATACGATATCTGAAGCAGTGGTGAGAGACAAAATTTTATGACCATAAGACTCAAGGTTAACAAGATCAATTGTCACCGACAGTTACGCCTTTACCTAGAATCGTACTAGTGTCCCCTTGATAACTTATCTCATGCTCTCCCTATTGAGCTACGTGGACAGTCTTTACATAGATACATGTATGAAGAAATGCACCATTAATGTGTATGACATTTTGCATGATTCAGTACAAACACTTTAATATCAGATCAGATTGGTAAGAATTGTGGATTAAAACCCTTTTAGACAAAAAGTAGAAGAGTATACTTTCTATGTGGAGCATTTTGTCTTGGTCATGAGAGACTCATATTATAAATTAGACAACTTATTTAGCTACCTTTTTCTTTTAGACAAGAAAGCCATCCTATGCACAAAAAAAATCTAACATGCTAACTTTCAATTATAATTTTAACTTTTCTTCACCTTATCATGTCTACTTCTATTTCTTTCTTTTACGTTCTGGCATTTACTCCACGTACTCTCTGTAGCAAACTATGTACACTGTAATTTTGCACATTATTCATCTTTTTCCTTCTTTTTATTTCTAGATTTTACTCTCTTTACTGTTGTTTTAAGAGCTCTTAATTGTCCATGTCTTCGTAGAAACTGGTCCACGTCCTCTGCAGACGTCGGTTTTGAGTAATTTCTTCCGGCCAGGCGACTTTCTAAAAGCACACCTATATTTTCCTCTAAGATCATTGGACTAGTGGGTGAAACCATCGGTTCTAAGATAGGATAACCGTGTGGTCTCGCCCTACGTGGCAGTAAACGAGGATTGCAGCGCGCCTGAAACAGCTGGTCCTCGTGTAAATTATCAAGGCAGTAATCTATAAAGTCTTCCATTGTTTGTAACATGTTGCCATTCGCAAACTTTCTACGAGCTATTTCATGGCAAGCGTCAAGGAAACCACGGAAACCAAGTCCTGGAAATGAAACAAAATAAATCTTCATCATGTGAATGTAAAGGATAAAGGATTTCAAATCTAAGCATGATTAAAATCTAAAGAAAATGTTTATTAATTGATCATAACTTAAATGTGAATAATTAAAGTTTTAGTGTAAGAGTTTGCACTTTAACAAACATGTACTAAATATACTACATGCACTTTGCTCATCTTATGGTAAAATATTTTCATTGCAGATATTTATAGAAATCATGGCAATTCCTATTGAATAAATAAAATATGATGTTGGGAAATTGCATTCCCTATTAATGAACAAGTCAATTCTGTCCTTTCTTAAACATTTATGACTGCCATTTCTTTAATGACCTATGTTTATCTAGAGTGTGTAGAGTTTAAAAAGTAACATATCCCCTCTGTGTGTACTCAAAAGATGTTTTTTACAGCAATTATCAATATTTACAAATGTCAATCTGAGCATAAAATATCTTTAAAAATTAATATAGTCACTAAGCTTCTGTCAAGAAATAACATTGTCATAACATTAAGGCAATAAGTTTTTGAAACTCATTAACAAATTTTTTTTTTGAAGTCCCAACAGGGTAAACCTGGTGATTCATAGACATAATAAGTTTAACAAATTAGGAGTTGTCAATATAATACAAATTTAAAAGTGTTATAATGTTAAAGATTTTGATTATTTCATAGAACTCATAAAATCACCATCACAATTATTATAACACAGAAAATGATAGGGGTTATATTTATAATACATAGATAACAAATATCACTGCTGAAAAATTACTGCTGATCAAAGATTACTGCTAACAAAGATTACAGCTGATAAGAAAGGTAAGTAATGCTGAAAATTATTATTGCTGATTACAAAGGTAAGTACTGCTGAAAATGATTACTGCTGATTACAAAGGTAAGTACTGCTGAAAATGATAACTGCTGATTACAAAGGTAAGTACTGCTGAAAATGATTATTGCTGATTACAAAGGTAAGTACTGCTGAAAATGATTATTGCTGATATCACAGGTAACTACTGCTGAAAATGATTATTGCTGATAACAAAGGTAACTACTGCTTACAAAGGTTACAAATGCTTACATAGAATACTGCTGATTAAACATAATTACTAACAAAAATCACTGCTGCTTGGACAAAGACAACTGAAGACAAATGATATAGATTTATACTGATACAGACTATGCCCGACTATAAGAAACCTGCTTAGACAAACAATACTGCCAACAAATAACAACAAACTACAGATTCCAAAATTTTGTAATCTGTTTTTTACAGTATACTACAAGAAGTATATATGTGATATAAAAATAAATATATGTATATTTTGTGGGGTTTGTTAAGCTGGGGTTAGAAAAAAGCAAAGCATGCACACCAGGTTTACCAGTGGTTCGCTCCGGATTCACATGCTCCCATTTCCTCTGCATGTCTATAAATAGAATATCTATGGTAGCATTTGTAATGCCCTTCTTATTCAAACGGCATTTCCTGAAAAAAAAAATAAAACAACATGAATAAAAACAAACATTTCCAAAGCATCTGTATAAGGATGCATTCAAATGTATCAAAGTAAAGTCATGCACAGGTTTTCTTTTGGTTAAGGTAGGATTTACTTTATGAAAGTGTTACAAAACATAAACAGCACCTGGGTATTAAACTAATTCATAAGACACACGTAACATGAAATTTATCATTTTTATAAATATTTTTTTTAGATTTAATACATTTTTTAGAAACTGTGGACTTTTTCTAAAGTTAAGTTTTCTTGAACTATTTTGTTTCATCTTTACAATCATGGTAATGCTGGTCTCTAAAGTAATCTAAAGTGTCTTACCTAGAGAATGTGCGGAATCCTGTAGGTCCGAGCCTCTGTGTAGCCCTCACTCCAAGTGATACCATAAACACCTCTGCCAACTTTTCATAAATTCTTAAACTGTAAAAATAGAATACAAAGGTTGTTAAAGCAACATTAATTAGTCCCATCTAAAAGTGTAAAAGGTTAGTGCACAGGTAAAAGTCAAAATAACATTATATCTTTTTCATAATTATGTTTTACTTTGCAAAAATAATCAATTAAATCCACATAACCCACAGACATTTTAGTTATTAATGTCGTCGACATAACCCACAGACATTTTAGTTATTAATGTTGTTTGGAATGTATAGGCCCGTTAATTTCAATTTTTTAAAAGACTGGGTCAGACATTTTATAATTTAGGTAGAATTATAGTTTATGATCATTATAATGACAGTTTATCCTAAACATTTTTCATTACAAATCACTAATTGGTAAACCACCATATAATTATCATAGTCTCTTGAAATATATTACTAACTTGACAGCAAAAAATGAGCATCATGTCATTTCAACTTTGGTAAATTGTGTTCTTAATAGTCGGTACTGTTCTTTTTAGCCTTTAAAACTGCAGAATTAGTGTAATGGATTTGCCCATGTCTAAATTTGAAAGTCACCATTCAATGTTTATGGGATTTCAATATAAAAGTACAATAATTGAGCTACCAACAGTATAGAGCCCAGTAAGACTTCATGGATATGCAGGCCGGCCTGGCTCTATACTGTTGGGAAAGGCTAATCATTGATCATAATGACTTTTGAGGCACGCAGTTACTCACCAGTATGCAGACTGACTATTCTGGTAATTACTTAGTTTGAGCCTGACAGAAGGATAGATGGATGGGCAAGTGCAAATCTTTATCCCCCCAGAGTAGTGGAGGCATATAAAGTAGTTAATCAAGGTTGCACTTACTGTTCAAATTTCTTTGCGAGTGGATCAGGGTACAACTCTTTGAGACAACTCACGTAAGGTTCCGAGTCAATTTCTTCTTCACTGTTACTACTCTCCTCCGTACCTCTGTCGTTATGGCAACCATCACCTTGACCAATCATATAATCGCTATCTTTATTATCACTATATCGCATATCATTATTTATTTCATTACCAGTATTATCTATATCTTGATCATACTGATTACCAGTAGAAGTTTTATTTCCAATATTACTTTTTGAATACATTTCTTTCGTATGACTATTTTCGTGGTCTATTAAGTTCTCACGTGTCAATCTTTCCACGGTCACATTTTCATCATCTTCTATTCTATCAATAAAATCTGTTCGTTCACCGTAACCAAACGTCAAACTATCCATTTCATCGTTTTTTAAACTGTTTTGATTCTGATCTTTATTGAAATAATCGTTCTCGTTACGATTCGTAAACACATTATGAACACTCGGCAACAGGAATGAACTTTCCCGATTTAATTTCTTTGGCGGGTCATCGTCTTCCTGAGATTTTATAATGACGATACTACTGCGTGGGTGCTGCGTTTCAACATGAATCACACCGTCACGTTCGTGTTGAACCGGAGGTCGACTAGCTTCCTCCTCTTTACGCTTTCGATCATCTTCGTCACGTTTCTGTCTACGACGTTCTCGCCTCGCCCTTCTTCGTTTCTGACTGAAAAAATACAATTTGTATCAATAAGACAATTTTTATGAATGTGAATCTTAGATAGACACAAGATTTCCATTTCTTCAAATTTGGCTCTTTAACCCCAACTAACTTGTCGTGAAAATAAAATAATATGAAACTATAAGCAAGAAAACTTAACAAATTAACATAAGTTTGAAATAAGCACACATAATACAAAGTTATACTGTGTAAATAATAAGAATATTGAAGAATTAACATATGAAAATCATCTACAGTACTTAAAACAAAAAGTCAAGCTAAACTTGTACTGATGTTACATCACTGACTGAATTCTACATTTACTGTTAAATACATTTATATTTCGAAGAAAAACTTAAAGCATTTGAAAGCTATTTTTTACCAACATTATAATTATCTAGGAAATTTTTTTAACCTAAATTTGAAGGGTTATTAAAAGGAGGATTTGACCAACAAAATTTGACAGGGATTTTGAAAACCAGCACTTTAATTGATTTTTTACTAACATCACTTTGGGGAGATTAGTTTAATACCAAGTTTTTTTCTTGTAGGAATTTGTCCATCAACAATGAAAGGGATTTTGAAAACCAACATTTGAATGGAATTTTGTTTACCAAAATTTAAAAGGAATTTGGAAAAACAATATTTAATAAGGTTTTTTTTGCCCACAGACATTTCAAGGGAACTTTGCCTATATATGTTGGAAGAGTTTTTGTCCATAAACATTTTAAGGGAATTTATTCCAAAACATTTCAAGGACAAAATTTGCTCCCAAATGTTTGAAGGGGGTTTTATTAATCTTTACTCACTTTATCAAAGAAATAATACTAGACAGAATTTTGTCTCTTTACAGTATAACTAATGAATTCAGAAAAGCTAATAGTGATTTTAATGTAACTAGTATAAGCTGTGAAAAAAAAAGCAATGATTTTTTTGAAAAATAGATTTAATAAGACTTTTTTTTTTAATTTTTCAAGCATTTTTTTTTACAGATTTTGCTAATTGCTTGCTTTAAAGAATGAATTTGTTTTCAGAAAAATAATTATGCATCATGCCAGAGGTAAGATTTTGGGAATATTAATGTAATGTTTTACAATGGGTGAAAAAGCATGGGATGGAATAGAATAAACAAGCAAATTCGTTGAATTTATATCCCCCGCTGAGTACTGGTTATTATTAACACAACAACTGAAGAGATAAGGCTTTATTTATATATTAATCATGGCATAAACTGTAATATGCTTTGAACTTGAAGCCTTGTACCTTCAAACAAGAAGAATTTTTAAGTTTTCACTATATACATATAAGGAAAATCTATGACCCCCTGGAGTGGGGCCAATTTTGACCCCAGGGCTAAAATTTGAACAATTTTGGTAGAGGACCTATATCCAGACGAAAATACCCAGGTGCACAACTACACATACTGATCAACATTCCTGTAAAGTTTCATGACTCTAGGTCAAATACTTTTTGAGTTACATGCCACACAAGTTGAAAATGACAAAATTTTACTAAGTCAAGGGCAATAACTCTAAAAATACTAAAAATATCCAGACGAAAATACCCAGGTGCACAACTACACATACTGATCAACATTCCTGTTAAGTTTCATGACTCTAGGTCAAATACTTTTTGAGTTACATGAGACACAAGTTGAAAATGACAAAATTTTACTAAGTCAAGGGCAATAACTCTAAAACAACTAAAAATATCCAGACGAAAATACCCAGGTGCACAACTACACATACTGATCAACATTTCTGTAAAGTTTCATGACTCTAGGTCAAATACTTTTTGAATTACATGCGACACAAGTTGAAAATTACAAAATTTTACTAAGTCAAGGGCAATAACTCTAAAAATACTAAAAATATCTAGACAAAAATACCCAGGTGCACAACTTCACATGCTGATCAACATTCCCATAAAGTTTCGTTGAATTCCAGCCATCAGTTGCAGAGAACTACTCCGGAAACGAAATTCTAAGTCAAGGGCAATAACTCTAAAAATACTAAAAATATCCAGACGAAAATACCCAGGTGCACAACTTCACATGCTGATCAACATTCCCATAAAGTTTCGTTGAATTCCAGCCATTAGTTGCAGAGAACTACTCCGGAAACGAAATTCGGACGGACGGATGGACGGACGGAAGGAAGGACGGACGGACGGACAACGCCAAAACTATATCCCCCTCCCGATTCCATCGGCGGGGGATAACAATGCTACAAGCTGGCAGTAAGTCATGTTTGTTATATATAGACTGGATCATTCTTATATATCATAATTATCTGAGTCTACAAAAAGCTTGCACATTTTACCGAAAACTAAATTATTCTTAAGAAGCGTTGTGCATAATGCATCTACCTAAGATTTGTGTACAAGAAGCATTGGTTTACAAGACATAAAATAATAAAAATATACCTCATTTTCTTTTTCCTGTCATAATATTTATGAATAAAATTTAAAATCTTATGAAAGAAATAGTACTTAAAAAAGCTAAGACGTCTTTAGATATAATTTAATAAATATGTGAAGAAAAAAAAATGTGAATAAAAAAACATTTTCCGTCTTTGAATTTTCATGGTCTTAATATGTAAAACCCTAATTTTCATGCATAATATATAGGGCATTATCAGCTGGAATTTTACATAGTTTTTTCTATTATTACATTTAAACTCTCTGAAGTCCTCACTCAGAGACAAAAAATAACTAAAAATCGTCATAACAAGCACTAGAAAACCAAATCGCTATGATCAAATAATTATATTAAATACATTATTATTAAATATCATAAAAAGTCGCGACCATCACCACACATCCATTTCTAAAAGAAAAAGAAATCTCCACTGAAATAGCCTGAAAAAAGTGTTAATATCGGGGAAAATTTCTATCTATTGTTAAACAAAACTTAAAATCTGTTCCAAAACAACTGTAATAGAATCTGGTTCTAATTTAAGACAGCATTGTTAGAAAGGAGAATGTCTGGGTTTGCAGTAGATAATGGATATTTAATACTTTGATACTGTTTTTAATAAATCATGCATCCTATTGAAAAGTTCATTCTCAGCACCTGGTTACAAGAACCCTGATTATCATGCAGGACTCTTTTTTGAGAAACCTCCCTTTGACTGTAAGTACCCCCATTTGTATGCAGAATGCTTTTAGGGAGAGCTATGTTTTTGCTATTTTTATTGAAATTTTCTTCTTGACAAGATGATAAAACAAAATCAAAAATTCTAAAAATATCCTTCTACATTTAAGGGAGAAACGTAAGGTCAATCATTGCAAGAAATTGCAAAGTTAAAGCAAGATTATCCAGAACAAGAGCTGTCGGTAGGACAGCAACGCTCGACTATTCTTAGTGCTTGATAGTAAAAAAAATGCTTGATAGAGTTACCTCCTCCTGTCTACAGGTTGGGGTCATGATGGTGAACAAGTGTGCAAAGTTTCAAAGCCATATGTCAATGAACTCTGAAAATATTTGAACTATCACAAAAACTTTAACGTAAATTCTAAGTCGAAAAAGGGGCATAATTCTGTCAAAATGCTTGATAGAGTTACCTCCTCCTGTCTACAGGTTGGGGTCATGATGGTGAGCAAGTGTGCAAAGTTTCAAAGCCATATGTCTATGGACTTTGAAAATATTTGAACTATTACAAAAACTTTAACGTAAATTCTAAGTCGAAAAAGGGGCATAATTCTGTCAAAATGCTTGATAGAGTTACCTCCTCCTGTCTACAGGTTGGGGTCATGATGGTGAACAAGTGTGCAAAGTTTCAAAGCCATATGTCAATGGACTTTGAAAATATTTTAACTATTACAAAAACTTTAACGTAAATTCTAAGTCGAAAAAGGGGCATAATTCTGTCAAAATGCTTGATAGAGTTACCTCCTCCTGTCTACAGGTTGGGGTCATGATGGTGAACAAGTGTGCAAAGTTTCAAAGCCATATGTCAATGGACTTTGAAAATATTTTAACTATTACAAAAACTTTAACGTAAATTCTAAGTCGAAAAAGGGGCATAATTCTGTCAAAATGCTTGATAGACTTACCTCCTCCTGTCTACAGGTTGGGGTCATGATGGTGAACAAGTGTGCAAAGTTTCAAAGCCATATGTCAATGGACTTTGAAAATATTTTAACTATTACAAAAACTTTAACATAAGTGGTTACGCCGACGCCGACGCTCAGGTGACTGCAATAGCTCTACTTATTCTTATCGAATAGTCGAGCTAAAAATGATTTGCAAAATAAAAATAATAGAAAAAATTACCAAGGGGAAAAGTCTGTGGTAAAAAATGCACAAGGAATGAAGCTTCAAAAACTGCTGTTTTATCATAATGAGCAAAGAAATTGTGCAAAAGGTATCAGTGAAAATAGATTAAACTGTGACATTTCACCAATTAGAAGATGATACAGAATGATGTAAGCAAAGTTGGCTTTATATAACCTTTCTCTCAGTACTCTTTCTGAGTAGCCTCCCTTTGATTGTTTTGAGCAGTTCTACATTAACTTTCATTCAGCACACTCTTTGAGTAACCTCCCTTTGATTGTTTTAAGAGCAGTTCCCTGTAACCTTTAATTCAGCACACTCTTTGAATAACCTCCCTTTGATTATTTTATGAGCAGTTCCCTATAACCTTTCATTCAGCACACTTTTTGAGTAACCTCCCTTTGATTGTTTTTAGCAGTTCCCTATAAAATTTCATTCAGCACACTTTTTGAGTAACCTCCCTTTAATTGTTTTAAGCAGTTCCCTATAAAATTTCATTCAGCACACTTTTTGAGTAACCTCCCTTTGATTGTTTTTAGCAGTTCCCTATAAAATTTCATTCAGCACACTTTTTGAGTAACCTCCCTTTAATTGTTTTAAGCAGTTCCCTATAAAATTTCATTTAGCACACTTTTTGAGTGACCTCCCTTTGATTGTAAGTACCCCATTTGAATGCAGAATGCTTTTAAGGAGAGTATTATGTACTGATTGAATAGCAAACTTGTTGCATAGATAAATTTAAGATGTCACCAACAGGCTCAAGGTGAAAACAGAATAAGAACATAAGATATGTCCTAATTAATCAACATAATGACTGTAAAACTTCAAAAGACTAAAAAAACAAATTTGTTACACCGTCTCCAAGTTTCAAAATAATTTCTGAGAAACAATTGAATGTCTCTCAACTGCTGCACAATAATCAACAATGCTATAATTAGGACCTTTAACTAATTAATAAATCTAAACATATATACAAATGATATTTCTACCTAATGGGAGTAATGCCTGGTCTTACCAAATGAAAGATGTTGCTTTAAAAAATTATGAACGACAAATGATAAAGGCACTGATGCATAAAGAAACAACGAAAAACATAAGAACCTAGAAAAGAAATAAGATTTGAGATTTCAAAGTTGCATTTCCATCAAAATTAATATCCAATAATACACTGCAACCAAAGTCTAAGATGATTATCCTCTCTAACAGTGCTGAAAATATCTGGCTAAATAAACTACCCAATTCACTTTCTTTTTAATTACAGCTGCTGTTGATGTAAATAAATATAGAAACAAATGTGTGACTTCCAAAAATATTGTCTTAAATTTACATTTCATTCTTCTTATTATACAAAAGGCAAGAGCTTGACATTCTATTTTTAGCTTACTGATTTTTTTAAAATGGACTTGACCGACTTCCATTTTTGGAACTGTCCATTTTCAAGTTTGAGGATATATAGGTGTAATTTCAACAGTTAGAGAGAAAACAGTATTGAGTCTGGTTAGACCTCAAGGATGTGATGACTGGCCTATACTTCTATACTGGTGGCAAAGTCTAATAATTACTTTCAGTTCCAGCCAGGTTATAAGGTTTAAAAGAGGTCAGGAACAAAATTAACCATAAACTTGCCTTGATTTTTTAAGACAGTTTTCACATTTTATGTATGATAAGAATCATTTTCCTTTTGCTGATTTTGCAACCACATTTCTACATTTCTTAAGGGAAGCCTGTTTACAAGTTTGATTGTAAACTATATACCTTAGTTTTAATAACTTCATTTAAGGAAATATTCACCTAGTAGTTAATCATTGGTCAGAAGTTTAAAGTGCAGACTATATATTATTATTAATTAATACATTTGTAACTGAGTTGGGGGCATTACAAAGAAAAACGACAATCCATAAATTTGGTGAAGCAGAAAAAAACTTATAACATTTAAACATATGGGATTAAACACACCTTTTTGTAATCTTATGTACAAATAATATTTTTTTTCCTGAATAAAGGTTTGAAATAAACTTGGGATTATTTATTTAGCCAGTGGAGGAATCTATAGACTTAACCTAAGCTTTAGTGTCAATCTATGAATTACCGTTCTGACGCGAATGATTTACACGTCTCCCCATGAACCACCTCTCTGAAACTGCGTGGAAAAACTATCATTAATCTAAATACAGAAATTTTTAACGGAAAATTCACCATTCTGTTAAGAAATGGATCTTAATTATGTTTAAGCTTTTAAAGTATATTACCCAAACAATCCAACATTCAAATGTGATGGCTTAATACTTATAATTAAAGGCCTGATTAAGGAAAAATGCCCTGAAATGAATACAAACCAAAACAAGCTTTGCTTGCTTGTTGTTTATAATTATGCTGGCAGGAATCTTTGAATTAAAGGAACTCCACTGAGGTCCAAAAGTCTAAAAACATATAATTTGAATTTCTTACTTTGATTGGCTGGGCACTTAAAATATAAAGATTTGCAAAAGATTATTAAGAAATATACCCAGAAATATATTGAAAATTGTATTTTTTTGTTATTCTTAGTCTGATTTGAGTGAAAAGCATTGCAATGGTTTCAGTTTCAAGTCATTTTTCACAATTAGAATTATTATTCTGGAAAAATGGAGTGAGCAAATGATCTGAAATTTTGCACACAAGTTATAATAATTATCCTAGACTTTCATCAAATGAAGCATTAATCTATTTCCAGTCCTGTATGTCAAAATAACCTCAGTCAAATCCCTTTAAAAATTGCATAGTTTACAATATTTTTATATATCAATGCTAACCCACACTCTTTATCAGACTTATTTGTTATAACACTGTAAGTATATAGTGCATATATCTAAATCTAAATATAATTATTGTTTATAAAAAAAAAGTTTTCAGCCCAGAGGCATTGAAAATGCTACCTAAGACATGTAGTCAGTGTTATTTTATCTCAAAAACTTTTTTCTTTATTTAAAAAAGCATTTTCTATTCAAAATATTTGAAGAGCATTTAGTTTTTCTTTATGTTGAAAAACAACCATTTTGAATATTAATAGCTTACTTTATCTTTAAATAAAATGCTTGAATAGAATTTTTTTCCAACTTCTGTAATAAAGCTAATATAAAATGTTTTTGTTGTTTTTACATTATATATAAGGAACATTAAGAAAAATTTCTTAACTTAAAATATCATTAAAATAATTATATACCAAAAAGAATAAGGGTTTCAGACTAAATTTCAAAATACAGATATGTTTCCCGGGTGTAGATTTTCCGAGGTTTATGAAAAAAAACCATGGAAACTGCTTCAAAAACCTTGGAAATAAACCAGTTTTACAAGGTTTTTTCTTAATTCCGAGTTTTTTTTTAAAACCTTGGAAACTTTATCCAAGGTTTTTGTATAAAAATCCTTGGAAATAAAGAAAACCTTGGAAACTATCTCGGAATTAAACACTCTGCCAAAAATCAGCTCGGAAAAAGCTTGGAAATAAGAACTTTGTCATTTTTTTGCTCGGAAAAGAACTTAGAAAATTTATGTAAAATTTGTTGGAAACACTTTGCCAATATTTAGCTTGGAAATGACCTCGGATAATTGAACTTAACTAAATTTCATCTCGGAAAATGTTAAGACATAATCATGATTTAACTTATAATGGGCATCAAAAGCAATTATAAATCAACAGTTAAAGCAAACTAAGATAACAACCCAACTGTAGATTGCCAATGGATATTTCTTAATCCATGGTCAGAGCAAACAATTGTCCAACAGCATGGAAAGGAGAGATTTGGTCCAGGGAATCAATTTTTAGTATGGACATTGTCAATGGCCAACTTCCTTTTCAATAAATTTGTACTTTAATCTTCTGAAGCCATTTTTGTGGGAGGAATCAATTAAAAAAATTTAAGTGTGAAAACATGCAAAGTTAAATACAATGTAAATTCCTTGTTGCCATAAAATACCTTTTATTAATGGCTATAAAGGTATTGTAACTAATCATAATAAGATAAAGATTATTCAAATAACTGATGATCTGAGAAAGACTTGATTTTTTTTTTTTTTTTTTTTTCATATTTTTTTTTATTATTTATAATTATTGTTACTAGATATCTTCTCCATTTTTAAGAATAGATAAAAGAGCAAAACTTATAATTATACAAAAAGAAACAATCAGTGTTTATGTCTATTAGTTTCTAAATGCATCAGTATTTTTCCTGCAGTTTCTTTCTATATATAGACTTAACTTAGGGTTCTTGACAGCCTGTAAGCAACACTGAAATAAGAATGCTATTAATCTTTAATATATGTTTTTATGCCATATAAAATAGTATATTCTACTAAGCAAGTCTGTGACATACATTCAGATTACAATTTACTCTGCCATTAATTATGTGTACAATAAACATAAATAGTTATTAATTGTCCTTTTAATATATAATTATGTACAATTAATGTGTAAAATATGTATGCTTGATACTTTCTTATAATTAAGATAAATAAATACTGCATCCACTAAGTTTTCACACACAGAATATAACACACTGTAAAACTAATGGCACCCCAGGTGGTTCCCTCTTATAATCTTATGCATGATCAATCTTCTCATTGAGCATTCTGGGATAGACCAGATTGTTCCATGTGATTATTCAGGGGGAGTCTGGGTTTTTATACAATCCAAAACAGTCTAAAATGACACTGCAACTGTGATTCTCTTATAATTTTCAAGTTTTACTTTTATTTATCATTTGATATATTTGTACCTTCAATAAAATTAATGTAGAAATAAAATGATGATGGCTTTGATATTTTGGGATCACCCCAGTGTTCCACATTATGATTGCCCCTTCAGTTATACTGTTGAAAAATTTGAATCTCAGACATTAATGGGTCAAGTGGTTATAGTTGGAAGTAGTGCAAACCTGGATTTATTTTAAGCAATTTTGGACAAATATTGTTTTAAATGTTAGGGAGCATATTTTGGAATTTTCAAAGAAAACATTTATCTAAGTGTGACAAGATTCAGGAAATGTTTGGTTGTTGTAATTGAACCTAAAGATCAATGACCTGGGACAGGAAGATAAACAAAAGAAACATGATAGTAAAAAGGTTCAGGTAAATAATTTTAGATACATTTATGCATAAAATCTGTTGTTGTTTTTTTTTTCAAATAAGTATTAAATACAAACTATTTTAGATCTATATTTTAACCTAAATGTAAGCTAGTTTAAATACAATTGTTTAGAGGATATTTTAAGAGTATTAACGTTATTTTTGTCTATGATTGTATTGAACAAGATGAGTGCATGAAACTATGATGACATTATTTATAAACTTTCATCTTTCATCTATTATTTGAATCTACAAATTTTTAATTACAGAGTCAGCTTGTAAGCAAGTTTGCAAGACTGTTCCAAACTACAAGAAGATGGCAATCCAGCTTTGCTGTGTTTTATCATAGTATATCATTGGCATCCAGGCATCGATTAAGGAAGCCAACTGTAGACCAGGAAAGGCTTCAAGGAATATACTACAGTATGTTTTTGTTTTAAAACTAGGTTTTGAAAGTTTCAATTTGAAATTTGAATGAATGAAGGTTTCTGGAACTGATTTTTTTATTGATACTTTGTTGGAAATGCTGTTAATGTTACATGATGACTCTCCAGCTTTATTGATGCAGATGTCACTTTGAACAGACAGATACAATTAGTGTAGGCAATCGGAATCACCTTATGAAAAGCGTTATTTTTTGCAATATTTTTAGAGTGCTTTAGGTTGTAACATCCAGTATGACACTATCTAAAATAATAGTAACAGACATCGTTTCTTTTCTAAACATCGCAGAATTGTCACACTGCTTACCAAAGTTTTCTTGAAATCCTGACACTAAGTACTGATGAAGAAAATAAGAAATCAACATGAAAAAAATTAAATTCACTATTTCAAAACAGTAGACAAACATTTAAAAGTAACTACAGAAAAGGTCATTTGAAAATATTAAAGCCTTCATTTTAATCAATGGTCTTGAACAACTTGTAATTCAAGTAGTTTTGGATCACTCAAAAGATGTATTTCTTTTCACAAAAGTGCTGATTTTTTAAAACAATATATATCAACAGTGAACTGATATTTTTGTCTATGGAAACGTTTAAGGAATGTATCATTTTTTTTATTGATTAATAAAAAAGAAATTAAATGATGTAATTCTGATTGCCTACACATACTGAACTGTCCTGAGTATAACCACAGGTGTTCCTTAATCCTGGGCTGGATAGCTCCCTCAGAGGGAAGAAGCCCATCCTGGCTTCAGGAGTCAAAAATACAATGTTGTAAGGCAAGTAGTTTGAAGTCTTTGATCCTGACCACATGGAGAGGGAAGCGCCCAATGGAGAGGGAAGCGCCCAGTGGTGATTTTATATAATTGTTTTTCTAACTTCTTTCAATGGCTGTACTTTATTAAATGTTTACTTTATTTATTTCAGGAATTGTATCCTGGAGCATTTTCCACATGTGACCCCTGTGATGGTGAGGGAAAAACTAAGGGACATTTAAAATCATGAAGAGTGAACAGGAATTCAAAAGATAGATATTTGAATACATTAAAATTTAACCGGATACCAAAATATTATAACTGAACATTGAGTGTAATATTTACCATTAAAGACTTCTAACTTAACTTTTCATTTGTAGTGCATTACTATTTACTTCACACTGACATTAAATGTTTCAGTGAGTCATGTGATCATTTTTTGCTCTGTATTATTACAAAGAAGTTTCTTAATTCCTTAAAAGGACAATATAATTGCTCTTTTCAGAATATTTCATTGGATGTTATATTTTCTGATTTTCCATGGATATTCTAGAAATTTCCAAGGTTTTTGCTCAAATAAACCTTGGAAAATTCTCTGATGCCCTTAAGTAAGAATCCTCGAAAATATAACAGTATTCCCAGTTGTGAGAAACTTTCCGAGGTTTTCATTTAAAAACCTTGGAAAACAAACCACGGAAACACTTTAAAAATCCTTGGAAATCGTTCCAATACTCCGAGGTCACTCATTTTCCAAGGTTTTCTAAACAAAATCCTCGGAAATTATTTTACGAGGTTTTTATTCTGAAATCCTTGGAAATCGTTCCAATACTCCGAGGTCATACTTTTTACGAGGTTTTTTTTAAAAAAAACTCGGAAATTTTTTACAAGGTTTTTCACCCTCTCCCTATTTTTCCAAGGTTTTTTTAATAGAAAAGTTTTGCATTTTCTTGTTCCAATACTCCGAGGTTTTTTTCCAAGGATTTTGAGCCAAAAACCTTGGAAAATCTACACCCGGGTTTACATGAACCTTAATACTGGTATCAATTATTCATATAAAAAAGCAATTTAACAATGCACTTGTCAAAAACATGACCTTCCCACAAGTTAAAGACTGACACCTTGATGTGCGTGTTACACACTATCATACCCTATATACAGATTACTTGTATATAAAGGTAAACATCTTATGATATCAAGTCTATATTTCGTAAGCCAATATTTTCTATTCATTTACAAGTGTTTGTCTATACTGTATGGTATGGCATTAAAGCAGCACGCCTACATATTTGTGATAATAAATTTAAAGATTTATGAACGTCATAAAATATTTGGAGTGTTCTGTTATTGTTTTTTGGGGGGTTTTGTTCAATTTAAAGTTGCACTTTAAACACAGTAAAGTGGTCTGTTTTTTATTTGTTTTACTTCATTATAAGTTGCACCAACACAGTACAGGTCATATGGCAGTTTTCCAGCTTTTCTGATGGATGTAGACCTCAGAACTGCCCCTTCATGCATTTCTTCAGGCATGAAAGGGCTGTTACCTAAGAAGAACCAATGATGTGCTTGATTACTTCCTCATATGACATGTATGAAAGAATCCAAAGTCTATGGTGGGATTCAAACCAACTGTGGTGAGTGGCAAGTAATTTGAAGTCAGCAACCTTGGCAACTCTGCCACAGAGACCAAAAGAAAGTGTTCTGCACAGTAAAGTATCATCAGGTATTCAAAATTTACAAATCAAGTGATTTATTTAGCTAGTCACAGGCAAATATAAACTCTGTACAATATACCCAGAAGAAAAGTATTATGTATCAAAAAAAAAAATGCCCTTGAAATTAATATGTCAATAATTAGGTAGAAAATTTAATTATGGTGATAAATTAGTAACTTCATTCACCATGCCAATCTTCACATGGCTTGTGATTATTTAATTTTCTTAAACACAAAGGTCGAAATCGGTTGATCTAACTTAAATAAAAGGAGTCAAACTTCAACTTGGTATTTTTTTATTATATAGTTTCTCTTTTCTACTTCTTAATTAAATAAAAATTCTAAAAGACATTTTGTTATACAATCTTTTCTTAAGTTTTTAACTTTTAGACTTTTCCTATTCTTCAAAAAATGTTTCATCTAGTGGCGTGCTGCTTTAAGTTCAGGAATGTGGTTTAATCCCATGTTAACTTACATACACTTATCTAAAGCATTTAACCGTAAAGGTTTCCTTTAAGAGAAGCCAATGCTATATCAATTATTGTACTTCAATGGTAAATTATAAAACGTTTTTACTCCAGGCTTAATGAAGTATAAAAATTCTGAAAGAGATAACGGCAAAAGTGTAATTTTTCAGTCATCAATGATGAAAACCTAGATAAACAGGATCAAGATCTTAAACGATAAATCAAGAAGTGATTAAAGGGACTCCACTAAGATTTTTGACATGACGGGACTGGAAATAAATTTTCAAGATTTTTGTTCCAATTTTGATGGAAGTGTCGAACAACAACTTGTGCGCAAAATTTCAGATCATTTGCTTGCTCTGTTTTTCAAAATAATCATTCTAACTGTGAAAAATGTACGAAAAAGGCAAATCAGGCTAAGAATAACGCAAAAATAAGATTATTAATTTATTTCTGGGTATATTTCTTAATGATCTTTTGCAAATCTTTATGTTTTAAGTGCCAAGCTGATCTATGTAAGAAATTCATATTTTATGTTTTAATGTTTTTAAACCTCAGTGGAGTCCCTTTAACATCTCCTATTTTGTACAGTATAACAGCTTAAATTATCTTAATCCTAAACCTAATTAAATAACTTACATGGACTTGTTCATCTTTATAAACCTGGACAAAACCATTTGTCAGGTTTGTTGAAAAAATTTCAAAATCAGTAATGACTGAATAGTGGAAACTGCAGACCATGATCAGACTGTATACAGTTTAGATGTGCCAGCTGATCTTGGTCTGCTCTGGTCTCTTGGCTAATTGAAGCCTGAGCAGGCTTAGAGCTACACAAGTTAACATTTATTTTTTTCTATGAAAGAAATAATAACTTTCCAGTTCAACATTGAAATGTCTGAAAGACAACTTCTTATACATGTATATTTAAATTCTTGATAACAAAACTACCAAATAAATTTTCCCTCTTTATTTTTTTGCCAGCATTAAATATTTGAACCCAGTAATTTCTATGAAATTCTTTTGTTCTAACCTGTAAATGTCCTTAGATGTCACATAATTACATGTATTGTGTACTAGAGTCTGTGACCAAAAAAAAGAAATGTTGAGTAAAAAAAAAATGTTGAGTAAAAGTAACCAAATGGTAATGAAAGCTATATTGATTATTATAAGACTGTAATAAAAAAAAGCTTTAAATCTTATTTATCAAGATCTCTACTGTAAGCAGTGGCGTATGTAGGCCAGAAAATCCTTTATTTTTATGGATAAAAAGTATTTTATGACTTTACCTTTCTAGATAGTTAACTTTCTTTTTTGGAGCGACCAGCAACAGGGTGTCTCTGATCAGAGGTATCTTCACCTCCTCATCTTTGGGACTAGGGACATAATCCACGACTCCCGGGGCGACCTCTACCTCACTGTCAATACGAAGACTCGGGCTGCTGTTTATCTCCAGCAGGATGGGTTTCAGGTTGTGCAGTAGAAGTATATCAAAACCCAATATCTGTGACACAAATAAATGACAATATTTATTACAAGAATTTTTATATTCAAGAAGACCATGATGACCTAAAATCGCTCACCTAAGAATTTTGCAAAGAATATGCAGATAATTTCTATAATACAATAGTTCAATTGGTCACGTTAAAGGTAATTTTAATCATAATTACAATGTATATTGATTTCACATACTTGCATACCAATGACACATATTATACAATGCAAGCTAACTAATTATATTATAATAATTATCAAAACTAAATATCTGTGAAGGAATATAGCAAATTTACAAAATATTGTTCTTCATCTAAATATTAACCTTTCACTTGCTGAATTTTTGTAAACAACTTTCGGTTCCCTGCTTTGAATTTGGTTATGTTATCATAAGACCCTTGGGTGTGAAAAAAAATAAATGAAAAATTAAAATTTAACCAATCACAGGTGCTGCAGATATTGATAATACGAGTATATATCAAAAACATTCATCAAGTCGGGACATATAATTGTTCAAAAATAGCAAATATGGCATATCATATATACACCAGGCTGAGGATTTTAAGTGTTTTTGTAAAAAAAAATATAATAATATAATATAAATATATATAGTCAAAGTTAACACACACCTAAAACTCATTTAACATGCTTTTAATCAACTCTTCAAAAGAAATGTTGATTAACTCTTCAATCATTATAAGGCAAATCAATTCATCATCTGCATAGGTACATAAATATTTCATCCGTTTCTCCGTACCTTTAATTAATCAGACGTCTCAATATACCAGGAGGACACCATTCAATTGATTTGTTTGTGGGGCGGAAGAGCTGAAGAATGGAAAGTAATCGGATAAAAGCTAGCTCTAAAATACCCTTGCAATATCGCTATTGTCCTTTTTTCATTTGAAAGTCTATGATGGAATGATTAATGAATGAAGACACCTACTAATGTATGCAAATAAATAACATATGTCTTATATCTGCTTTATATTTGGCTTATGCCTGCAAGAGAAATAGGTTGAATGAAAGGTTGTATTATGAATTATTGATGAAGTCTAATCAGACCTCGGGCTACATGATAACATTTTACACCTCAGCTTTAATAGCATCTGTTCAGTGCTTAGAAACAACATTTTCAAAGTTTTATTTAATATCCTTTCGACGGCCATAGCGTAATAAAACGTACCGAAAAATCGACTTCTCAAAAGCCGGGCGCTATAGTCATAAGAAGGCTATAACGTAATAAACCGGTATGAAATTTTGGCTTCCTGAAAGCCACTATTGTTTTGTCGTAGGAAGGCCACCAAAATTTAGTTTTAAATGACTAAATTCTTAAAGTTTACCTTTCATTTATTTCATTCTGTTAAATGTTGTTCAAATAAAAACACCAAATATGTTAATTGTATAGTGCCCTTTATTGACAGATATAGTAAATGTTTAGATATACAGTACACTTTTTAATTAATGTGGTAATCAAATCGATATCCAAATTAATTGAAGAAAATCTTCTAAATGGTATAGTATTTTAACATGCATTTATTGATACATCAAACGGAGTTTCTGTAAGCAGTTCTCTTATTTGAAACAAAAATGAGTTGAACTAACAAAATTCACGTTGAAAAGCATAATATCAATCACCCTTCCTGAGAAAAATTGATTTTCATTGATTTTCAATAATTACGTTTTAAAACGTTGTGGACGTTTTACTCAACAGGTTAATTCTAATGGGCTATATCGGTAAATAACGTAAAATTTACCGTTTTAAAACGTTCAGAACTTGTTTTAAAAAACAATGATTGTGAGTCTGTTTATTGCAGTTGAACGTAATATTAACAGTGTTATATGGTATGGCTTTGTTGTTTATCGTATGCAGTTGAACAGCCATAGCGTAATATTTTGATTTTTCATAAACACATTAAAAAACCAGAATGTACGAAAACGAGGTTTTTACGGGTTTGCATGACATAAAATTCAAGTTTTACGCTGATTTACGCTACGGTTTCTAGAAAGGTATATTTTTGATACGTTTTACTACGCTATGGGCGTCGGGTCGTAATATAAGACTGGCTTTCAGAAATGTAAAAATTCGATACATTTTCTTACGCTTTGGCCGTCCTACGGGTATAGCGGATGGCCGTCGAAAGGATATACATATTTTTTGCCAAGTCAAAATGTATAATGCCAACAAAGCTTGATAGAGCCAACCATGCAAACGGCTAATTGATTTGCCCTGCTTAGAATTTGAAAGAGTCCATTAAATTAAGTTTCAGGGACAAGACAAGATATAAATTATCTATACAAGATCAATGGTAAAGAAAGTTCACAACCTATGTACTTAAACCACACTTGGTCACTCTCCAGTCAATTTCCTAAAACTAAACTTTAGGACTCGAACCCATGACCCTTACGTTGAATGGCAGACACCATAACCACTTGGCCACAACTTTCTTTAACAGCCAAAAATAAAAATCTTCTGCGTGAATATTTCTTATAACAAATTTTATGCAACGCATTATATTTCAGTTCATTCAATATCTAAAAATTTAATGTTGTAAACTTCTAAAATGCCTTCATAAATCAAGATACATGTATACTGTCTGGTATCAAATGCCTTAACAACACTCCTTCATAAGCATTTATAAATCAGTTTTTCAACAGTCATACTTAAACTAAAGAGTTTTCTCTTTACCTATTAAATGGAAAATACTTCAAAGCCCATTAACAGCTTTAAGACTTTCGATTAAATGAGTCAATTTGAAGTTTTGATGGAATTTTAATATGTTTTTTAACAATCATTCAAATATCAAGCCCATATAGTAAAAGTGTCGCCTTTTGTTTGCTTTCACTGGCAGATTTATATCCCTATATTCATATTAAAAACTTTTTAAAGTGTACAAAGCTATATATCTGATGCAAAATTATTGTTTGCATTTTAAAAAAGAATACTTTCAAAATGTTTGCATGCAATAAAATGGCAATAAATTGCCTTAACCCTTTCCCCCATGAGCATATTGTGAATCAAAGTGCTGCAGCACTGAATGCGACGGACATGCAACCGGAGAGACATTAAGGCTTCTTTTAAACAAAAACAAAACACAAAATATATAACAGAGAAAATTTCTTTCATACAAGTTCGAGATTTGTACAGCAATATATTTTGTGTCCCAAACTGATATAATTCAGATTTTCTACTTTCAAGCACTTAAATACAGAATGAAATTCATGCCTAAAAACTCTGGTCAAACTTGTAAATCAGTGTCCTTATCGATTTATTCTAAGAAATGATATGTAAATTGGAAAAAAAAACTGTCAACGAAATATTTCTAAAATAAATCCAGGAAAATAAACTTCAAACATAATACATTATACATTTGAGAATGCTATTTAGAATTGCTTCGTGTTATATCATAGTGGGCATGTAGACAATTGAATATAAGTCATTTGTATTTTTATTTCTCTTGGATAATCATATGTCTCATTAAAAAAAATTTGGTTAAAATCATCAGCAATTAATAGTGTATTTTTTCGATTTTTTTATTTACAAGGTAAAGATGTAGAGGCCAGAGCACATCGTTTTTATTTTAATTTAAATGTCACTTAAGCACTACAGTGTTTATTTGTCCTTTTCAATTTCACACTAAATTCCATTTTCAACTTGTTTGCTTCTTACAATTGTATAGAATTTCTAAAAGTATTGCATGTAATCAGCTGGTTTATTAATTACATGTATAATGTGTACTCCGCTCCTTAATCGCCTGTCCAAAAATCAGAACAGGTGAAGCAGAATCTATTTTTAGAATAGCGAAGGTTAATTCATATCATGACCTAGAAAAATATGTAAACAAACCACAAGAATCGGAAGTAGAACTGATATTATAACTTCCTTACCATGAAAGACTACATGGCGGTAAAGTGTTGAAAACTCTCTTCTTACATGCATTTTCAAAAATAGATATTTATACTAACTATTGTACTGAATCTAATATATTAATAACTGCTGAATATTCAGCTAAACCCGCGGTATGAGTCACGAAAATAGTTCTTCTTTTATTAATGCGCGAGTTATCCTAGAGTCACGAAAAACTTTTGATTTGTTAATAATAATGTTTTGTATGATGTAGAAATATTTATTTCCTACTAATAATGTCTTGGAACTCAGAGGTTACACCTTTATTGTAGTATAATTTGCTGTCCTACTTTTTCGACAGCGGTAAATCGTTTCAGCAGTAATTTGCATATTGCGCAATAATACTACGGGACTACAACGTTTTTATCAATAATATACGTTCATATTTTAACTTGGATAACTTAATTTGAAATTGAAAAGGCTAAATATGGAAGACATTAAGATATCCAGACAAAGTATGGGAGTTTTGAAGGATCAAATTCATGTACTATTTCTTGGGCTGTTAATCGGTTTAGGACACATTGCGCGAGTGTAGCCAACGAAATCCCATGTGTAGATGACTTAGCTCTGAACGCGCCTGAGGGCGCGTCCGTCGCAAAAATGGCCGTTTTCACTGAAAAGACTCCTGTTACAAGTTCAAACTGCTATGAAACTATGAAAAATGCTTCAATACTAATCAAACTTGGCACAAATGTTGACTGGACCACTGCCTTTGTAACGACATGCTCAGTCTTAAATTTCCTGTTACCATGGCAACGAGGGGACATCTCAAAATTGCCAAAATCACTATTTTGCCTCGATTTTTTCCATCAAAATTTCTTTCAAAGTGCTGCAACTTCTCAAGGGATTGAGATAGAGTCAAAGGCTTTTCAGCGTTGGTTACACGTTACATTATGATCGACCTGGGGTCATTTTTAGCCTCTCACAAGTCCAAAATTTTCTTGGCGATGAGGGGGACTCCGCCCCCCTTCAAACCCCCCTAACAGAAGGGGACACATCCCCCTTCTGGCAACCCCCTAATGTATCTTTTGGATGGGGGGCGGCGCCGAAAAAGTGCTCATTTTTTTTAGCAACATTTCTCAAACGAAAACATGTGTTTGGGGCCCAAATAGGACATACTTTCACTATTTGAGGCCTAAAAAAGGGGCGGGGGTCGAAAGTGCGTTGTTTCGCGTATATATGTGGTAAAGGGTTAACAAAAAAAAGATAGAAAACTTTGGAATCACCTTAAAACTAGTTTTTCCATGTTAACATGTGGTCTTTCACCTAACTTTGGTGAAAAATTGTTGTTTTGTAACATTTATAATTTTTTTAGTTAACCCTTTCCCCCATGAGCATATTGTGAAAAATGGCCGTTTTCACTGAAAAGCCTCCTGTTACAAGTTTAAACTGCTATGAAACTATGAAAAATGCTTCAATACTAATCAAACTTGGCACAAATGTTGACTGGACCACTGCCTTTGTAACAACATGCTCAGTCTTAAATTTCCTGTTACCATGGCAACGAGGGGACATCTCAAAATTGCCAAAATCACTATTTTGCCTCGATTTCTTCCATCAAAATTTCTTTCAAAGTGCTGCAACTTCTCAAGGGATTGAGATAGAGTCAAAGGCTTTTCAGCGTTGGTTACACGTTACATTATAATCGACCTGGGGTCATTTTTAGCCTCTCACAAGTCCAAAATTTTCTTGGCGATGAGGGGGACTCCGCCCCCCTTCAAACCCCCCTAACAGAAGGGGACACATCCCCCTTCTGGCAACCCCCTAATGTATCTTTTGGATGGGGGCGGCGCCGAAAAAGTGCTCATTTTTTTTAGCAACATTTCTCAAACTAAAACATGTGTTTGGGGCCCAAATAGGACATACTTTCACTATTTGAGGCCTAAAAAAAGGGGGGGGGGTCGAAAGTGCGTTGTTTCGCGTATATATGTGGTAAAGGGTTAACAAACCAGAGCTGTCGGTAGGACAGCAACGCTCGACTATTCTTAGTGCTTGATAGTAAAAAAAATGCTTGATACAGTTACCTCTACCTGTTTACAGGTTGGGGTCATGAGGGTGAACAAGTGTGCAAAGTTTCAAAGCCATATGTCAATGGACTTTGAAAATATTTGAACTATTACAAAAACTTTAACGTAAATTCTAAGTCGAAAAAGGGGAATAATTCTGTCAAAATGCTTGGTACAGTTACCTCCTCCTGTCTACAGGTTGGAGTTATGATGGTGAACAAGTGTGCAAAGTTTCAAAGCCATATGTCAATGGACTTTGAAAATATTTAAACTATTACAAAAACTTTAACGTAAATTCTAAGTCGAAAAAGGGGCATAATTCTGTGAAAATGCTTGATAGAGTTACCTCCTCCTGTCTACAGGTTGGGGTCATGATGGTGAACAAGTGTGCAAAGTTTCAAAGCCATATGTCAATGGACTTTGAAAATATTTGAACTATTACAAAAACTTTAACATAAGTGGTTACGCCGACGCCGACACCGACGCCGACGCTCGGGTGACTACAATAGCTCTACTTATTCTTATCGAATAGTCGAGCTAAAAATGATGAAAAACTTTGGAATCACCTTAAAACTAGTTTTTCCATGTTAACATGTGGTCTTTCACCTAACTTTGGTGAAAAATTGCTGTTTTGTAACATTTATAATTTTTTTAGTTAACCCTTTCCCCCATGAGGATAATTATTGTGAAAAATGGCCGTTTTCACTGAAAAGCCTCCTGTTACAAGTTTAAACTGCTATGAAACTATGAAAAATGCTTCAATACTAATCAAACTTGGCACAAATGTTGACTGGACCACTGCCTTTGTAACAACATGCTCAGTCTTAAATTTCCTGTAACCATGGCAACGAGGGGACATCTCAAAATTGCCAAAATCACTATTTTGCCTCGATTTTTTCCATCAAAATTTCTTTCAAAGTGCTGCAACTTCTCAAGGGATTGAGATAGAGTCAAAGGCTTTTCAGCGTTGGTTACACATTACATTATAATCGACCTGGGGTCATTTTTAGCCTCTCACAAGTCCAAAATTTTCTTGGCGATGAGGGGGACTCCGCCCCCCTTCAAACCCCCCTAACAGAAGGGGACACATCCCCCTTCTGGCAACCCCCTAATGTATCTTTTGGATGGGGGGCGGCGCCGAAAAAGTGCTCATTTTTTTTAGCAACATTTCTCAAACGAAAACATGTGTTTGGGGCCCAAATAGGACATACTTTCACTATTTGAGGCCTAAAAAAGGGGGGGGGGGGGGTCGAAAGTGCGTTGTTTCGCGTATATATGTGGTAAAGGGTTAAAGTGAGTGGCACATGCACAAAGTCATTGCTAAACGGATAAAACCCTACTAAAAATAGCAAAATAATATTTTGTTCCGGAACAAAATTTTTATTCTGTTTACGTACATTATTCATGTGTTTTAAATAACAGAGACATTCTATATGTTACAACTTTTTTCGGGACTCAACCATATAATAATGGAACCAATAAATTTTATAAAAATATTTCATTAGATATAGATTTATACCCTGTAAACAGCTCATTTTACAGGTTTCAACAAGTAAGCTTTCATTTACAACATGTATAAAATGTTTTTGTGGCTTGAAAGCGGACTACATATAAACAAACATGTTCAAGTTAAAACCCTGTTTTTTTTTCAGTAAACCCTTCGTCCGTATCTCTACATATTCAAATCAAACTTATAGTAACAGGGCAGACTTATACTTTGTCTAAATGACACTGAAAAAAAAAATGAAATGCGCTTATGGGTAACACCAAATTCCAAGCTAATTATTATAAAACCTTTTAAGATTAACACACTTATTGGAGTAAAAATAAACTGATATGCATAAATATGAAAACTTTTTTCATAAGGGAGATAATGCCTGGCCGCCTGCAGCTTCATTTTACTAAGACCCCCAGCAGGTAAAATATAGCTGACCCCTACAAGTCGGAAATCTTACCTGGAAGCATGTTGGCCCTGGTTTATTTGGTGGTAACGCAGCCAGCATCTCTATCTTCATGTCCGGAATAATTGCAATCATAGTTTTGACGATTATATGCTCGATCCTCTTCCAAATTTTGTCCGTATTATAGCCGTGTCTTTGCATTCTACTGAACACACTTGTTAACGTTCTTTTACTACCTTCATCATCTCGATCAGAACGATTAAATGACGTACTCTTTTTATTCAGTGAATAATTAGTTAAATGCATAAATGTTTCGTGTATATTTCGACTTGTTGGACTTTCGTATGGAACTGTCGAAAATCTTGCTAGACCTTCCTTGCAGATGTAGAGTTCTAACGGATCAACAGATTTAAGAACCGCGTACACCCTGAGGTCAAATTTGAATTTGTCAATAAGGAACACATCACTGAGGTACTCTTGACAAACATTCGCTCGACCGTTGTTGACTAAATAATCCTGAACATCGCGTATAAGGTAAATACCTTCTCCCTGAGAGCCAGTGTCTGGTTTCACGATAAATGTGGGACGTGGTTTGACACGTTTTTCATTCATTTTGCGTATATCATGAGCTAATTGTTGAAGTTGTTCCGGAAGGTACCAGGTCCTCGGATAAAAGTCATAGTCATCCGGGTACAAGGCACGCATCTGATCTAGGACCCGAAACAAATTGTTCTTACTGCAAATACAGCTTATACCTACAAATAGATAACATGAACAAATGTCTTAGATTTGTTTATTATATGCCAACAATACTAAAATCATGTAATTATTAGAACATTTTTATGCCTGTCTTTGTTAAATAAGAATAACGTTCATAAAGTTTTTTATTATCTTTGTAAAATGAAATTCTTTAAAGAAAAACTTGTTTAAAACCTGAAATGATCACTAAATAAATTGATATTAAAATCATTCAATTTGACAACTTTGGCAAATGTGTTATATCCGTTTTACAGTTACAGACAAGGCTTTCATAGTTTTGTCACCTTATTCAATATAGAAGTCAAATATATAATAATAAGAAATACTTCGTGTATGTATTAGGCTTAACTCAATATTAATTAATCCAAAAGTTTATAAATAGACAAATAATCTATTCTGATACACACTTCAAAACCACCATTTTACAACTATTTTTGTACACCTTTACCCAAATATTGTAAATTAAGAGATCAAATGAGTTGAACAACTGAAGAAAGTACATGTATCTGACTGACCAGGCAGTTATGTGTTAATATAAAGGTAGCAAAATGTAAACAAAGTAGTATTTTGACTTCAATACAAAATACAAATTCATTATAATTATACCAATTGACAATAGAGCAAAAGAAGCAAAAGGTAGTTCATGTTATAAGGCAAATAAGTATGTTTCTGGAAAAGTGTATTTAGATACTATACCAAAAATAAAAAGGTTTTTGAAAATAAAAATGATAGCATTTCTAAGGCATTATAAATGGGTCTTTAAGAACATAAAATGATTACATCAATGTTGTAGCTCAAAACTGCTTTCTGCTTATTCAATGAAAAATGATATACAAAGAGACTGCATTTATATCATTTCTATGGGGAAATCTTATGAGCCGCTTCACGACAAAACCAACATAATAGGTTTGCGACCAGCATGGATCCAGACCAGCCTGCGCATCCACGCAGTCTGATCAGGATCCATGCTGTTCGCTATCAGTTTCTCTACTTGTTATAGAGTTTGTAGGCGAACAGCATGGATCCTGATCAGACTGAGACTGTGCGTATGCGCAGGCTGGTCTGGATCCATGCTGGTTACAAACGCATTATGTTGTTTTTGTTGTGACGCGGCTCATTTATCTACACATTGACAATGATTGTACATCATGTGATGTTGAACTATACCTGGGAACTTGTTAACTTTACCGCCATACAGGTCAGGGTTCTGCTCAAAGTTCTGGCACTGCCAGTGTATGTCACAGTGCTGGTCTTTTCTTCCAAATGGGTACTATGAAAATATAAAAACAACCTTGTAAAATATGGTTGTGCATGCATCAACTGAAAAGCAAAACATTGTGACATAACAGAATGAACTTTGGTGGTAGTGAAAATGCAAAAAAAATTACTTGTTCAATAATGGCTTTAAATCATACTGTTAGCCACATCTATATGCCTAATCTATAGAACATCTGAGTAATATGTACAACTAGGTATTCAAAAGTGAAATGAACATGTAAATATCAAACATATTTTTGCACTTTTAAAATTAGAAAACTTTTGAAAATAAGTCATTTGTGAAATTTTCCAAAATTTTAAATAATGGGAAATTCTATTGAAACTGGATTTAGTTTTGTTAAAATGCAATGTTTCTCTTATGTAGTCAAGTGATTATAATACATAACATTTTCAAAGTTTTAAACAATGCAAACAGTTCTATATCAAGGCTATACAAACATCTTTATTTCAATATTTTTAAGTGTGTTAAATTATAACAAACATCAAATGTTTTCAATGTCATAAAAAAGCTAATTAGCCCATTATAAATTTTAGTACGTAGTAATTTGATTATCTACTGTTTTACAATACGATGGATCTTTTGGAGTACAACTATTCTACATTTAGCTACAACAAAGTATATTGTACTGTCCAAATGTGATTAAGATCTTTAATTGTCAAACTTATCATACCCTCAATCTTAAAACAATCTTTAGGAAGAAGTTTGGCACTGATAATAGGACATTATTTTCATACATAATTAACATTAAGGTACATGTGTGTTGTTTTTTTTACTACCTTTAACTCTCCTAGAAATCACAATAAAAAATTATTTTGTACACTGTTCTGTACACAACTTCTACCAGAAAACAACCTGTTACTGTAAACCAAAAAGAATTTATAAAGAATTATTTGATACCTCATCATAGAACACTTAAATTTTCATTGGTTACGTGAGAATTTTGTGCATGCCCATCTGTTTATGATGAAATTTACAAACGTCATTCTTTCAAACTATTAGAGGTACCTGTTATCTGAAGGATCTACAGAATACCAACTAACAAAATGCTTGAAACTTAAAGCTAAAAGGCACAATATGCCTCAGAAATCCATATTTTTTCTTGAAATGTCAAGCATGTGTTTAATAAAGTTTAAATAATGGATTCAGAGCATAAAAGATGTCTAACAACTGAGGAAATAAGCACTAAATGTGCAGCAATATGGGCCATAAAATGATAAAGGTAAACAAAGTAGTATTTTAACTTCCATACAAAACATTAACCTTCCAAATATAGTAATAGCAATTGCCAACAAAGCAGAAGATTTAGCAAAAGATAGTTCAACTATGTGCCAAATGAGAAAATTATTGGAACATGTAACATTAAGATAGCAAAAGTAAAAAGTTTTTGAGTATTAAAAATGGTGTGATTTCTGAGGCATTGTGGGCCTTTAAATACCCTAACAGTAGCTAGCTAGCTAGAGTTACCCATTTCAAGTCAATTCATATTTTAATTCATAAATACTCTAAAACTGACAGACCAAAACAGAACATATCAAATTACTGTCAAATCTCTGATCTCAATATCAAGTGAAAAGGGTAATTCAAATTATGGAAAAAAAAACTTTAACAATATTCTTTCACTTAATGTGTTAAAACAAAAGAAAATCACTGCCTATTGGGAATGAGTAATCAATACCTACAGGTCAAAATCAAGACAACACTATATTGAAAGAAAGACAAATTTTAAGATTAGAGTGGTAGTAGTACTATTGTCTTACTCTTAAGGCAGGCCTCGACACTAACTTTTTTAGCAGGTGGTTAGCCGGACCACTAGATTTGAAATTAAGGTGGTCCTTCCAGGAGTCAGGTGGTCAATTATTATTATGTCATTTTACTGCAAAATTAGAAAAAAATATGTTTAAAATTGATGACAAAGATGTATCATTAACCTTAAGAAAACAGATATTTTAGATATATATTTTTATCTAATCAGAAATAAAGGAGAGCAAGTTAGTAGGTATTTTATCATAAAGTTATTTGGTTTTTTATATGTCATTCAAAAATACACAACAGGGCTCTTATTTATGTTCTTTAATTATGATAATTACATGTATCTTTTATAGATTAACATTTTTGATAAAACTAATAAATTATCTTAAAACAAGGAAATAGCTAGAGGATAAAAAAATAAAACTAATGTTATATATAACTATAGTTAAGCTTATTTTTCTCACAGATGTATAATACCTATTTTTTACCTCCCTGTTGCTTGTTGGTTGATATTTATTTTTAACATGTCATTGAGTATTTTTAACCTTTTAAAGTAATTTTAACTCTAGAGGAAATGGATCTCTATCGTTAAACAGTTAAAATAAAGATAAGTAGCAAAGAATTACTAGATGTATTTTTCCAGTTCCTTTTGTTTGCTGCCATTATTTAAGTATATGAAATTTTAAGTTTATCTTATATCCCATACAATATCATAATTACCATCGTCGGATGCCCACGGTTAATTAACACGTAATATAACATAAATGTTACTGGTTCCACCGTAGGTATCCAACGATGCATAATTATTAGCATCATTTGAATGAATTTTGTACCTTAGGGCCCAGTTACACAGACGGTCGGTCCCCAATCGGTCATTTAATTTTAAATTTACTCGCTGTTATGATCGGTTGTCATGCGTGATTTTATTTCTGGTTTTCTGTGTAAACGGCCATCGGTGACAGAAAGCAAACTCAAACGGGAATGGGTCGATGATTAAATGCTGAAATACTTTTGGTTTTTTATCTTTTGTAAATCGGAGCTAAATCGGGCGTAACGCTGATTGATCGGTGTTTGATAGCTAGTCATCAGTGGTTAAACACTTTCCGTCAGATATGGCCGGTGATTCATATTTGGTTATCTTTGTCCGATCGGCGATATCGGTGATTAAGAGCTTGCATATCTCGTGATATAGGTTGCCGTCGGTTATTTTTAAAATATTTTCACCGATCGAGAATTTTAAACGTGTTTAAAAATCCCAATCGGTAATTTTTCACCGATGAAACTTATCTTTCCCCAATAGCAGTTGATAGGTGGAAAACAGGTGATCAATAGGTGATATCGGTGTTAAATACGTTGTCATCGGTTCACTCAGTAATTTGTCTAAAAAAACTACCGATCAATCACCGATGGCTCTGTGTAACTGGGGTGTTAATTGATATCACAAAGTCTAAACTCTTTTAACTTGCATAAACCAAATTTTAGCGATTTAAAATGAAAGTTATAGATGACTTAAGAACTTCTTTAACTAATCAGATAATTAATGAACCATATACATGTACATCGGACAAATGATTTTAAAGAAAATGTTTGTAACATGTTTTTGACCAAATCACCATTCTCCCAAATGAGTCTGCACCAACCAGAAAATTCAAGTGGTCCAACGGACCAGCGGCTTTTAAAATTAGGTGGTCCTTACCAAAATCAGGTGGTCTCGGACCAACGGACCACCGCTAATGTCGAGGCCTGTCTTAAGGTACAACAGTTCAAATCCTGAAAATGGTTTCAAAATGCATTAATATGCAGGGTTGTGGCCATCTTATTAGCGCATGTTGTGTATTAAAAATAAAATAATAAAATTATTTACATTCCAAGTGAAAGTGCATAATACATCTTTTTCAAAATAACTAAGTCTGACACAGAATCTATTATAAATCTTAAACATCAAAATATTTCTATTATCTGGAATGTCGACAAAATAAATTAGGGTTTTAAATAATTCTGCAGATTTTGATGTATAATTATTATAATGTGTAACTTCTGTTGATACAATTTTGGCTGTTCACCAGTTTAATAATGAATTTGATGGAAAATATTACATTTTACACCAAAATGAGGTTTTCTAATTTTAATTTAATGAATCTAGTTAGGAGTACTGTATTCCTAGAAAAGATTTGGCGCATTTTAAGTTAGCGGTTTTCGCGGTAGGCATGATTCCGCGAATCTTTATAGCCGCGAATATGTCACTTATAACAAATCCGCGAACATTTCTAGCTTCAACAAAATATAACATAAAAAGTGCAGAATATTTATTATAATCTACTTACACAAAACAACATATAAACACAGGTTTAAGAGAAACGTGTAAAGAATTATTTATGTATGTTATTGATACTAGTTTTCACGTTGAAAAAGAAAATATCAATTATTAGTAATTAACATGCTTATTGACGTTATTTGCTAGTCACGGCGTTGACAAACGCATTTACAGTTTGCGAACATTGAATGACTTGGATTTCATTTGCTTGGAGTAGGTGTAATCCTTTGTTAAAAGTACAATAGCGATCAAGTGCTACATTGATAAACAGCTGTTATGTTGTTAAATGAAAGCGATGTACAGTCCGATAATGTGTAAAAAAATACGTATCTACATTTTGGAGATAGAGTCAGTTATTATTCAAATGAGAATAAAAGCTAACTGGTCTGACTAAATCTTACTTAATAACATAATGAAAAAGGTAAGGAAATATGAAAGTGTTGACGGAACAACCGTCCTTGTTCGAGTAGTCAATAGATGAAAATGTATCGAGTAACGTTGCGCTTTAGGGCTGACTTGAAATAAAACAAGAAACATGGCAATGCCATGAAACCAGGTTTTCAATTATCACCATTGTAGATAAATATGTTGTATTTGAAATACAAATACAAGCAACAAACAATGTAACTATGTGCAATGTAAAACATGAATAATGTAGGAGGAATTGCCACTGAAGAAGTGTTCACTATAATATTATGTATAAGGAAAAAAACAAAGGGCCATAATTAGGTCAAAAACTATCCAATCACAAAACCCCGACAATATGTGCCAGGGTGCTTGATGACAAAGCTTCTGTGAAAGTTTGAACAAAATCCGTTGAGAAATGTAGGACGAGTTCAGCACAGAAGAATTTGTTCACTATAATTATATTGATATTTCTGTATAATGAAAAACAAGTTACAAAGTAGACATGAAATAATATATCATATCTTTTTTAAATTACCTCCAAAGATGATATGACCTTTGACTGCCAAATCAAGTTAAAATCATGTAAACAGGATTTTCAATGTTAATGTCACTGTGACCTTGACCTTGGAGCCAGCCATGCGGAACATGCGTTCTGCACGTCATCTTGATGTGGTAAACATTTGTCTGAAGTTTCATCAAAATTCTTCAAAGGGTTGAAGAGTTACAGAGCGGACAGGATTTTCAATGTTAATGTCACTGTGACCTTGACCTTGGAGCCAGCCATGCGGAACATGCGTTCTGCACGTCATCTTGATGTGGTAAACATTTGTCTGAAGTTTCATCAAAATTCTTCAAAGGGTTGAAGAGTTACAGAGCGGACAGGATTTTCAATGTTAATGTCACTGTGACCTTGACCTTGGAGCCAGCCATGCGGAACATGCGTTCTGCACGTCATCTTGATGTGGTAAACATTTGTCTGAAGTTTCATCAAAATTCTTCAAAGGGTTGAAGAGTTACAGAGCGGACAGGATTTTCAATGTTAATGTCACTGTGACCTTGACCTTGGAGCCAGCCATGCGGAACATGCGTTCTGCACGTCATCTTGATGTGGTAAACATTTGTCTGAAGTTTCATCAAAATTCTTCAAAGGGTTGAAGAGTTACAGAGCGGACAGGATTTTCAATGTTAATGTCACTGTGACCTTGACCTTGGAGCCAGCCATGCGGAACATGCGTTCTGCACGTCATCTTGATGTGGTAAACATTTGTCTGAAGTTTCATCAAAATTCTTCAAAGGGTTGAAGAGTTACAGAGCGGACACAATTTCGTTTGACGCCCGCCCGCCCATCCGCCCAGCCGCCCATCCGCCCGCCATACCCCAATCTAATAACCAGGATTTTCAAAATTGAAAACCTGGTTAATAATTAAAGCACCCACCAGGCAAGGTCATGCATCAAAAACGTAACATCCAAAAACTGTAATTTAGGCCGTAGCGACTTAATATTCGCGGAATTCGCGGTTAGTACATATCCGCGAAAGTTTGTCTCCGCGAAAATGCCGACTTTGTGAAAAATGCGAAATATTGTATCCGCGAACATTTCTAGGAATACAGTATATTGAATTTAGACACTTTTGACTTAGTTTTACCCAAAAAAAAATGGAATGTTTATTGTTTAAAGGTAAATTTGTTTACTTTGAACACAAAATAAAAATGTTTAAATTCAAGCTCAACACAGTCGAAATGGAAATGTTTAATTAAGTATGTCGACAACACAGCATTCAAGGATAAATCATGTACAGATTGTGGCCCAGTTCAGGTGTGCTGTCGTGGTTATATGGCAATATGTGTCCTGCTGGTACTACCTACATTCCCGGTAGATAGGACTACCAGGATAAAACTTATAAATATTTCTGAAAATGAAATGAATTAGGCTGATCAAAAAGAATTGGATCAACTTGGCACTAAAACTAACTCGGCCCTGAGTCACCTCCGCACAGGTGAACTCAGCCCATAATAATAATTATATTACTGGTAATGATTACACTAATACCTTTATAACTTTTTACATTTTCATCATTACTTTCTTGTTTAATATTTTCACATTTATTCTAATGGATATTTAATGGATATTTAAAAGTTTTATTGATGAAAGTATGTGAATTTGTAGAGGAAGAAAGAATTTGCAATTTATTGCCAAAGCTACTAAGATTCCAAGATGTTCTTCTTCTGGGTCAGAATCTCACTTCAGAGGGCTTCACAGGGGAGATATTGCCCATTTTAATGCATAGTACAATTAGTTGGGCTAACAATTTATTAAATACCGTAAAATTCCTAATGAACGCCCCCGGGGGCTAAACATTTTCCAAAAGGGGGGCAGCGTATTATTACAACACAGTTTTTCCTAAATAAAAAAATCACTGTAAATACATTTAGTGTTAGCAAGTGTTGGTAATGACATTAAAATGTTAAGGTTTTAAAGTTCATATTATACATATTTGTGTTTACTATAAAATACTATGGATTCTGAATGATTTGAATAAAATTATGGCTTTAATTATGAGTTCAGCACTGATGAGTAGATTGTTTTCCCTATCAAAAGGCCTGGGGGGCCTTTATTAGGGGAGGGGCGTTTATTAGGAATTTTATGGTATGTATGTTTTGCCTATACCTTGATATTGTTTATGTATATATCAAAATAACTTAATATAGGCCGTTTTGAAAAAAAAATCATATTTCAACATCTATAATACATATAGATGTTGAAATATGATTTTTTTTCAAAACGGCTTATATTAAGTTTGTTTGATATATATGATCAGTACATGTGCTAGGATTGACAAATATGCATTTTATTTGGATTTTAAAGGTGTTTTGAGCTCCAAACCCCAAGTGTCTGTGATCAAAGTAACATTATTGTAACATGCGTACATTTATAAGAAAGTAATTATATGTTGAAATAAATATTGAATTAATTGTAAACATATATGTCAATTAATATTTATATTTATATATATATTTACATATATGATATATTATATATATGTCAAATATTTATAAAAAAATGGGTATTGCAAAAACATGTGTTCATTACGAAAATTGATTAAAGAACGCATATCTAAAACATTTGTCACACCTTTAGTTTAAACAATTATCTTAGGATTGTTGTAGAAATATTTAATTGACGCCGAAATAATCCTTTAATTCTCTGACAATGTGAACAACTGTGCATAAGAGTTCCCTCACAATTACATGTAGTTTTTGTCACTTTGTTTTGTGAATAATGTGTTATGTTATTTTGGAAATAAAAAATGTTGAGATAATAATAAAAAAAAGATATTATAAAAACAAGCTATTTTTGTAAAAAAAAATCTGGCTATAGAAATTACAAAGTTTTTGTAATTTTGGTAATAAAATAATTATGTTTTTATGTGTTTCTATTCAGTTGATTTAGTATTCTTTTCCAGGTTAAAGTTTTAAAAAATGTTAACATATTTACACTGTGTATGTAAATTTTGTAATAAAATATGTTTGTTATCATTTGTCTTTAGCCTATTCAATAAAAGCTGTTTTTCGTATAATTTTCCAGTTTATATAAATAACGAAGTTTAGCTTATCTACAATGTGTAATGTAATTTTGGTGAAAAATATTTGGTTTTTATGTGTTTTTATTCAATAAAAGCTGTTTTTAGTATAATTAATTTATATAATTAACAAATGAAATATAGAATGGAAAAATGTTTTCCATCAACAGTTTGAAAACAGGTGTGAAAAAGTTCGTATTTGAACACGTGGCGAATCGTTATTTAACTGTGGCGAATCGTTAATACTCTGTGTCGAATCGTTATGTGGCGAATCGTTAGTGTGGCGAATCGTTACATTACCATTCAACCGATACCCTGCCAACATTTTCCATTTCTATTTTTAGTGATTGTAACTCTGAACAATTTTTACAATATAATCCTGAAAAGTCTATTAATTTAACAATCTAGATCCTAATAGGGTTTTTTTTTAGAGTACCGAGTTGACATGTTTCAAGTTGACTTGTGCTGATAAAATTGAGCCTTTACCGATAAAAAAATATTGACTTTTTATGTGATTCCAAAAATAAGTATTACTTGTTTCCATTCCAATTCTGACAAACACATCCGTAAAGCATCTAGGTTCCCCCTAGCATGGGAAAGATCAACCGTTATCATGTATTTTGGCACTGGTTTGACATCAGCTAAGATCTTCATTTTTTCACGTTTAATTTCTGCCACCTTTTTCTCACGAAAAGTGAGTTCTCTCCTAAAATCGACACCTTTATAAAGTTCGATATTTCTCTTATTTTTTGTTGCACTCATTATGGAATTTTAAAGTATATTTACAACCATATGACTCATTATGGAATTTTAAAGTATATTTACAACCATATGCTTCATAAATTTTTCATGGTCATGAATTGAATCATCACAAAAAGAATTGAAACATAAAGAAAACAATTTTACTTCGGAAAAACATTCGATTTTACTTATCACTTGATACAGATTCTTTAAAAGACCCCATCAAGATTATAATCACTCATCCATAATCTGTTGACAGAACACATAACATTTCCATTTTCAAGCTTAAAGTTTATAACACATGCGAAGACGTTTAGACTCCGCCATTCTTCGCAACATATCAACAAATGAAGCGCCACCACATGGAAAAAATCTTGAGTTATCGCCCTTAGATCATGCTAAATTCTCGTATCCGTACCACTCAATACATTTAATAGGGGAGACTACTAGGTAAAAACATTGCCAAACTTCTCACAGCGGTTTCTTCCCTTGACCAATACATGAATATGGTTATGTCTGATCATTGAAAACAATCAGGTCCCAAGGTAAAAGTATTTCCTGGTATATTTCTTTCACAATGCAAACCTACCCAGATATAAATCTTTCGAAGAACACATATTTCAAGGCATATTTTTTCTACTCTGGTATAAGTCTATTCTGAAGTATAAGTGTACTCAGGTCAAAGTCTACTCAGGTATAAGTCTACTCAGGTACAAATCTACTCTGGTCAAAGTCTACTCAGGTATAAATCTACTCAGGTATAAATCTACTCAGGTATAAGTCTACTCATGTATAAGTCTATTCAGGTATAAGTCTACTCAGGTACAAATCTACTCTGGTCAAAGTCTACTCAGGTATAAATCTACTCAGGTATAAATCTACTCAGGTACAAATCTACTCATGTATAAGTCTACTCAGGAACAAATCTACTCAGGTATAAGTCTACTCAGGTATTAATCTACTCGGGTATAAGTCTATTCATGTATAAGTCTACTCAGGTATTAATCTGCTCGGGTATAAGTCTACTCATGTATAAGTCTACTCAGGTATTAATCTACTCGGGTATAAGTCTAGTCAGGTATAAGTCTACTCAGGTATAAGTCTATCTGAGTGTGTCAAGAAATGACTTGGATAAAGCACCAGTTTCTATTTTTCTGTAATTTCTGCTTGTTTGTTATCAAACATTGCATCCAAACAACACATTTTAAAGACATTTAATCATACCTAAAATCACACAAATGTCACCGTTTTTTTTTTCTTCAAAATTTTTCTTACCTCCCCTCCCCCTTCAAATTTCAAAGTCTCTTGCTCTGGCCTCCTCAAATTAAATTGAAGCCTTCTAAAAATTTCTTAATGACAAGCCATGTATCTGTAACCAACTCTTTTACATGTGTGGGACCAATATGATTACCATGCTTCCTGCCTTTCTACAAATAGTCTTATGTTACTAACAGAACCAACACTGTGAGAAAGAAGCTTTATAACAAGAACAAAGGAACACTGGCTAACATGAAATATTTTATTTCTCAAATGAACACATGTTATTCATGTATATAAAATTTGAGTATAAAGACATAAAATGTAACACAACCAATGCATTTAATAATGCCCTTTATAATGGGATAAATTGTAAAAATATGATCATTTAACAAAACTTTGTTATTGAAAGAGTTATGGCCCCTGTTTTTAACCATTTACCTTCTTGCTCCAACTGGCTATTCTCATATGACCTATGAAGACCAGGATCAGCCTCAGGTCATCTGATCATAGTCTGCACTGTTCACTGTTTAGTCAGTATCTCTTTTGAAATTTCCCCTAAAAAGATAAATGGTGTTGTCCAAATTGAAAGATGGAAGAGTCCATTTTAGATATTTAGCAGGACAGGGATTAATTAAACCATTTCTTATTAACTTCAATATTTCATCAATTATTTAGTACAAGCAGCTTAAAAAAAGCTTTATTCAAGAATCTGATGGACAAACTAATAAAGCACAATACAATAAACCAATTATTAACTTGTTTAAAAACATAACCTATAAGTAGAGACAAATTTGTTAAAATTCTGAACAGTTAAGCTGTTGAGGAAACTTTTAACAAAAAATCTGTTCCATTCCAGCTTTCATTTTTCTTATAAAGGATTTAGAATATCGGATGAGATAAATATATCTATATCTTTATGTATAATATAACATGTACATGTAAATGTCAGAATGAATTTGATAACAGAAAAGGTAAATATCTTGAAAAGAAATACACTTATATATATTTATAACAAATAAAATACAGGTAAGTTTACATTTGAGTATTTTATAACAATTTGACCAGCAAATTGAAAATGCCTATGATTATAAAACACAACATGAAGACTAGTCTCTAAACTAAGCATCTGATTGGTCAATTCTGTATGAAAATTTAAAATTAACCAATCAGTGAGATTTGTTCCCAGACTGCATCACCAACTCTGTTTTAATTAAGCCATAAATACATATATTTACTCTGTACAAAAAAGTAACAAATATAATGCAATATTTAATCTATATACATATGTACATGTTTGTATGATAAAACAATTTAATAATTATGTAAATAGTTTTGCAAAAAAAAAAAAGGATTTCCTTTAATAGACTTTCTAAATCAGTTATGCCAATTTAAATGATAAAAAATGTTTCGCCAAAATGATCTGATATTTCAAATTGCTTTTATTTTTCCAATTAAGACACTATTCACATGTCTAATTGTATCACGGATTTGAATCGAGTAACAAATATTATTCTACTGATACCTAAGACACCTACATTAGAGCTTAATATAACCCTTAAAACAATGGGGTGAAAAATAGTAGTTCTTTTAATAATTATGAAGTCTGGGCATAATACATTTAGTATTGTATTTAGAATATTTTTGTAAAAAAATATCATTGATTGAAAGGATTTCTGTGAAAGCAATTATGGTAAAATAGCTAACAGTATGTATATAAAATGTAAGTAATACCTAAAAAAAATTTCATCAAAAAAAATTGTTTTCATTTTGATATTGGATTTCTACATGTAAAACAAAATTATAGAAATATATATAATATAATTATCTACAGAAAAACACAATGAATTTTTAGGTTTTTTTAATGATTGTGACATCACAAATTAGGGCCTACCATTCAAAGACAAAAGTTGATAACTCAAATGTTTTGGCATGAACTATTTGTGCACCAAATATGATATACATGTATATCTTTAGAATAAAAAAGAATATAACCAAAAAAAAGTTATTATTTTAAAAACATAGTCTCCTCAAAACACATACGTTTCTATGGCCATTAAGCATGGGACTTATATTGGGGTTATTTTTATGTCCCAGGCCATAGCCTATAAACTGAAACTCACTTACAGTACAATTACAAATAAATCTGATATAAAAAATATCCATAAAATGCAAGTTGATAATTTTACAGCTATCATATCATAGAACAATAAATTTATAGAAGTACTAAATGGATTTTTTTAAACACTGTTATAACCAACATAAATGGATTTCATATGAAAGAACATAAAATATATGACAACTGAGGACCCAATTATATAGGACAACCAATGCTGCTAGATAGCCAGTGCACTTGACTATTTCTCAGTGTTTTAAATACTTTAAGTTAAAGGTCATGTAGGTACATTTTTTAAGTTCACAAAGGGGAATAATTTATTGGATTTTTATTTTTGACAGATAAATAATCAGAATATTAGGTCTTTGGTATTGACATAATAATGATGATTCTGAATATTTGTGTCAAGTTTCATGTGAAATTCTTAAATGTGAAATTCTTAAATAAATTTTATTCAGAAAGCTGTATGGTTCAACTGAATGAAATCCAATTGCTAGAGTTATGGGTCTTGGACAGTGACCAACAAATATGATCTTGAATACATGTATATATGTGAAGTTTTAAATGAACACCTACAATGGACAAAATAAGATTGAATGTTAAACCTGTTATACATCTATCCAGTGGCCATTCATGTTCTTGAAAAAAATATAGATTGGATTAATTACACAAAATAAGAATATGTGAAAATTGCAAGTTTAGTTAAATGATTCATGCATGGCAGTGATATACATGCACATATACTTGTATAAAAATAATGCATATTATCATCAATGGCCCCTAGCACCCCTTTCAGCAGAATAATTAAACCTGTTTTTAATACCAAGTGGTAAAAATTTGAGTAAATATGATATTTCAATGTAAGCATATAAAGTCATAACGAAATATGTTTTCATATTACAAAAGAAAAAAATGTCTGCTTCCAAATATTTGAAAAGATATCTAATCTATAATAAATGTAAAATAATTACTAAGTAGGTAACTCATTTGTAAAAAATTAAATTTCAGTCTCTAGAATGAATTAATAACATGTATAATGTACTTTACAGCAACATCTAATATTTGTAAGTCATTGTGTAATTTGATACAAATGATCTCTTGATGTCTATTTATCTGTTGCAAATTCTGTCTATAATGTAAGCATATAATTACACACTGGGATATAAAAAATGGTCCACAGCAATGCATTCACGATACTAACTTTTAATATTTGCCATACAAGTATGAACATCTCTGCATATATTTCTACACAGAGTGGAGGCAATCAATTGTGTTGGCAACCCTAGTTTAATCAGGTCAGTCCGTCACTGCTTGCATTTCTTCTACACAGTTAACTCACTGCAGTGTATGTTAAATTTTTATCTACTAGTACACAGCTGCATATGTTTGCATCCATGTGTAAACAAATCAGTCAATAGCTCAGCATATATTGATACACAGGGCATCGTATGTTCGTTCACACAGCTGCATACAGATATATTGGCACACAGCTTTAAAGATTCTAACAGTACATTCAAGAATGTCCAAAGAACTACTTTATGTACATGCTTTATCACAGCTTCATGTATTCACGCTCTACATTACCTGAAAACAAAATAAACAACATGGAATAATAATGAGAAAACGTGTTTTTCATACCATTCAAGTAAGCTATGAACATTAACACCTTTATGTCAAACATTACTTATTTAAGCTTGATTGTAAGTAAAGCTTGAAGAGGCTGCTTTGTAACCAGTACAGGTTTCATTTTAGGAAACAAGGTTGTGACCCAGGTGGGCTTGAACCAACAATCGCAGGGTTGAGAGTAAGACATCTATCATTACCAGAAAAAGAATACAGATAACCATTTGTATTTGATTTTATGCACAATCAGTTACATGTATAATAGTAAGGACTTTCCAACTATCTGTAACAAGCTTACACCTCACATAGAGGGTTCCATCATCCCTGGTTGAGATTCGAACCCAAACACAAGTGATTCTGGGTCAGTTTTTGCAACTACACCACCATAGCCACCTCTATTAAATAGGTAATTACAGTGCACAGTGCCAACTGATGAACAGTCATTCAAAATTAATACAATGAAAACTGAACTTAAAAGAAACTAGAACTGCCACTATCATGGCGTGAATACCCCCGCATACCACTTTGTCAGAATCAACAGTGGCCATTTAGAGCTCAAGGACAACCTCCCTGCCAAATCTGAGGTTACTAAGCCAGTGCATTGCTAAGTTATGTATTCTACATGCTTCAAATGTGAAAATGTCAAAATCAATACATTGCGGACAGGACATTCTTTAGCAATTGAGAAGAAAAGATTTTTTTTTGTCAAGGTCCCTGTGACCTTGACCTTTGACCCAGTGACCTCAAAATCAATAGGGGTCACCTTATAGTCATGATCAACATCCATGCCAAATATGAAGACTGTGGGTCAAAGGAATCTTAAGTTAATGGGTGGACAAACTTTTTGAAGTCAAAGTCCCTATGACCTTGACCTTTGATCAAGTGACCTCAAAATCAAAAGGGGTCATCTACTAATCATGATCAACATACATGCCAAATATGAAGACTGTGGGTCAAAGGAATCTAAAGTTATTGGGTAGACAAACTTTTTGATGTCCCTGTGACCTTGACCTTTGACCTGGTGACCTCAAAATCAATAGGGGTCATCTACTAATCATGACTAACCTCCATTCCAAATATGAAGACTGTGGGTCAAAGGAATCTTAAGTTATTGGGCGGACAAGCTTTAGGAAGTCAAGGCCCCTGTGACCTTGACCTTTGACCCAGTGACCTCAAAGTCAATAGGGGTCATCTACTAATCATGACTTACCTCCATGCCAAATATGAAGACTGTGGGTCAAAGGAATCTTAAGTTATTGGGCGGACAAGCTTTTTGAAGTCATGGCCCCTGTGACCTTGACCTTTGACCTGGTGACCTCAAAGTCAATAGGGGTCATCTACTTATCATGACTAGCCTCCATGCCAAATATGAAGACTGTGGGTCAAAGGAATCTTAAGTTATTGGGCGGACGAGCTTTCTGAAGTCAAGGCCCCTGTGACCTTGACCTTTGACCTGGTGATTTCAAAATCAATAGGGGTCATCTACTAATCATGACTAACCTCCATGCCAAATATGACGACTGTAGGTCAAAGGAATCTTAAGTTATTGGGCGGACAAGCTTTTTGAAGTCAAGGCCCCTGTGACCTTGACCTTTGACCTAGTGACCTCAAAATCAATAGGGGTCATCTACTAATCATGACTAACCTCCATGCCAAATATGACGACTGTAGGTCAAAGGAATCTTAAGTTATTGGGCGGACAAGCTTTTTGAAGTCAAGGCGCCTGTGACCTTGACCTTTGACCTAGTGACCTCAAAATCAATAGGGGTCATCTACTAATCATGACTAACCTCCATGCCAAATATGAAGACTAAAGGTCAAAGGAATCTTAAGTTATTGGGCGGACAAGAAAAAACCGACGGACAGCCAGACGGACGGACAAGCTGATTCCAGTATACCCCCCTTACAACTTTGTTGTGCGGGGGTATAAAAATTCATGCAAAAACACAAATTATGAAAAGCATTCAATAATCAGTCATTTTGAGCAAATAAACTTTGAAAATGTTATATCAAATGACCAGAATAATATAATGGTGGCCTTTACAAGCCTCCATACTTACTATCTTTTTGCAACACATGGTAGGTATGATAATCTTTGGACGAGTCATTTTGGAATGTTGGATTAAAATATTCAGCTTTTCCGTCTGCTGTAGGCTCTAAATAAACGGCTCCGCCTTCGTCTATTCTGTCCGGAACTGAAGGTTTTTTAATACTAGGCAATGACCTGAAAAATTCAAAAGTTTATTCATGTACATGTGGTAGTAAATAACAAACCAGTACTAGGTAACAGTTATTTATTCAAAAACATCTTGAGAAATTCCGAATTCTTCATTTAATATATTAATAAATTGATCCGAAAATTTCAGAACTTTCTAAATATTTAGCACCTATCACAATTGGAAATGGCAAGAGTGAAATTAAAAATTCTAACACAACCCGCATTTTCCCTAGTGTACATAGAAGAACCGAAAGTGTGTAAATATGCAATAAAATCACTCTTGATGATCTATATCTAGACATGACTTTTGTGACATAACCATTACAATATGACATGCTGAAAATAAGTATGGAAACAAATCAGGCACAGTTTAGCTTGATAATCATGTTCGGCAGAATTTATTTGTCAATGTCGTGTTAGAAAATAGAAATAATATATCCCCAGCAGTGAATAAAATAAAGCCTTCGTGGTCAATTCATATGCATTAAAACTCCAAACCGGTGTTAAACAGCCTATAAACACCGCTAAAACTGATATTATTAAAAAAAATATTTCTTAATTTTACTGAACTCCATATCATGAGGATTGAAAAAAATATGTTTTATAAACCTAATAGAATGTAATATATTGTTTTTATAAATAATCTTTCTGAAATGAAAAATCTTATCTTATCCTTAACATTAAAATAAAAATGAAATGAACATTGGTACTATTTCTTCAGAGTAAGATTCACTGAAAGTAGTTCCTTAGTAATTTACCTGACATCACTATCATTGATATAATCATACACCTCCTCATCTTGTTTTGAATCCTGTCTCTTGGGTGGCGGCCGTTTTGGTTGTTCTGGGCGTGAATTGTAACCAGGGTTACCTATACCACCATTCTTCTGTCCATTGCTGGGGTATGATGGTATACTTGTGTTGGGAGGTTGTGTGTTTGAGCCCTGAATTAACATGATATATACTTTATTAATTTGAATCAATTTAAGTCATTCAATATTTAACCCCTCTTAACCCGTTGAATTCATAAAATCGATATGCCCTGTTATGCATTTGGGACAGTCCATTTGAAAATTAAATGTTTTTATATTCAAATATAAAAACTGAGGTTTTTCTGAGTTTTTTTGGGGAGATTGGGTTTAACATCGCACCACACAGTATAGGTAATATGGCGACTTTCAATCTTTACTGATGGAGGAAGACCTCAGGTGCCCCTCTGCAGATTATTTCTGGCACAAACGGGCAAATGAGTAGAACACATTCCATAAGCTAGTTGGATTGCTTCCCACATGAAAAATCCGAAGACACTGATGTAGTTTAAAAGTGAGAGGCAAGTGGTTTGCAGTCAACGTCCTTAAACATACGGCCATGGATGCCCCTAAAAACTGAGTTAACAATAGAATAGTGTCTGGTCAGACTGCAAAGTAGTGCGGCATGGCCTGTCTCTATAGTGGTGCCAATGAGGGTCAAGGGTTAATATTTACATAAATATATGGATATTTTACTAATTTTGTAACTAAAATCTGCAAACCAAATCTTAATAAACTTTCATTGCCATGCATTATAAGAGAAATAATCTGTAAATAAAAAGATATCTTACCACTGATAAATCAGTAAATTTATTCGTCGCTTTCTCAGCATTTGACTTCCTCCTCATGATGAAGCAAGCTCCTATTATAATTATAGCAATGACAAGAACGCCACCTATAACTCCACCCACTATCGGTAATGTGTTACCTTAAAATAAATCAAGTTCAAATTTTGAAAGGAGCTCCACTGAGGTCAAAAAATCTATTAACATAAAATATGAAATTTTACATTGATCAAGTGAATCACTCACAAGAGCTGTCACAGGAGACAGCGAAGCTCGACTAATAAAATACTGGACGCAGTAAGGAGGACAAAACTATGAAAGAAAAATCAATTATGTATAATAATGTATTAAGTTATAGTAAAAAAATAACATTTGTTAACATAAATTCCAAGATCAAGGGGAATAATTCTAGAAATAGTCATGCTAGAGTTATGGACCTTGTCACACAACATTTGTGTAATGATAAGAAATATATGTTTGAAGTTTGAAGTAGATACCTTAAAAAGTAAAGAAGTTATTGTATTTCTTAAAGAAAATCCTAAGTTCAAAGAGAGATAAATCTGTAAATATTGCTTCAAGAGTTATGAACATTGTCACATAAAATGTAATTGATGATAAGGAATAAGTATTTGAAGTTTGAGGTAGATACCTTTAAAAATAAAAAAGTTATAATAAAAAATAACATTTTTCTAGTAAAAAAATCTAAGTTTATGGGGAGATAATTCTTGCAATATTGGTGCTAGAGTTATAAACCTTGTCACATAAGATGTGGATGATGATAACGTAAATATATTTGAAGTATGAAGTTGATCCCTTTAGAAATAAATAAGTAACAGTAAAAAATAATATTTTTTATGGAAAATTCTAAGTTCAAAGGGAGATAAATCTGAAAATATTGGTGCTAGAGTTATGAACCTTGTCACATAAGATGGGGATGATGATAACGTAAATATATTTGAAGTATGAGGTTGATCCCTTAAGAAATAAAGAAGTAACAGAAGTGGATTAAGTTGTTGTTCTTGTTGTTGTAAATTAAATAATGTTGTCACGAAGACATTGATTTCAATAGGACAAACAGAATTAACCCTTCAAATGCAAACTGACAATAATGATTTGCCGATGCCCGAGCAAGGCCCTTCCCCAGCAAATAACCAGACCTTAGCACAGAAGCTGGTAAAGTTCAGCCAGGATCTATGATAATATAATAAGCATTATGGGTCTTGGATAATAAAATACAATTATGATCCAGAATACCAGGGTGAATGAAGACCGTTCCACTATCATTTGAAAAGTCAAGCTGAAAGTAATCTATAACAAGAGCTGTCTGTAGAACAGCACGCTCGACTATTCTAAGTGCTTGATAGTAAAAGAGCCTTTATATTGTTTAATTTTTTAAGTTCACAAAAGGGCTAATTTTTTTTTATAAATTCATGTTATAGGCCTAAGAGAGAGTCTAATTATACAGTATTGGCTTGACTATTCGGAAGGTAATGTCACAAGGGTGTTTTATTGAGTATAATAATACTAATTACCTATGAATAAATAAATTTGACAGAAAAGGTACAAAGGCTTGTTATTAAGATGTTTTATCACGTAAATCACTGCTTTATTATTATGAATGCATAAAATTGTCCCGAAAAAGGCACAAACCCTTCAGTAGTTATTGAGATAACAACTTACAAGAAAAACTTAAGCATGAATTTCTAAGTTGAAAAAGGGGAGAAAAATCAGCCTAAATGCAAGATAGAATTATGGATTTTTGTCAGTGACCTACAGTTATGACCCTAAATGCATATGTGAAGTTTTTAATAAATATCTTTAATAGTTATTGAGATATGTAAAACTTGCATGTAAACATTAACCAAGAGACTAAGTAGAAAAGGGGATATGAATCAGTCTAAATGAGACTAGAGTTATGGAACTTGATCAGTGACATACAATTATGACCCTCAAATTCTGACTCTAAGTGCATGTGTAAAGTTTCCAGTAAATATCTTTGAAGACCTTTAATCTTTAACCAAAATTTCTAAGTTTCAAAGGGGCAAATAATTCTGCAAATATTGCAGGCAGAGTTATGCAATTTTGCAAACTGATGTACATTGTTACTATAAAAAAGTATTTTAAATTTCAATTGAATATCTCAAGCAATAATTGAGATATTTGACATTACAAAAAAACTTTAACCAAAATTTCTAAGTTCCAAAGGGGCATAATTCTGTTAATATTGTAGGCAGAGTTATCCAACTTGTCAATCTGATGCACCTTGTTACTATAAATAAGTATTGTAAGTTTCAATTGAATATCTCAAGCAATAATTGAGATATTTGACTTTACAAAAAACTTTAACCAAAATGTCTAAGTTAAAAAGGGGCATAATTCTGTCAATATTGTAGGCAGAGTTATCCAACTTGTCAATCTGATGTACCTTGTTACTATAAATAAGTATTGTAAGTTTCAATTGAATATCTCAAGTAATAATTGAGATATTTGACTTTACAAAAAACTTTAACCAACGCAGACGCCGACGCGGACGCGGACGCCGACGCCGGGGCGACTACAATAGCTCTCATATTCTTCGAATAGTCGAGCTAAAAACTCATGGGAAAATATGGCATGAAAACTCATGGGAAAGTATGGCATGAAAACTCATGGGAAAATGTGGCATGAAAACTCATGGGGAAATATGGCATGAAAACTCATGGGAAAATATGGCATGAAAACTCATGGGGAAATATGGCATGAAAACTCATGGGGAAATATGACATGAAAACTCATGGGAAAATGTAGCATGAAAACTCATGGGAAAATGTGGCATGAAAACTCATGGGAAAATATGGCATGAAAACTCATGGGGAAATATGGCATGAAAACTCATGGGGAAATATGGCATGAAAACTCATGGGAAAATATGGCATGAAAACTCATGGGGAAATATGGCATGAAAACTCATGGGGAAATATGGCATGAAAACTCATGGGGAAATATGGCATGAAAACTCATGGGAAAATATGGCATGAAAATTCATGGGGAAATATGGCATGAAAACTCATGGGAAAATATGGCATGAAAACTCATGGGGAAATATGGCATGACAGCTACTTCATCTTTATGCAGTTATATCAATCTTCCCCTGGCGCAAACTTTCGGTGAATTTGGAAAATCCCATACAAAACTATCGGAAAAACCCATACAATAATACAAAATTTAAACTTACTACTGGAATCTTGTTTTTTCTTTTCACCTGGACTAGCATTGTCTGTAGATGAAGACGTAGGAAATGTTGTTGAATACGTTATGTCCGTAGAATGATCATTATAATACCAGCAGGTAAAACAACAATCTTCTCTCCGGAAAAACGGGTAATCCACACATTTTGTTGACTCACAGAACTCGTACTTGTCCCCATATTCGCAGCCTATGAGATGGAAATAAAAAATTTCCATTCAGCAATTTTAGTAATAAACCTGGTATCCCTTTCTTGTTAATTTTACCCTAAAATTTTTCCTTAACAAATAAAAATACATGAAGTTTCAGTGGATATTTGACAGTTTTTTCACTACTGAAAAATAAAGAGGAACAAACATGTACTTTAAAATGGAAACGTCTGTAACAATAATTTTTTGCTGTTTAAACATACTTTAATTCAATAAAAAAGAAATTTATTATATGCTTTTCGGTGGTTTATAGAAATATATCAGTGATATAAAACTGGTAATTTCACTGTTTGAAACAGTGAAATTATCACTTTGATAATTTCACTGTTTTGAATTTAAGCCCCTTACGTTGTTTCAGTGAAATACCAGCGTGCACAGTACTGGGTACCAACTTAATGATGTGACGTCGTAAATGACGTCACATGTATTATTATTTGGCACGCTTTTTCATTCAGTATTAGGTTTAATGTCTTTTTAACACGTTTCTTTGCATGTAATAAAAAGAAAATTTGTTTAGTTTAGTGTAAGATTGAAATATATTTCACCTGCGCCACTCGTGAAATATACCTTTTGGTGCTCACTCGGTGAAATATATTCCGATCTTACACTGAACTAAACAAATTTCCTCTATATAATTTACCTACAAGTATGTATATAAATTGCTTCCCTACAGCTTACTTCATAAAAGTGCTCATTGTTTTGTATAAAAACACATTAAGTCTCAGAAATAAAAATATTTTGAGTTTTTTCATGTTTTTAGAAAGGGCAATCATGAACTTTATCTTGATTAAATAGTGGTTTTAGAACATGGATATAAATATCACATGAAGAGCGTAGCGATAATGTGAAATAGTTTGTTTATATATAAGTAGCAAAATGTAAAGAAAGTAGTATTTTGATTTCCTTACAAAATACTTATTCACTGTAACTGTACAAATTACCATTTAACAGCAACAGATGAAAAAGATGATTCACGTACTTGACCAATGTGCAACATTTTGGATAAAAGCTTTTGAGAAATAAAAATTAAAGCATTTCTGAGGCATAATGGCCTTATAAATAACTGTCTAATAAATTCACAGTTCATTTCATGAATTCCATTATCAGATTTACTTAACATAAGCAACCAACAAAATACAACGTAAAATCATACTACAACCTTTATGCAGGCTCTTTAACCTCATCTTAGATACCACAGTTATATCAGTGTTATCTCTTCAGCCGAAAAAACTTTCTAACAAAATATTAAAGAAGGCTCTCATACCTGGATAAGCTGTATCGTACAGTTGTGGACAAGATGAGCAGCAAGCATTTTCTACAGTTTTATTGTAGCAAAAATATGGGAACAGTCCTACATCCCTACATTTCACATCTTTGTCCCCATATTCGCAGTCTGAAATTATTAAGATTTATACAGAAAACAAGAAACTGTAAATCAGAAAATTCTCCCTCCATCTCATCCCTCACCAGGACAATTCCTTTAATTTTGTGATATTTGAGAACCCAGGAAAAATTTCAATTTCATTTATTCTGGTATAACATGTATTTGATACCTGGGATAATTTCCAAATTCCCAGTCCATTTATTCTGTTTATATTTGAGCCACTCCATGACAAAACCAACATAGTGCATTTGCGACCAGAATAGATCTAGACCAGCCTGCACATCCGCGTAGTCTGATCAGGATCCATGCTGTTTGCTTACAAACCCTAATACAAGTACAGAAACTGATAGCCAATAGCATGGATCTTGATTTGACTGCGGGGATGCGCAGGCTGGTCTGAATCCATGCTGGTCGCAAACACACTATGTTGGTTTTGTCATGGCGTGGCTCATTTATTACCCTGGTATAATTCCTAATTCATGTATTTTGATGATATTAATTTTGTTTTTCTGGGATAATTCTATGCATGTAGTATTGACAGGGTGGACAATTCCTTTTCCATATATTTTCTAGCACATTCAAACGCTTATTATTCAATCAGAAGTTAAAAACTAACATAAATTCAAATATCTTTTTCAAGAAAACCATCTTTTTTTCTTAAAAGAATGTAGATCATAGTTACCTCGGTCATTTGTTTCCAGTTCGCTACATGTTTCGCAGCACTGGTCTTCCCGAGAATCAATATAACATTCAGAGCCGTGAAATTGTGACGACTTGCACGAACGTGCCTTGTCACCATACATACAATCATCTGAAAAAATACATATGTTAATGCTAATTTATTATTACAATGACAACCATTACACTGTAGGGAAAGTTTCATGTCCTTGTCAAAAATATAACTGAAAACTCAGACTGAAAAATCATATTTCAAGTTAATAAAAGCTAAAAAAAAATGACAATGTCAGCTGCAAATAGTGCTTTAATGTCCTTGTCAGAGGCTTCCTTGGTAACCCAGGCTATTATTAAATTTACCCAAAACCAAGGCAATTTATTGTAATCCAGGCTATTTTCTGGTAACCAAGGCTATTTACAGGTTGTATATAAGATGCATGTACAGTGGATAAATCCCATTTTAAGTCAGAGGTTAAACACAGAAAAAACAGAAATGGAACAAGCATCATTCTCAGTAAAGAAAATTCATAGATATCATAATATATACAGTGACTAATAAAGTGACTGTTTTATCATCCCAAAACAGTTTTATGCTGCAGCAACCTTCCCGCTCAACTTATAGAAGCAGACCCAATCATCATCTTGGAAAGGTTTTGGCTTTGTGAATGGGGCCCTTTTTCAAGCCCAGTGAATGGGGCATTTTTTCAACCCCAAAACTGCTAGAAAGATAAGAAAAAATATATTGAGATTTTACTAATTTTAAAAGTCTAAAATACCTGAAAGGTCTGTCCTTCTTTTATTGAAGCAAGTTTCACAACACTGATACTCTGTGTTTTGCCCATAGCACTGATCCGCTGTTATATTGGAACAGCCCACACGCCTATCTCCATACTTACAGTAACCTGAAGTCAAAGGTCAAAAGGTCAAGCAAACAGAAAGACATCTTGTTTCATTTCAATGGTTTTGTCTTAAAATATCAACAATGGTACTTAACATAAGTATTGGGAACTGATTATTAATACATTAATTCTTATTTAAAAAAAAAATGTTTAAGAAATTTAATATGTGGAGACCAAAAAAAAAAACTCATATGAGCAAACTTTTTTATGTTAAGAAATTTTCAATTCATTTTTTAAAATCAAACAAACATTCTAATTTATGTCTATAAAATCAAATAAAAATTGATAAGACAGACAGCGGCAAATTTTAATGCCCCCCCCCCCCCCAGAGTGGAGGCACTATAACAAAAACAACATGCATACTCAAGTCTGTAGCTGTATTGATGAGTTTTTCACAGGTTTTACAACACTCGTTTTCACGATAATAACATTCATGTGGGCTAATTGAGCTGCAGTCACTGGACTTATCACCAAAACTACAGTCTGAAAAAAGTGGCACAAACTTATAACTATTTTATATATTATATGAATAAAAACTTTAGCAGAAAGATATTTTAGGAAAGTCTATTTTTTTACCAAATCATGGCATAATATTCAGGTGATAAAGTGATACGAAATTTCTAAATTATGAAGACTTTGGTTATTATCTTCTTTTTTACCAAATAAATACCAAATAAATTCTAACCATGGACCAATTTTTATCTTAACTTCAAAATTTTGAACATTTAACCTTGAAGGTCAAGGTCATTTACACATCAACATCACATTTTATTATGTCACAATTTTCAATTCACATCAAATTAATGTTCTGCTTTTTTCTTGAAAAGAAAATGACTTTACCACCGGTATTTCCGTTGCTATGCAACCAGCACGTTTCACAACACATAAATGCAGTATTTGGATCATAGCAATCATTTCTTGAGATCCCAGAACAATTGTCCCTGTCTCCATATTCACAATTGTCTGTAAATAAATAATAATATAGATAAGTATATCAAATGACTTTCCTCCTTTTCCATGTATTGTATAAATTCTGCAAGTTAAAAATATTGATTTTTATTGGATAATCGTGACAATTACATAAATAAATAGAATTTTGCTGTCAATTTATGAAGTAATTTTACTTTTTCTCAAAGAAAGGAAGTTTGCTGTATTATAATTTTGTAATAAAGTTTTTTTTGACAGGTTATATGGCCATTCCCTACATATTGTTGCTTCAGATATATGGCTTGGATTATATATCCAAACCACCATTTATATTGGGTCATAAAACCTGTCCAAAAGATTTATAACTAATTATATAACCATCGCATATTTCTTTATTTTACACACAAGTAAATATAACAGCCACTTTTGTTCTATGTTAAACATGTATTAATAAATGAATTTACTGGCATGCGAGCAGTTCCCGTACAAAAATCGTAGTGACATAAACATTATTTTTTATTACACTCACTCACCAATATTTGAATGTTACACATCACTATTCGGCTCGTCACACAAATCATGGAAATTCCATCATGTTCTAAACATAGAATAACCCTTAGTTATGAGGCCTCATATGGGGTACCGAAATTATCCATTATTTTGTATGAAGAGAAGTAGTTCCCGTACATAAAATTTAACCCATTATAATTATACAATTTTGTTATATCGGACCTATTTTTCAATTATAATTGTTGAACAGACCATTTTCAAAGAGATAAATAGATGTAATTCAGGAAATAGAGCGTAGACTAAACGCTTGTATCTATTACCCGGTACCGTTACCCCAACGCATTCTCATGGAATGGCATGCTTGTATGCATGATATTTTACGCATCAAAGAGTTAAAATTATTTAATATAGCAATATTGATCAAAATTCTGATAATTAAACATGTTGTCATCACATTGCCTACTTATCTGTAAACAGGTGGTATTAGTGGAAAACCTTTTAACAAGCCTGACGTGTAAGTATTTTAGCGCATGCGCGCAAGGACGGAATCCCCCAGAGAAAACAAGGTCACGTTTTGACAACGCAGAAGTGAAAGTGATTTAAAATTAGACTTTTATACGTACTGTCGAACTGACACTTAGATTTTGTCTCTTTTATGCATCTGCTTGATTTGAAATGAATTTTTGAAGATTGCAAGTAAAAATCAAGCGTTTAAATGAAAAATACGGGTACTGCTTCTGTACGGGAACTGCTCGCATGCCAGTAAAGTTGTAAATGGCAATTGTTTTGGTTAAATTTTTGTTTTTGTTTATATCTGATAAAAAGAATCTTACATTAAATTTTGTTATCATTAGATACAACTTAAATGAAAACTTGTCAAGGAAAACTTTGCCAGCATTAATAACACTTCCCTGAACTTGTTTTATAAAAGTTGTCAAAAGTCAAGTAACATCAATAAATACTTTCTATATTATACATAGTGAATCTCACAATAATTGTCATTTGATATTAAGTTTAGTTTAACAAGTTCAAGAGAGTACAATCATGGTCTAGAGTTAAAGGTGCTTGCCTCACAAACTATTGGACCGTGGGTAATGACCACAGTTCCTTGTCCGACATTAGTACTATTAACTTCCTTTAAAGCAAACTCAAAATCTTTCAGATTTTAACAAAATCTATCCTAAACCAATATGTTTAAATGAACAGGTTTTAAACCTTACACATATTAAGTGTTGCCTGAAAAATATACATATAAATGGTAAATATACCTATATTATAAACAGAGAGTTTTGTAGGGCATGTATCACAGCATTTACCCTCCCTCGTATAACACTCTGACGCTTTTATCCTGTCACATGACTCTTCTTTATCACCAAACTCACAACCTGCTCAATATTACAACAATCTTATATTACAATAAAAGCAAATATGAATGGAAAAAGCAGCGCTATTAATTGATGTCACACCAAGATATGACCTAAAAAACCTCTTTTTTGCAGACTGAGCGTTTAAATATTCAGCTGGAAGTTGTTTGACTTGTGCTAAGTAATTAACTATAATTAATTGTTGAAAACTGGTTAAAATTGCTGTTGAGTCAAATTGACTTGTGTTAAAAAAATATAGTCAACCTTTATCTTAAAAGGACTTGTCCATCAGTCAATCTGAACCAAAAGTCAATCATCATTTTTGGAGGAAAATTCAAAACATGTCCTAACTGAATAGAAAAAAGTGTAGACCATGATCAGATGGCACAAATGTTCGGAATGATCTTGATCTGCATTGGTCACATAGGTAGATCCTGTTGACGCCAACATGTTAACCTTTTCCCTTATATAAGCGTGTTTCGACGGCTTTTTGCCCCCCCCCCCCTTTTGTGGCCTCAAACAGTGAAAAAATGCCCTAATTAGGCCCCAAACACTGTTTTTCGTTTGAGAAATGTTGTTAAAAAAATTGACCATTTTTTCGGCGCCGTCCCCCATCCAAATATTACATCAGGGGGTTGCCAGAAGGGGGATGTGCCCCCTTCTGTTTGGGGGGTTTGAAGGGGGGCGGAGTCCCCCTCATCGCCAAGAAAATTTTGGACTTGTGAGAGGCTTAAAATGACCCCAGGTCGATCATAAGGTAACGTGTAACCAACGCTGAAAAGCCTTTGACTCTATCTCAATCCCTTGAGAAGTTGCAGCACTTTGAAATAAATTTTGATGGAAAATATCGAGGCAAAAAAGTGATTTTTGGCAATTTTGAGATGTCCCCTCGTTGCCATGGTAACAGGAAATTTAAGACTGAGCATGTCGTTACAAAGGCAATGGTCCAGTCAACATTTGTGCCAAGTTTGATTAGTATTGAAGCATTTTTCATAGTTTCATAGCAGTTTGAACTTGTGAGAGGAGGCTTTTCAGTGAAAATGGCCATTTTTCACAATATGCTCATGGGGGAAAGGGTTAACTAAAAAAATTTTAAATGTTACAAAACAACAATTTTTCACCAAAATTAGGTAAAAGACCAAATGTTAACATGGAAAAACTAGATTTTGGGTGGTTCCAAGGTTTTTCATCATTTTTTGTTAACCTTTTCCCTTATATAAGCGTGTTTCGACGGCTTTTTGCCCCCCCCCCCTTTTGTGGCCTCAAACAGTGAAAAAATGCCCTAATTAGGCCCCAAACACTGTTTTTCGTTTGAGAAATGTTGTTAAAAAAATTGACCATTTTTTCGGCGCCGTCCCCCATCCAAATATTACATCAGGGGGTTGCCAGAAGGGGGATGTGCCCCCTTCTGTTTGGGGGGTTTGAAGGGGGGCGGAGTCCCCCTCATCGCCAAGAAAATTTTGGACTTGTGAGAGGCTTAAAATGACCCCAGGTCGATCATAAGGTAACGTGTAACCAACGCTGAAAAGCCTTTGACTCTATCTCAATCCCTTGAGAAGTTGCAGCACTTTGAAATAAATTTTGATGGAAAATATCGAGGCAAAAAAGTGATTTTTGGCAATTTTGAGATGTCCCCTCGTTGCCATGGTAACAGGAAATTTAAGACTGAGCATGTCGTTACAAAGGCAATGGTCCAGTCAACATTTGTGCCAAGTTTGATTAGTATTGAAGCATTTTTCATAGTTTCATAGCAGTTTGAACTTGTGAGAGGAGGCTTTTCAGTGAAAATGGCCATTTTTCACAATATGCTCATGGGGGAAAGGGTTAATGGTTAAAAACCAATATCTTACCAACATTATCCTTATCTTCTATAGTCTGGCAGTATCTACAACATTCCTGTCGGTCATCTGCGTTGTAACACTTGTAGTTTCCTCTCTCATAACAATCATCACGTCTGTCTCCATACCGACAGGCTATTTATAGAAAAAAAAAACATGACAAAATGCTGAATAATTATATATTTAAAGCAGCAACCTCCAGATTCATGCTAATTTTCATGAAAATTTTGAGAATGTATCAGAATGTTTAATATTGTGAAGTAACCAAAAGGAAGCAATTTACACATTTCAGTGGCACTTACAACACAAGTAAATTACCAAAAAGTGGTCAAAATATGCATAAATAGCCCTTACTGCATTAGTAACGCACAGAACATGTAAAATATTACTTGAATCTTTTTACTTTCCTAAAATTTTAGTACATCTTTTTATATTTGATTTTATTGAAATATTTTGACTCATCTAGAGGCATGTAGCTTTAAGCAGATTAATAATAATTCTTGAGATATAAAAAATATAACAAATAGAGGATATTTGTTTAGCTCAGTGTAAGATTGGAATATATTTCACCGAGTGAGCACCAAAAGGTATATTTCACGAGTGGCGCAGCCACGAGTGAAATATGAACTTTTGGTGTTCACAAGGTCAAATATATTTCCATCTTACACTAAACTAAACAAATTTTCTTTTTATTATATGCAAAGAAAAGTTAAAAAAAGACATTAAACCTAATACTGAATGAAAAGCGCACCAAATAATAATATAACGTGACGTCATTTACGATGACACGTTGTTAAATTGGTACCCAGTTCTGTGCACGCTGGTATTTCACTGAAGCAACGTCAGGGGCTCAAATTCAAAACAGTGAAATTATCAAAGTGGTAATTTCACTGTTTCAAACAGTGAAATTACCAGTTTTATATCACTGATATATTTCTATAAACCACCAAAAAGCATGTAATAATATGGATGTATTCAAATGAAAAATAATATAATTTGACCCTAATCTGCTGAATTTCTTAAATTGAAACTGTCCATTATCAATTTAGAAAATATCAAAGTGAAAATTATAGTTGGTCAGCCTACAACAATTAGAGCCAAGTCAGTCTGCATAAATGAGCTAATCAGTTTTCAAGCAGATTAAAGAAGGCACTCACACATTATATTATTTACCTATTAATGTAGCAATATATGCACACACACCAAACAGTCTTAACTTTATTGGTAATAGGTAAAAAAATATATAGTAGGGCAACTTGCTATATATTTTTAGTTTGATATCATCCCCTTAACTGGGCAGTATCGAAAATTGAAGTGTCTCACCTGACATAAACTGATTATCTCCCTTTAATAAATCATAGGATAATAATTTGTATGCCGGTAAAGTTATGGAAAGTTAATGTACATATAAAAATACCTGCACCAAGACTGTCAGTTTTATCGTATGCCGCACATGTTTCGCAACACATATCTTGTACATTTAAATTGTAGCAGTCATATGGCGGTCTAAGTCGACAGTCATTAGCTTGGTCTCCATACCGACAGTCTGAAATAATAATTTACAATGTCTAAAACTTGTGATAACTTCATAGTTCATTCAGAAAAAATTATCATAACTTAAGCTCTTAGCTTATTTTTTAAAACTTGGGGGCAGGCAGCCACCAGATATCCTCTTGGGAATTATTTAAGACACAAGCTGTATCAACTATACGACAGAGAGATGAATTATGACTAGGCTGCCTTAAATGCAAAAACATGAATTTCTAGGTGAGAATTGAACCCACAAAAGTTGGTAGCATGTAATTTGAAGGCAGCAAACTTAACATTGGTAACATTGACATTGCGGCACAGGGCTTTCTGTAAGCACGCCTGTGGCTGTAAAAATTAATGATTTTATTGGATTCTTTCTCAAAATCACTCAGGAGTGCTCTATGGCTGACTTACTCTCAAATTTTCACTGGCTAACTCAAAATTTACTGAGAACACTAAAAGCATTAAGTGTAAAGGAATAGGCAGATTAATTACTTACGTGTAGGCAAACTGCTCAGTGTGTAATAAGAACAAGTCTCACAGCATTCAGTCTCCACCTTCCCATTATAACAATCAGTGTTGTTTATTGAATAACATCTGCTTGGAACCCTATTCCCATATTTACAATCTTCTACAAAAGAAAATTTAAAAAAAAATGTAATTTAGGAGTTCGTGAATATTTTATATAATGTACATGCTGGTTGACAGACTGTAACTTTAAAGGGACTACATTGAGCTTTTTAAACATGATGCAACAGGAAACAATTTTTTTTCATGTTAATTTTCCATTTGATGTAGGTCTAGACCAATATCTTATGTGCAAAATTTCATATCATTTGCAACCTCTTTTTTCCCAAAATAGTTATTCAAATTGTTGAAAATGACTGAAATTGAAAAGCATTTCAAAGTTTTTTAGCTCAAATCGGGCTAAATATAACATGAAAACATTATTTTCAATTTATATCTATTGCAAACCACTGGTTTCTTTCTGTTTCAAGTCCCCAGTGGTTCTATGTAAGAAATTCAAATTTTATGTTTTTAGGCTTTTGGTCCTCAGTGGAGTTCCTTTAACAATACAAGAATTATAAACAATACTACCTGAAGAAATAATTTTGCAATCAGTAAAAATTAATAATCATCACATAAATGAATATTTTTCTGGACAGATACTACAGGACAGGTCAGACACCCAATTTTCCAGACAAATTTATATAATTACTGGGATTCCAGGACGATATAGAATGTATGATCTTAATATACATTCACATTATTGATGCTACTACATTTTGTGATCATTACATTCATAAGCTGTCTTTTTTTTAAATGTATGTTTTTGCATCTGGTTTTTTTGTTGTTTATAATATAATGTTAATACCATTGTTAATAAAAGAAAAAGTACCTTTTATTATAACAATAACACATTGCATGTATACAGCTTGCCAAAGGCTTGCATAAAACACCTCTGTTTTAACTCATTCAATAAATTAAAGACTTGAATAACACACTGTATTACAATACCTCTCATATATCATATGATAAATTAATCATAAAAATACATACACATAAAGTAAAAAAACAACAGTTATAATTATAAATTATATTGTCAAATTCTATATCTCTATGGATGGCAGTAACATGTACTAATATATAATTATGTTTAACTGCATGCATTTTTTAATAGACTTACTCAGGAATTAAGAATATTTGGGTTTTTCCAAGCTAATCCAGATACAAATAAACTTTTACAGTTACAGCTTTGAAAATAAGCGCAACAGGTAAACTAATCTATTGCAACAATAAGTGCACTGTGAAGTTATCGCAGTAAAAGTTTGTTCGTACCTACAGATTAGCTGGAAAAAAAACCAAAATCTTTGCAGAGTTCCCGATAACATCTATTAAGAGTGAAACTGTTAACTATAACACATGCATGTCATGTTTATAACAGTAAACAGTGTAAATATGAAACAACAACAACAACAAATTGAATATCAATAAAAACAAAATGTAAAAGTAGTATTAAAGAATTCTGGTATGAAAATGACTTAGTCTAGCTTTATAAACAGTTTTAAGTCATGCTGCATTCTATTTACCCACCACTACTGATACTAAACTTTAAAAGTACTGCCATAATATTTGAGTCAAATGGGTCTAAACTAGAGTCAATAAAATGTTACTTTCAAAAGTCCTGCAACAAGTGGCACCGTTTTTAAAGATTTGATAATACACATATAATATGATATTTAACAACCAAAAGTAACAGTATTGGTAATATGGTGGTGTATGTTATAGCATGCATAATTGGACCAGATTATACACATCTAACTCCTGTAACTGTAAACCAGTCAAAATCACAAGCATGATTCTGATTGGATGCTTCTCATAACAATCTTTAAATTGACCAATGGCAAAGTTTCAATTTCAGACTGGTTTACAACTTCTAGATTTCAACCTGAGACTATGATAAAATATAAACTGAAAGAAAAAAGTGATTAGTGAACAAAAAACAGTTAAAGCAAAGTGGGGGAAACAAACTGGGAAGTAACTCTCGATTAAAATAACATGACACCTTCATTGTGGAAAGCAAGGTAAGAACAGGTTTCACAGCAAGCGTTCTTTGTCATTCTTTTATAGCACTCCCAGGGCTGGATGAGGTGGCAATAATGTCTTCTGTCTCCAAAACTGCACGATTCATCTGTGGCATTTGTCACAACAAAATGATAAAACCTTGTTTAAAATGATCTACATATTTTTTTTTGTCAATTCTTTAAGGAGTATCATAAATTAATTAGGCATATTGGTGATTTTTCGAAGGTGGGGAGGGGGGCAAAATTTTGTCCTATTCCCCTCCTTTACAAGTATGTATTTCATGTATTTCACCCAAAACTCTGGGGGAAAAAAGTCCTCAACAAGTGTCAAGACTTGCCTTTGTCACCAGTACAGAGTCAGGCCAACCTTCCTGATTATCTGTAAAATCTAACCTGACTTAATACTTACTACCTGCTCAAATTTTCAATAATAACCCCCCCCCCCACATGAACATAATAGCATGTTCCAAAACCAATGCAGGACAAGTACATTATGAAAATTTAGCATGATAAGAATGAAGAAACGAGACACTGAAACTTCAAAATGTTTCTACAACTAAAAGTTCTGTACAAAAAAAAATCCTCTAAGGTTAAATATTTTTACAAAATATGCAAAACAAAAAATATCATTGATGACCATGTAGGCTAAATCTTTTGGACACAAATCAGTGTTACACTAAGTTCCAATGAAATACTTGTGAATTTGTTAAGCTAATATATTATACCTCATTTGCATACGCCCTTCTATATTTAATATGACGTCACCCGGTCCATAAACCGCATACAGACCGGGGGCGGTCCATAATTCTTATGAAGACCGTTTAAACGTAACTTTTACGACGTGCGAATTTCACGACGACACAAACAGATAACTGTCAAACTGGCTAGGCGATTCGCCTTTTTATCAGAGACATGTTTATCAAAAGTCATGATTTGTCTTTAATTTAATTATAAATCTTATTTATACAGTTTGTGAAATTCTTAAAGTCCGGGTTTTTTGCCTAGTAAAATTAAAATTTAATTTGATTAACAAAGATGGAATATTAAAGAAGCATGACTTTGCATCGTCGGATACCCACGATCGATAAACATGTCACATAACTTGCATGTTTATGGCCGTGGGTATCCAACGATGGCTTGTTTCCTGCATCGCATAAAAATAATAAAACAAAATCCGACAAGGGTTTGAGATATTTCACGCACTGAACAAGTTAAATTATTATTTAAAAGCAAATTATACTAAAAATGACTGCAAACAACCAGGGGGTGATAGGATTTAGATTCGGTATAATATAACAAATAAAACATGGCCTTTCGGGCAAAATGCAAGTTTACGGACTGGTTGGTCAGACTGAGGAAGGTATATGTCCCTCAGCTGCGCTTCGGGCCATATACCTTCCTCAGTCTGACCAACCAGTCCGTAAACTTGCATATTGCCCTCAAGGTCATGTTTTATTTGTTAAATAACTTTTTATCAAGGACATATGTATAGAGTCCTTCTTACAGAAAAATAGAACTGCATGAATGAGTTTCTCTACATGCTGTTTCAAACAGTGTTTCTCTATGTACTGTTTCAAACAGTGATTCTCTACATACTGTTTCAATTTACAGTGTTTCTTATGTACTGTTTCAAACAGTGTTTCTCTCTGTACTGTTTCAAACAGTGTTTCTCTATGTACTGTTTAAAACAGTGTTTCTCTATAATTTTCTGTTCTATACAGGGTTTCTCTATAATGTTCTGTTTTATACAGTGTTTCTCTACGTACTGTTTCAATGTACTACCTGTTTGACACAGATGTCCTCACATTTCAATGTTTTGTAAGTCTAAAGGTGGAAGACGGACAAAACCCCACCAGTTAAAACCCCACCACTCAAAATTTTATAGAGTGGACAAAACCCCACCACTTAATTTTATAGAGTGGACAAAACCCCACCACTAAATTTCACAGAGTGGACAAAACCCCACCACTTATTGGGCAAGATTTGATGAATTATAATATATATAATATACACATTTTTTTCACATTTTATTTTTTAATTTCAATATAACATTTGTGTAATATAAGAATGAACAATTTTATTAACAATGCATGTACATCTTGCATGTGCAATATGCAAAAAAGGTGTTACAAACTGTACACAAAAAACTTAATCCTAATCCCTGAAGAACAAAACAGATTATTTATTGATGTTTTGATTGCAAAAAAGGTGTTACAAACTGTAACTCCTTATTGATGAGTTGTTCACACATTATTTTGGGTTTCTGCTGATGCACAATTGTCTGTTTTTTAACATGTTTACAAGAAAGTTGTGTCCACTCTATAAAACTGAAGTGGTGGGGTTTTGTCCACTCTGTAAAATTTAGTGGTGGGGTTTTGTCCACTCTATGAAATGTAGTGGTGGGGTTTTGTCCACTCTATAAAATTTTGAGTGGTGGGGTTTTAACTGGTGGGGTTTTGTCCTACATTCCTAAAGGTAGATAACAGGAAAGAAGCACAAGAGCATATATATACCGTATAACTGGTAATTTCTGCGATTGAAATTTTTGCGTTTTGGAACTGAAAATGGGTATATTAATTTTTCTGAATTTAATTTCTGCGTTTTTCATCAAAAATGTTTATAAAATTTCATTTCTGCGTTTTTCTATTAAAGTTTTAGGAGCGAGTTCTTTGAAGAAAAAGGTAAAATAACAAGTTTAAACAGTATGTTTTTCATATGATATATATTATATATCCATATAGCACATTTAAAAATACAAGTTTAAAAAAAATAATCAACTTAGCATGTATACAGCCTACAAAAACAAACTTGCTAAACATTACACAATAAACTACATGTTAAATCCTTTGTGTTAAATTGACTACACAGAGAAGGTGTTATAAACATTTGATTTTCACTAAAAAGAGGCTACCAGCGGGGTGTGTGTATTGATTAATCTAACAGGTAAATTGAGGTGACAAACGGGATAAATTACATATAAAACTACGAAATATTTGCGAATTTAATTTTCTACGGCTGCAAGGGACCCACAAAATATTGCAGAAATTAGCAATCCGCAGAAATAACCAGTTTTACAGTATGTTGAACCTCAACCAGATACTTACCACTAAGATGTGTATTTTGTTTATAATATTCAATGCATGTAAAACAGCACTGACTACGTTTATCCTCATTGTAACAGTCCTGCGAGTTCAGTCCTCCACATATATCAATGTCGTACTCCTCATCCAAGCTTTGTTCTAAGCAATCTATTAATAAAAAACACAGGTCTTTTAAAATTAATACAGTATTAAAATTCCAGTTCAAGATATAAACAATGTCTTATTTGCAATGAAGAAGATTTCATACATCATTGGTGCAAAACAAAGAAGAGCTGTTCAACATGTTCAAGGGCAGCAAGCTCCCTTCTTCACAATTAAGAAATTTATAAAAGGGAGATTATTAAGGAAAAATGTATTTAAGGGTTATTTGCCCTTTTGGAATCAATTTTAATTTTGATAGCAAACAAGTATCCCAATCTTTGAAAGTTTACCTAACTAAAGGTTAATCTGGGCACAAAGATACAGGTATATAAGCCTAAAATGAGGGAACTACCTATAATATGTAAGCACTTGTTAAAAATGTAAAAGCCTCTTTAGCAATAATAAATTTCTACATATAACACAAGTTTTACATTTTGATTTTAACACATGTTTAATCATTTCCTATAGGAGCGGTCAACTTAATTTGCTTTCTTAGATATGTAACCAGTAATTACCTATTTCTCTCAAAGTGACCAATTACAAATTCTGTTTTATTCCTAAATCAGCTGTGAGAGACAAATGACCGTTAGACTCGTGATCAATTGTCACAGAGAAATTTCGCTCCACCTGGGGATCAAACTAGCGACCCTAAGATCATAAATCCAATGCTCCACCTGAGTATCACACTAGCAACCCCTAGATCATTAATCCAATGCTCTCTCTACTGAGCTCATCGGGTCAATTCAGATAACAGACTGATGTATAGCTTGGTAAGGCTACTACATGAACATAGATTAAGTTCGGTATAAGTTATTAAATGACGTTATATTTGTGTTTATAACTTACTGTTCTCTTGTATGAATCTACAAGTTTCACAACACTCAGCTTCTACATCGCCTCGATAACATTCGTCCCTTGAGATGTCCGAACAATCTCGTCTGTCACCGTAAGCACATTCTACAAATCATAATTAAACATCATTAAAGGCTGTGAGAATAGATAATAAGATCACCACATGTCACCACATGATAAAGCTCATCTGTTAAGTGCAACAACTATCAATAACCAATTTCATGAAATATTCTTAGTTAAAAAGGGTGTAGCTCTTAAAATATAGTTTAAAGAATTATGTCCTTTGTCTAAAGAATGCATTTTGTCATGATAAGCAAGTATTCAAAGTTTCATGTCAATAATTTTACATATTTGAATAATGGGCTACATTTAAGTTTTTCCAAGACAATGATGACTCAGCAATTATAATCAGTTGATTTTTTTCTTCAAAACAGACAAGCTAAAAAGAGATGTTGGAAAGAAAGCAATTTTTTTACTATTCCTACTGCTGGATAGTGAAACAAACATTTTGAATGGATCAAAAACTTAATGATAACATTATATAAGTCCAAGAAAGGGGGGTGATTGCAATGAAAAATGTACATGAACTATATGAAAATTAAGTAGGTCTTAAATGCTGCGTACAAATTTTTCCTGTTACCTCTAGGTGTGATATTGGACATAGTTTCAAGCATGCAACACTGTCTCATGAGGGTGCACATTTTTATCAAGTAATACAGAAATCCCTCCATGCATGTAGAATAAATGCTCGATACAAAACCTGGACATTTCATCATGGCCTTGACCTTGCCTATATGGAGATGGATTATAAAGTATAATGCTCAATTTTATGATAGTGAACATTTGTGATAGTCAGTCTGTCAACTCATGAACACTTTATGATATTTACTCATCTTTTCATATTTCTTATATGACCTTTGACCTTGAAAAGTTACTTTAAACTTGACCATAGGCCTGAATTTTGCATGCAACAGTCTGGTTTACAATTGTGAACATTTCTTCTATTTCTACTGTATATCCAAATCCCTCAATGCATGTAGAAAATTTGCTCTGGAAAAAGGGTCTTTCTCTGACTTGTAAGTGTGACCTAAATTTTTTACCTAGAGACCTGATCCATTAGTGTGAGGTAGGTCTCATGACGGTGGACATTTCACATCAAGTTATACATAAATCCCCCTATCCATGTCCAGGCAGAACTAGAATCTAGGGTCTACCTGCCAGCCAAAAGACCACAACCCATCATGCCAGGGCTGGGCATTCCCATAATATGACCCAGTTTTGTAAAAAGGACATACTGACATGCAGGGTCTACATTTTAACTGTCATTCAAAACACTCTTAATAACTTTATTTGTGAACAGATCAATGGACAAGATGACTGCTTACACTAAAGAAAAATTCAATTCTACAAGTATAAAAACTGGAAAAAGGTGATCCATCTGAAGAAATAATCATAAAAAAATTGCAGACTCTTATCACAAGTCTTATCTGAAAATTATCAAAGGAGACAGATAGAGGTTACTGTTAAAAGAATATTTTACCTGGGTAGTTATTATCCGCCAGCTCAACACAAGTCTCGCAGCAAGTGTCAAGTATTCTGGGGGTGTAACAATCCCACCTCTCTATATTGTTACATTTCGGCTCTCTGTCTCCATACCGACAATCTGTAAAAGGAAATAAATCTGTTCAATTCTTACTTGAGTAACACTTATACTAGTCATCTATTTTCAGCTTTAAGTTCAGGTGTTTCAATAACGGCCCTACCAAGCAATAAACAATCATAATTTTAGAGTTAAGTCTAACTGTATTGACATATTGGCTGTCATTTTTCAGTACAGATGGCATCCAAAATTAGCATTCAAAAGTGGCTCAAGAACCTTTAAACTGAAGGTATATCTAGTCTAAAGCCATTGTAGACATACTATTTTCATTAACATCACCAAAGTCTGATTCTTATCCTGCTAAATTTCTTTATTTCTAACTTTTTCTAGCTTCTGAAAATGTCCTTTACAAATTTTTGAGACATCTTATGATATTTAGATTTTAAGGTCTGAGTCAGCCCACAGTATGGTAACTATCCAGAATGTACCATCTTAATGGCTGGCCCTAGCTCTATACTTGAGGGAAATAGTGCTCAGATTTGGTTCTGGCATTTTATGTGTTCATACACATTACCTGGGTTGTTATCATTTCTGAGCTCATTACACCATCCACAGCAATCATTTTCTACAGTCTTATTGTAGCACTGATATGTAGACAGATCATAACACAATGCTGGTTTCTTGTTACCATAAAGACAGTCTGTGAAGAATAAAATTACAATGCAAGTTTGTTTTGTTTTTATCTAAATAAAGGACATATTTAACTAAATATTGTATAAATTTGTAGCAATCTGTAGGAATAGGAATATAAGATTTGTATTGTACATAAGCTTGACAATAATAATTTCTTATTTTGTTGGAACTATTTTTAATAATCTTTACTTTACAATCTAATAATGCTACAAATGTATATTAATTGCTGTTCATATAGAAATATTAATAATAATATATTACAAAATGATATAAGTTTACATTAATTTATTGTTTTAGAAAACAAATTTGTCGATATTTATTGACTGGAAAGCAAAAAATCATTATAGCATTGAATGTATAGGTGTTGGGTGGGGTCATATGGTAATTTTGTGATGAGCGTTACATAATTATATTAGAACCCCATAATAACGCAGTTTTGATACTTTGGATACCAACATGTGCGTTAAAACCGCGTTGCAGTGTATACCTCAAAATATATATACTCGTATATACCTGGTTGACTGGGTTCCGATCGCCAATAACAGGTTTCACAACATTCTCTTGCATGCTCATAACACTGATAATCTTCTATATCCGCACAGAAATTTGGAACATTATCTCCGTAACGGCAGCCTGTAAAATAAATACGAGGTTATAAAATGTTAACTCTAACCCCTCTCGCTTTATAATGGACTTGCCATGAATCAATTTTGGAACTGTCCATTGTTATTTTGAAGGGTTTCTGGGTATAAAACTGAGCAGTCGACAATATTAAAGGGACTCCACTGAAGTTTTTTGACATGACAGGACTGTAAACATTTTTCTGAGATCTATGTACCAGATGACGCAGGTCTTGACCAATAACGTATGTGCACATTTTTAGCTCATTCTATCTGACCAAGTTTTGAAAGGATAATCATGTTTATTGTGAAAAATAATCAAAAAATGAAAAATGGATGCTTTACACTCAAATCAAACTTAGAATTGCACATAAAAAAAGGATTTTAGATTTGATTATGAGTATATTTTTTTTATTTTTTTCATTTTAAGAACTTTAAGAATTTCACTTGATATTTTTAAGATTTTCAAATTTTATGTTTAAGGCCTGTCGACCTCAGTGGAGTTCCTTTAAGGCATGTCATAATGAATAGACATACAAGCTGGCATAACTTTATACTGCTGACAATATTTCTCTGTGTTTTTATGCTGATTTTAACATATTTTGGTCAAAATTTGAGGTAGGTCCACCCAACCTGCTTTCCTGGATAATTTACCAGTTAATATCAATTTCTGTACAAGTGGCCCACTTATAATACCAAATGCTTTCTGAATCAATGGTAAGAGACCATTTGACTTATTATCAGGGATCAAAATTAATGACAAATTTCGTCTCACGCAAGGATCAAAACAACCAGCTATCTCTGAACAGTAGCTCTTTCAACAGAAATTATATATTTAGAGCAACAGTAATGATTTTTCCCAACACAACACTAACAATGAATTAAACTTTTCTAGAGCAACATCTCTTGGCAACGTCCAAAATATTTTGTTTCACAAAGGGTATTGCTTTGCATAAATTTTACACTGAACATCAATAGCTTTTATAAACTCAAAACAACTTCATCACTACAAAAAATAGATTCTATAAAAATAAACAATGACATCACAAAATTAAAATTAACATCTATAATCTGAGAGAACTTGATGCTTTGTTGACCGTAACTTTCTTTTTTAAGTATAGGATATAGGTATTATATACAGCCAGTTTTAAGAAATTAATTTTCAAGCGAACGAATTGAAGTAAAACTCAGTATATAACCTATAACCGACTTACAGTTAGCCCCGCCCATTCAAATCAAGTGCATTATGTAAATAGGCGGAGTCCATTAAATCGGCTCATTTAACATATAAATTTAGTACATACAGTTGAGTTACAGCACTGTATGGTATTAAAATATTTTGGCAAAATTTAAACAAATTTGTGCAATTTTATTGGCAGACAAACTTTGGCGAACTGTAAAAAAAACTTACCTTCTATTTTTGGCTGTCTATCTTGGGCCTTATCATGGCATGTTTTACAACAATTCTGTTCAGTACTGTTGTCATAGCAATTAAAGTCTTCAATGCTTGTACACTGCCAGGGTCGTAGGTCACCGAATGGGCAGTCTGGAGTTAAAATATGTAACACAATGATGCATGTATTTACTTAAATGTCTATTGATTGTGCTTCTCAATTGTATAGATTTTTTCTAACAGAACTCTAAAATGTTGCAATATATTCTAAATAGCTCTTCGAAATTCCACAATATTCAATTTCAAGGGATCGTGATGTCAAATTTGACATATATACCAAGACAGAAATACTTTTTTTACAAGTGATTCTAAATAGATTCCCCGCTTTTTCTTCTTCTTTTTTTCAGAAAAGAACTTTCAAGTCCACAACTTAACAGACACTTAAAGTTATTTTATTTTATAAAATTGCTGGTTCGTCACAAACAAGCCTCAGCCTCATGTCCACAAGCAATAAGCAACTGCCTCACCTGCATTTAATACCAGAGGAGAATAATATCATCGTCAAGATTTTGAGCCTTTTAGCATTCATGCTACAGAAAATTTTACATAAATTAAAGTGACATTATGCTTATCCAAGGATAAATAGTGATTGGATGGTGAAAGTCAAAAGTTTCCATTTTGCTATATTTACTTTCAATTTTTATTTTATTTGTATGAATGACAAATGATTCATATGTCACAAGGAAATTTCTAAAAGTATCTATTGGATTTTTCTTTCAATTGAATTTATTTGAATTGAAATTTCCTCAAACAAAATGTTTTTTATTGGGAAAATAATCTTATATTGGTCATCAATATGGATAACAAGAGGGCCATGATGGCCCTAGATCGCTCACCTGAATTATCAAACTCATCCAAACAATTACCTAGACAAGCATTCTGACCAAGTCTCATGACAGGTGAGTCAAAAATGTGACCACTACAGTGTTAACAAGGATTATCCATATTTGAGCAGTGCGACCTAGTTTTATTACCAAGGTGACCCATATTCGGACTCGACCTAGAAATCAACAAAACAAACTTTCTGACCAATTTCCCTGATACTTGGATTAAAACAATAGCCTCTAGAGTGTTAACAATATGTTTTTATTTTTTAGCTCCGTTGACCTAGCTTTCCATGCGAAATGACCCATGCTCGAACTCGTCCGAGCAATTACCTACACAAGCATTCTGACCAAGTTTGATAATTATTGAGTCAAAAATGTGACTAATAGAGTGTTAACAAGGTTTTTCCATATTTTGGGCGGTGTGACCTAGCTTTTCATCGAGATAACTCATTATCGAACTTGACCTAAAAATCATCAAAACAAATTTTCAAACCAATTTACAGGATACTTGTATCAAAATAGTAGCCACTAGAGTGTTAACAAGTTTTATCTATTTTTAAGATCATGTGACCTAGTTCTTCATCCGAGATGTCCCATGTTCGATTTATTCCCAGCAATGACCTAGACAAGTTTCCTGACCAAGTTTGATGACAATTGAGTCAAAATTGTGACCACTAGAGTGTTAACAAGGTTTTTCTATTTTTAGCTCCTGTGACCTAGTTTTTCATCCGAGATGACCCATGTTCGAACTCATCGGAGTTATTACCTAGACAAGCATCTTGATCAAGTTTGATGATGATTGATGCAAAAATGTGACCGCTAAAGTGTTAACAAGGTTTTTCTATTTTTAGCTCCGGTGACCTACTTTTTCATCTGAGATGACCCATGTTCGAACTCATCCAAGCTATCAACTAGATAAGCATCCTGACCAAGTTTGATGATGATTGATGCAAAAATGTGACCGCTAGAGTGTTAACAAGGTTTTTCTATTTATAGCTCCGGTGACCTAGTTTTTCATTCGAGATGACCCATATTCGAACTCATCCGAGCTATTATCTAAACAAGCATCCTGACAAAGTTTGATGATGATTGGGTCAAAAATGTGACCACTAGAGTGGTCACAAGGTTTTTCTATTTTTAGCTCCTGTGACCTAGTTTTTCATCAGAGATGACCCATGTTCGAACTCATCCAAGCAATTGACTAGACAAGCATTCTGACCAAGTTTGATGATGATTGGTTCAAAAATGTGACCACTAGAGTGTTCACAAGGTTTTTCTATTTATAGCTCCTGTGACCTACTTTTTCATCCGAGATGACCCATGTTCGAACTCATCCGAGCTATCACCTAGACAAACATCCTGACCAAGTTTGATGATGATTGGGTCAAAAATGTGACCTCTAGAGTGTTCACAAGGTTTTTCTATTTTTAGCTCTTGTGACCTAGTTTTTCATCTGAGATGACCCATGTTCGAACTCATCCGAGCTTTCAACTAGATAAGCATCCTGACCAAGTTTGATGATGATTGAGGCAAAAATGCGACCGCTAGAGTGTTCACAAGCATTTGTGGACGGCCGGACGGACGACGGACGACGGACATTCATCGATCCTAAAAGCTCACCCTGAGCAAGCTCAGGTGAGCTAAAAAATTAACACCCTAAGTAGCACATGGAAGCAACTTGTTATGCCCGGTTGCCAAAAAAAATCTCTAATCTAATAATAACCACAGTTTTCTATTTGGAAAAGAAATTACATGACACTTAACTATATTTTTTTCAAATACATATTACAATGAGATATCACAAATCACCTTTTTAAACCAGTAACAACCATCATTTAGAGAGAATTATGTTATTCAAAATCACTGATGTGAAGTAATTGCAGATACAAAGTTTCAAACAGATTATTTCATGCCTTATAAAAAGTATTTTAATGGGTTTAAATAACATAAACCTACTTGAATGAATGTCACATATAAAGCATTACTTTATTTCAAAATTGAAAAGAAAATCTTCCAATGTGTTACTGGGTTTCATAATACATCCCTCAAATTCCGTATCAACGTTGCTGTATTCTAAATAGTTCTTAAATGGGCAATGGGCAGTCATGCAAATTGTATTGAACATCAACATCTTTGAATCAGTTAACAAGAGCTGTCGGTAGGACAGCAACGCTCGACTATTCTTAGTGCTTGATAGTAAAAAAAATGCTTGATAGAGTTACCTCCTCCTGTTTGCAGGTTGGGGTCATGATGGTGAACAAGTGTGCAAAGTTTCAAAGCCATATGTCAATGGACTTTGAAAATATTTGAACTATTACAAAAACTTTAACGTAAATTCTAAGTTGAAAAAGGGGCATAATTCTGTCAAAATGCTTGATAGAGTTACCTCCTCCTGTTTACAGGTTGGGGTCATGATGGAGAACAAGTGTGCAAAGTTTCAAAGCCATATGTCAATGGACTTTGAAAATATTTGAACTATTACAAAAACTTTAACGTAAATTTTAAGTCGAAAAAGGGGCATAATTCTGTCAAAATGCTTGATAGAGTTACCTCCTCCTGTTTACAGGTTGGGGTCATGATGGTGAACAAGTGTGCAAAGTTTCAAAGCCATATGTCAATGGACTTTGAAAATATTTGAACTATTACAAAAACTTTAACGTAAATACTAAGTTGAAAAAGGGGCATAATTCTGTCAAAATGCTTGATAGAGTTACCTCCTCCTGTTTACAGGTTGGGGTCATGATGGTGAACATGTGTGCAAAGTTTCAAAGCCATATGTCAATGGACTTTGAAAATATTTGAACTATTACAAAAACTTTAACGTAAATTGTAAGTCGAAAAAGGGGCATAATTCTGTCAAAATGCTTGATACAGTTACCTCCTCCTGTTTACAGGTTGGGGTAATGATGGTGAACAAGTGTGCAAAGTTTCAAAGCCATATGTCAATGGACTTTGAAAATATTTGAACTATTACAAAAACTTTAACGTAAATTCTAAGTCGAAAAAGGGGCATAATTATGTCAAAATGCTTGATAGAGTTACCTCCTCCTGTTTCCAGGTTGGGGTCATGATGGTGAACAAGTGTGCAAAGTTTCAAAGCCATATGTCAATGGACTTTGAAAATATTTGAACTATTACAAAAACTTTAATGTAAATTCTAAGTCGAAAAAGGGGCATAATTCTGTCAAAATGCTTGATAGAGTTACCTCCTCCTGTTTACAGGTTGGGGTCATGATGATGAACAAGTGTGCAAAGTTTCAAAGCCATATGTCTTTGGACTTTGAAAATATTTGAACTATTACAAAAACTTTAACATAAGTGGTTACGCCGACGCCGACGCCGACGCGGACGCCGACGCTCGGGTGACTGCAATAGCTCTACTTATTCTTATCGAATAGTCGAGCTAAAAATGCATTATTTATGGTCAATTTGTCTGCTTTACATCACACAAAACATTAATTATTAAGTCACCACTGAAACACATTCAATGCAGGCATAATGGACACAATTGAAGCATGTTGATAATATAGTGTTCCAGGCTGCATCTCTTTCTATTTTCATATGGTGATAATTTTTCTCTTTCTCTTCATTAGTTGGGTTTACAGTTACACCAACACTTGTAAGGTCTAGGAAAAAGGAAGATCTCGGGTTCCTAACTTTGCATTATTCAAGACACTTATGGGCATGGCACTTCCATAAGCTAGCTTTCTTGAACATAAAAGAATCCCAAAACCCTGGTGGGAAATGAATCCCAGTGGTGAAGGGCAATCAACCTTATATATAAATACTCAGTCCCTTAGTATGTGGGAATATAAAGTGACACTGTAAAATGGCAAATATAGTGATATTCTTATTTATTGGTAGATAACACTATTAACAGCTATATTTCTTCACAATATCTTCATCATTTTTCATTGCAATGGAAATTAATAGTTTCCAAAAGATGAATGTATAGATTACATTAAAATAAATCTACACCATGAACATCTTCAAAAACAAACTGTAAAGAAAACCAGAAACATAGGCTTCAAGTTTTACAATTAGTCAAAAATAGATTGTAAACTTTAGCCTAAACTTTATTTGCTTTGTGCGATTTTTACTTCTTGGCAAAACTACTGTTATTAATATATACAAATGTGCTAGCACCTTTGATTATATATTGGTCGAGTTTTACTAGATTACCCCTCTAAATCAGTTATTTTCCATTATACGATTTGGAATAGGCCTAAAGTTAAATATAATTGTCTCTGTAAATGGCGTACTTACATAAAAGGGAAGTAACTTTGCAAATATATTACTGCAAAACTTAAAATTGTATGACGTATTAGTATCAAAGGGGAGTAACCCACCTTGATAGAGCTGTACATTGTTAACCGAGTCAAGTTCAGGAGAAATATTTAGCTTTTTTCTTTAACACAGATCTACTTAAATGAATGCAATTAAATGCTCAATTTTAAGCATAGAGACAAACCGTTATGAGGAAATGCCATGGTTCAGCTATGCAGAAATCGAGGGTCTTTCTCTACAGTTCTAAAGTAGATTCTAAATGACCATTTTCTGTAGGAAACCAGATAATTGAACTATTTGAAAGACTCTGAGAAAATCCACCAGATCTATCAAACTGGGGGAAAAAGATTAAAACTTTTGTTAAATAAAGTTTGTAAGTACACGTGTAAGATTAACAAAAGAAAATTCCAACCTTCAATGTCAGTAAATCTGTTTTTGTTACATGTATTGCAACACTGGGAAAATACGGTCTGATTGTAACACTCGTCTAGTTGTTGTGCCGCCACATTAAAACATGTCATCCAGCCATATAATACAGCCCCATTGACGTCATCAATCTGGCAGTCGTATGCTGAATAAATTTAATAAAATATATACATTGTATATATATTCGATCACCGTAAAAACTTGATATGCACTCGTAATTAGGTATACAAGCACGGACCTTAATTGACACGGACCTTAATTTAAAATTAAGGTCCGTCCGTGATACAATTAAATACTGATTAAACCTTTAAATTACGATGTAAATATGGAATAATACGTGATCGATTCCAAAAAGTTTAGAGCCAAGGCAAATTAAGCGGCGTAGCCTAAACATACATTCTGGCCGAGTTGAATGCCACTCCTGCTCAATGTTAACCATCTAAATTCCCTTAAATTATCATTTATGCGCACGTCTTTTATTTTTGAACTCAACCTTAGATTTTCTTTGAATATCTTAGCTAATTTCTTAACACACTTAAACAATTTTAGTTGCTCGGACCGGGATTCGAAACCCATACCCCTTGTATCCTATCAGCGCATGTTACCCTTCAATTCAGCTATCACGAAAAAATCAAGAGCAAACCAAATGATTCTAAATTAAGAATTTCCATTAAGGTTTGCTTCTGTTTCTCTAAAATAAACTTTGTTTTACTGTTAAAGGCGTCCAAAGTTTAGTTGTAAGGGGAAGAAAAGTTCACTCACGCATTTCCCAGTCTTGTTCGCACGTGCCGGTTGGCACGGGATTTTGTGGCGTGTGATCAAACTGTACATCAAACTGACACATGCCTTGGCTGTTGCTGCTGATCCAGTTTGTGTTGCTTAGGAACCAAACTGAGCTCCTTGTGGTTTGAGCAGATTTGAAGTTGCCAAAGGACTGAAACGAAAATTATGATCTTAGTATCCATGGATTTTTTATATATGGCATAATACGTGATCGATTCCAAAAAGTTTAGAGCCAAGGCAAAGCGGCGTAGCCTAAACATACATTCTGGCCGAGTTGAATGTCACTCCTGCTCAATGTTAACCATCTAAATTCCCTTAAATTATCATTTATGCACACGTCTTTTATTTTTGAACTGCATGCATATTCCAGATCGATCGTAATGTTAAGATTGATGTGTTCAGATAAAATCAATTTAATTTTTCATTAAATTACTTATATTAAATATTAAATACATGTTCAATTCTTACCAAAAAGTAGATATACTTATTTGCCTATGTTCGAACGTCATTAAAGGCCCGTTATGCCTCAGAAATTATATGAATTTTATTTCAAAAAGACTGCTTACTTTTAGTATTTTGTAACAGTTCCAAACACACATTAATTTGCTATATACATTAATTAACTATCTTTTGCATCTTTAGTTCTGTTGCAAATTGGTATAATTATAGAGAATTAGTAATTTGTATGGAAGTCAAAATACTTCTTTGCTTACATTTTGCTACATCCAAGACGCATAACTGCATGCTCAGCATAATTTGTGTTGTTGTTAAACATCTAACATGTACCTAATTCATGGTCGACGTTTCTTAAGAATTAAAAAATATGGATTTCTGAGGCACAACGTACGTGCCGTTAAAAGATGTATAAGAATTTTCATCCAGAAAATTGATTATTATTATTTTTCTTCTATAAGAGTTATTTTGCAACACTATACATGTACGTGTATTACCTCGAAATTGGAGCATATTTTGTCCAAAGAAATTGTGACCTTGAAATCGCCTGGTTTGTATGACCCTTTACATGGTAACGAGCACCTTGCCTGATATCTATAGACATTGTTGTATCGGTAATTATTCAGAGTAGTTAGTTTGGAGAGTGTGTCTGAAAAAGAAAATGAAAATTGAGCCGGTTATGACAAAACTAACATAATGGGGTTGCGACTAGCATGCATGGATCCAGACCGCGCAGTCTCTGTTCGCTTACATACTCTATAACAAGAAGCGAAATTGATAGCGAACAGTATGTATCCTGATCAGGCTCAAATAAAGTATTAAGTATTTGATATTGTGGGTTTTCAGATAACTTTTTTCTTGTAAAATGCGACATGTCCTTCTGCTGCCAATTACAGCACCGAACTGACAAAACAAAACTGAAAAGTCATTAAGTAATTGGCTGCAAAGGTTATATATTTTCCAGATGTGATAATGCACGGTCCTAATTTCAAAATAAGAAACGTTCTGTTTGTTAGTTCTTTTGTTGCTTTTTTTTCCTGAAATTCATTGAATTAGTAAAGTAGTATTATAATTCAGTTACTTTAAATTTCAAAGTGGTGATGATAAAGGGAAAATTTTTAAAGGTTTTACTTTTTTAATTTTTTCAAAACAATAATTTACGCTTTTTTAAAACAAAAACCCTTTTTCTTTTGAGTTTTGGGAGTTTTAGAATTAACAAGTGGTTTTCTTTTTAAAGGGACATTATACATAAGACTTTTAATTTAAAATCAGATTATATATTTAAAAGCAAACAATATTACAGGTTAATATTCTTACCGGACAGCATATATTTGTCGGTTGATTTTAGTGTCATTTTGTCAGAAGAAACACTGAATAAAACTTTATAAACCCCCATTAGAGTCGGAATCATGGCGACAAACGGTAATAGGACACCTTATTAGACTTAAAAAAATTTCATAATAATTATTACCTATCTATATAAAGAAAAAGGTAAACAAAAATATAAAATATAATTTCAAACTAACACAGAAACCCTTTAAAGGGGGAATCGACATATCCCCATGACATAATCGGTTAAAAAAATCCCAATGCCGGTCAAAACGCGTAAAATTCAACAGACCCGAATAAATTACATGTATATCAAATAACCGTATTTGGTCCGCATACATTTTACCAGTATTTCGGTGGTAGAACAAGTTTAATCTTCGTAACAATTACATATTTAGACCAAAGAAAATACTTCCGATGCTAAAAAAAAATATAGTATTAATATCATTTATATTAGGTCTTCGGTCGCTCCGTTTGTGTCCTTGGTAAGTCTGTTTGACCAACTCATGTGTGTGTCAGCTGTGTTTCTGCTATTCTGCCAAATAAACTTAGCCACTTCATTCTACCGTACCAAGTCGATTTTTTGGGTATTTTTAAAACCCATGTAAATATAATTTGAAAGGGACAAAAAAAAAAGATGAAAACCCACTAAACAGTTTTTAATCAAGTTTGGCCGCAAGAAAAATAAAACTCATTTTTACAAAATTTCAACTTTTCAGAATTGTTAACTTCCTCCGGGGTATGAAATTTTTATATAAAATTTAAATTTTTTCCCATATATTTTATTTCATAAGTCATTCCTCTGTGGATCATCTGAGAAATTTGATCATATAGGATAATCAATAAGTAAATGTTCTACTGTTTAATTTTCCTATTTTATTTCCCTGCAATTTTATTTCCCTTCTATCTTATTTTCCCTTCTATTATATATTTTCCCGGGTCAATAGCTGCAACAGAAAATTACTCTATTTTGAAAGACCATATTTTAACAGATATAGAAAACACATTTTTACACCTTTAAAAGACATCATATTGTATAATGTATGTAAAATAATTTAGATCATCTATTTTTTCAAGCGTATTACTGTATATGATTCGGATCTGGCACATTTTCGTGTGATTCTAATATGCAATTATAGTCATGCTCTGTCCTACATAATCTATTTCGGACAATATAAACATAGCATATATATATTTTTGTTTTATATACATAAACAATGTATATTATTCCAATCACAAATAGATCTCAACTTTGAATTAACTTCATATGCAGTTACATGCAGAGTTTAGTTACTGTGTTATATGTGTGTCAATAAACGTTAGTAAACTTATGAGTAATGTACTTTTGGCAAAATGTAAACTGATATATTTTTAGTTCCATAATGAATCATAGAATGCGGTTTTTCACAGGATTTACTGTTTTATTGAATCTTAAATTGATACGTGAGAGTTCAATGGTACTCTGATCTTTATTTTACGGATACTTCAAATATTTGAATAAAATGTCATACATGTTTACAAAAATGATTTAAAATCTTGTAAGATCGTGATTATGACTGAATAAGTACGTTATTAAACAGGTTTTTAGGACATTGAAAATAAGAGATTTTATAACACTGAGCGCATACAGAAGTAAGTACGGCATTTATTATGATGCAGTCCCGATTCAACAATAGGTGCATAAATTTTGATACATGCACATTTTTTATGAGATTTAAAAAAAAATCAGACAATCGTTTGTATGAAATAAGCCCAAGATGAGTATTCCCCATTTTCCTATAAACAATTACGTAATAGAACAGAACAGAACATAATTTTATTTTGACTTGTTCAGAGTCCATAATCATGCAAATTGATACAAAATATTAATCAATACATTATATTAACATTATAAACTTGTAATACATAAGTGATATATTTTGAATGTCATACATGTGTACAAAAATGATTTAAAATCTTGTAAGATCGTGAACAATTTTATAGGTAATTAGATAATAGAATTACTTGTATAACTTATTTATGTACGTATTGCTTTTGAATTCATTTGAGCCGCGCCATGACAAAACCAACATAATGGGTTTGCGACCAGCATGGATCCAGACCAGTCTGCGCATCCGTGCAGTCTGATCAGGATCCATGCTGTTCGCTATCAGTTTCTCTACTTATTATAGAGTATGTAAGCGAACAGCATGGCTCCTGAACAGACTGCATGAATGCGCAGGCTGGTCTGGATCCATGCTGGTCGCAAACCCATTATGTTGGTTTTGTCATGGCGCGGCTCATTTATGGATTTGTTCATGCCATGATTTTCTCAATATTTCACCACGATATATTGACTATTTCTAACATTGTCCGTCCTCTTGGCATTACTATTGTCAAAATGGACCTCTATACTTTCCCAAATAGGGATTCATAACATCAATATGGATGCAACTAAAATTGCCAAACTCTCGTTGCCGTCGTTATCAGTGGTTATTTATTCCTCTAAGAATTTAAAAAGACATTGAACACGCAAAGAAATTGATGTGAAATAAAATGTTCGGTTATTGAGGAATGATGAAGTTGGTTGGTAACTAAAAGACAATGTTAATAATATTAAGGCATATATGGTGTGAAGAACGCAGCTTCCCAGTGAAAGTACCTATGCAATGGTTAGCTTACGTACGTTATTTTGCTTTCATGACACGCGAATTTTAATTGACCTGTACAAAGGTATGTTAAAATATTTCCCACAGAAAAAAAACACGTTATTAAAAAATTTTGATTAAATGTTATTTGTGTGCAACAGGGCGCTTTAGATGGCCCAATTTCTCTCAATATTGTAAAGATCTTGAGAAAAGTAACACATATATGTAGCTATACAAAAACACGACGGGTACCATTTTCTGGGTCACTTGTTTTGAACTCTTTAAACTATTGAACGCTCAGTCACCCGTAATAATTAATACATTTACTTACAAATATGTATAACCAGTACTTTATGGTACATGCATTTTATTAGTTCATTTCATTTGTGTATAGCTTTGAACCGAAGTACACAAAACAACACCACCATTCCCTGAACGTCTAAAAAATAACAACAACAAAAACGTACCCGTAATCACGTTAGTTTGAGCACTAACGGCCGTTGTCAGCATCAAAATCGTTACGCAAACTGCCGTTGTTCGCACCATCACTGCTCACGACGTGGGTATTAAAAAAATTCCAAGAAAAAATCGTGTTTCGTCCACTTATACTACGTTCTTAGTAAATTTGTCAATAGATATCCGAACCTAAGTGGCGAAACTTTTTTTAATACGCTTTCTCTTTTCAGAATCACTCTTGTACAAATCCGTATTTTTGCTTAAAACATCGAAACCGTCTTCATTACGATGTCATATAAAATATGTTTTCAATGTTAACAAATCCTCAGCATATTTCAAAAATGACGTTTAAATCTCTACTTGAATGACCCAATGACTAGAGCATGTTTAATCCTTTTGTTACATTCTTTATTTACAATAAAAAAAGTAAATAAAATGTGTTAATCCCCGCTGTCAAAATTACAAATAAGCAATCACTTTGAACACAATGTAAATGTCATGTATACATGTATGTTTTTAACATTGCTTTATTTTTTTAAAAAATTCCCTTTTTTATAAGGGTTTTAAGTGTTTAAACGCCAAACATACCCGTTTGGCAGTATTAAAATTTAGATGGGAAAAAAGCATATACAGGGTTTGGGGTGGTTATTGGGACTTTCCCATTAAAATTTGGGATAAAATTTTCAGTTGTTGTTTACACTTTAAAAACCGGACTAAATAATTCCCTTTAAAAAACTCAAACGACAGGGGCCCTTATTGTTCCCTTTTGACTGATTTCATATAGGGGTTTATAGTCTTCATAAATTAAAAATAAACCTAAAAACCTATTGTTAACTAAAAATAGAAATGTTCGTTGTATCGGATACCCGGATTTTTTTATTTAAAGGTGTTTCACCGTTTCTTTGTAATATCAATCCATTGTTGCACAAAGTCGTTCGGAACACTCCGAACCTGCATAGAAATTTTAATTTTCATGGCAGAACATTATGAACTGTCGACGGTTCTACCCGGCCCAGGTGGTCGCTTAGTATGATTTTTACGACGATGTATCGAGGACTTGGTGGGTCACTTGTAGACTTGCTTCACTAGTAAATGTATCTAACATATTAATTTTAAAATAAACTTCTTTTGGGCAAATTTTTCGTACAAAAAAACCATTTTAGTTTTAAATTTCAAAATGTATTTAAAAAAGGGTAGTTTTTTTTAAGGTTTTATGCGCCCAATTTTAAGCGTTTCGGGAACAAAAGGCCCCTCGTTTTAAAAGCTTCCTTTTGTAATTATATAATGATAAGTAATGCTGCATTTTGTTATCCAATACAGATAAAAAGCGTGTTTTTTTTCTCTTTTCATACTTTTTATATGTTGTATATTGACATTAAGAGGTCAAATTGAAAATAACCGTGCAACGTCGGGACAGAAACAAGGCGGGGCATATGCGCACCGCAGTGCGCACGAGGTGTTACGCAAGTCCCGCGCAAAAGTCTCTTTTGTAGGCCGATATTTTACTTATAGCGTGAAAGTTGAAAAAGAGAAAAATGTCAGATTTTTTTCAATTTAATTTTCGGCTCACCATGAACTACATTTCATGATATGACCCTTTGAATGTATGCGTGTATGGGCATTTATATTTAGTAATAAGATTCATTCCAAGATACCGGATACTTGCAGAAAAATAGGTAATTTGCATCAATTATATGCAACTCTCCACGTCAATATTGTATTAAATACCAAATACGTAAATCGCTGAAAAATAGGAACATCTCCGAAGTTTGACGGAAATGGCAGACAAAATACAATCGGAATGTCCTCGGCTATTATCTATAATAACCTTATCCGAAGACTGGCAGAAAGGGCCGAAAAGTTGCGATTGGACAAAATACATTTGGAGGTTTGCTTGATTAAGTACTTCCTTACATACCTATACAACAATAACTCGGTTAGATATTTATTATCGAGTGAACTATAATTCTATAAAAAAAAATGCGAAAGGAAAACAATAAATCGAATACTTCATAAATTGTACCAAAAATGCTAGTTCACGTGCAATTAAGTTCCAGTCAAGTGATAATATATTTTACATTATTTCTGGAGTGAGTACTGAAGCGACACACATTCTTTTCATATTTTAATATATTTAATTACAGTAAGGAACACCGCAAACAAAAACAAACTAAATATATGCATACACAGGACAAGAAATGCGTCTAAGGGACACTACCTTGCATTACAATTATTTTGATAAAGATTGTCTCCCATTTATAATAAGAGTTGGTCATTTATCCTTTGAAGAAAGTTTCATTATTGCAGACAACAATATTGATATAACACAAGCCAGTGCTATTTTTACAACAAAATGGTATTGCACGTTGACGAAACGTCATTTGCGTAATACAAACAGAGTTTGTTTGATTCGGTTTCCGTCACACCGCCACAGTATTGGTCATATGGGGGCGTTCCAGCTTTAATGTTGTAGAAAGAATTCAGGTGCATTTCCGTGCATTATTTCTGACACGAACGGGCACCTGAGTAGAACCACCGACGTTCCACAAGCTAGCTGACAAGCTAGCTGAAAAGGCTGTCGGAAGCAGCCTTAAGTCAGTTGATTGGAAGAAGGAGCAGCAAGATGATCCAACACTTTCCCGTTTAGTTCAACTCTTTGAAATTGGTCATAGGTTAACTGAACGCCAAAAGTCACATGAAACGGCCAAGGTTCGATCGTTTCTGAAGGAATGGAGCAACCTTTACTTTAAGGATTCAATTCTTTATCGTAAAGGTACTTCAAATGGTTATCCTGTTACTCAGCTTGTTCTCCCTGAACATATGCTTGATTTAGCTTTCCATGGTTTGCATGATGAGGCAGGACATCAAGGTTGTACAAGAACGATTTCCTTGTTCCGTTCACGTTTCTTTTGGCCTCAGTTAGAACAGTATATCGAACACAGGGTTCGAAACTGCCCCAGATGTATCCGGAGAAAGTCATTGGATAAAACGACTGCTAAGTTAAATCCTATTCAGTCGAGTTATCCAATGGAAATTGTCTGTATGGATTTTCTTTCTCTGGAGATGTCTAGGGGTGGTTATGAAAACATCTTGATCATTACTGATCACTTCACTCGTTTTGCTCAGGCTATCCCTGCAAAGAACCAAACTGCACATACTACCGCTAAACTTCTTTTTTGAAAATTTTGTTTGTCACTATGGTTTTCCTAGTCGGTTCCATAGGGATCAAGGCGAAATTTTGAAAGTGAAGTTATCCGGGAGTTGTGCAAGTTGGCCAATATTGACAAGACCAGGACAACTCCGTATCATCCACAGGGAAATGGGATGCATGAGCGCTTTAACGAAAAACCCCTCTTGAATATGTTGGGGACCCTGGAAGATGACAAGAAGGTCAATTGGAAGTCTCATGTTCCCGCTCTTGTCCATGCCTATAACTCTAACTCCCCATTCTTCTACTGGTTTATTCTCCCCACTTCCTCATGTTTGGTCGCCACCCAAGGCTTGCCATCGATGCGTTTCTTGGCATCGAACCAGACAAATCTCCTGTCAAAGGACCATTCTTACGTCTCAGGTCTCCAGAACCGACTAAAATTCGCATATTCTGTTGCACTCCGAGAGGCCAAGAAACAAGGCAAGAAACATAAAAGGTACTATGACCTCCGTGTCAGAGAAACGGAATTGAAGCCCGGGGATCGAGTACTGGTCCGAAATGTAGGTGTTCGGGGAAAATCCAAACTTGCCGATAGATGGGAAAAAGATGTATACACCATTCTCAGCCAGCCCACCTCTGGAATTCCCATCTATGAGGTGAAGAAGGAAAACAGCAAGGACAGGTCCAGGGTTTTGCACAGGAACCTTTTACTTCCCTTTATGGGGATGCCTTTGTGCAAAACCATTGAGTCCTTATACAAGCCAGCTTCCTCTGACTTACATTCGGATCAGAACTCGTTCTCCAATCCCTCCTCTGATGTTTCCATTACAGCTACGTTAGATTCCAATACCTCACTTACATCAAGTCCATCAAATGTTTCACAAAGCAATTCTTCCACAATACATGATTCTAACAATTGTATGTCAACTTCTTTTACAGGAACATCAAACAGCAAACAAGATGCCACGTCAACAACTCAAAACTTCTCATTCTGTTACAGGTTCAAAATATGTTATCCCTGCACTTAGAAATCCAACTAAGGACAACAACAATAATTTACAGAGGCATAAACGTACAAGAAAGAAACCCGGATGGATGCTAAATGATAACTGGAAATTAGATTAATGCTTTTTCTTTTGATTTATAGTCTAGGTGTGTTTCAACTTTGAAGTTAGGCGTTGTTCGGTACCTGATGTGTTTCGTTTTATGTTTTATACTTTGTACCATATATTTTACCTTGATAATTTATAAATGTACTTTACAGTACTTTAAAAAAAAAGGATTTATTGTTGAGAGTGCACCTCTTTAATGAATTCACAGTTCTACTGATTTAAAATTAAAAAATTTTTTTCGCGGGGACAATATATTTTTTTGGGGATTTTGCCCATTTCGGAATTTTTTGGGAAACTGTTGGTTTAAGGTTTTTTTGCCCCCGGGGGTTTATATATTTTCTCACAGGTTGTAATTTTCCTTTTAGTAAATTTTGATTTTGGGTTTTGTAAATACCTTAGTTTTGTACTTTATGGTCTTTAAACTTACTGCTTGCCAAATGTTTTGATTCAAGCTTTCCTCTTTAATATTTTATGAAAAGTCGGGGGACAATTTCCCCAAAGGGGGAAGTATGGGCATGTGGTCGAAAATTTGTGTTTTTGAAAAATCTTTTTATGTTTTTCATTTTGGGCCTTGTTTTTTGTATATTTTTCCCCTTTTTATTTTTTTGTTTTCAGTCCGAAAAAATACAATCCATTTTTCCAATATCATTCCTATATCATTCCATTTCATCATCTCATTATAACAACTAATTTCTCATGTTTCATGTTGACATATAATTTGCATGCCGGGCCTCAGTTTTTACAAACTTCCCGGAAAATCCACCTCACGCATGCGCACTTTGATAAAAATTTTGCTATTGGTTTGCGCCAGAAATTGTTATCTTATTTATTTATTTATTTATCAAGGCGTATGTTTATGTCCTTACAGGCATAAACGACCATTCATACATTTGAAAAGGACCATACGACACTCACATAAAAAAATCGAACGTCCCTGTCGGGATTCGAACCCACAGCGGTGAGGGGCAACAAACATAGTGTAAAAAACACGCTAAATGTTAGCATTTGCACTAAACCTATATAGGCACTTAAATCAGTCTTTATTTTGGGTATGTGATAAATATAATATTATATCCGTGCAGGTTCATTACTAAATTTATTGAACTCGTTGAATAAAATTATATTATGCCAACCAGAGGCCCGCATTTATTAAAATATAATTTTATTTAACTGGTTCAATAAACTCAGTCTTGAACCTACATTCATTCAATATCTTCTATATATAAAACATTTAATATAGGTCAACAAAACCTAAAAGAATAGTCATAGTGTTGAAACAAGGGTATACATATCTAAATCTATTCAGATTCTGATCACGGAACGATAGCGTTGCACAAAGTCAATGCATGTATAAAGCATAAAAAATGTTTGTAAAAATGTTTCCTCCTAAGTTGACGTCATTATTAAGCTTATAAATTATCGGACAAAGTACATTCATGTATACACACACAATCACATTTTTTTGTCCCTAAAAATTTCACCCGGTTTAAAAGTAAACCGTAAAGCAGCTTTATACAGAGAATTTACTAGAGAATATGACATCGCTGAGTCTCTTGAATAGCTCTAAACATTTATTTCATAAGAAGAATACCATTCAAAAGTGACAAAGCTCATCAATTTGAAATCATTCAAGAATAAACTATTAATTATCACAAATATTCATATCACAGTCAAAGATTCTAAAAAAAATAAACAAAGCATATACTAAAACAGCAATATGGTATCTTAAATACACTGTTGATACATGTCCTACTTCCGGTGATACATGTCAGACTTCCGGTATGTAACCGGTAATTATGACGCTAGGAAGCAGACGATAACTCCCGCCACAAGAAGTAACGCCGCAGCGCATATTGTTAACGCAAATCCTGCGTTAAGATCATTCATGTCAAAGTTTTGGTCATCTGCCACCGCTGTGGAATATACGATTACGCCAAGTAGCAGGAACACGGCTGAAATACAATGATTGTCAAATGGGTATTAAGAATTCAAAGATATATGAGCCGCGCCATGACAAAACCAACATAGTGTGTTTGCGACCAGCATGGGTCCAGACCAGCCTGATCAGGATCCATGCTGTTCGCTTACAAACCGTGTAACAAGTAGAGAAACTGATAGCGAACAGCATGGATCCTGATCAGACTGCGTGGATGCGCAGGCTGGTCTAGATCCATGCTGGTCGCAAAATAATTAACGAACGTCTGATTGGATAATGGTGGACGGACGGAAGTTCCAAATAAAACTGACCAGCTGAATAAATAAAAGAAACAACAATAATAATCATCGATTATCGATTTCGATTACAAAGAATGAGTTAAATTATTTACTAACCAATAAATTACCAACCAAAGGGACTCGGCACAGTGTTGGGATAGTGTAAAAAAGTAATTCTAGAAAAAAAGAACTATAATTATAATATATAGACAAGGGGGTTGAACTCGCCAAATAAGCCGAATGCCACTAGTCCAGTACAAGTCAAAATTGCAAAGTTATTCTTACGTAAATCATATTAAGCTATATACAAATGTATATAATTATATACAGTATAATTATATTTTTTTCTAGAATTAATTTTTACACTATCCCAAAAACTGTACCGATTCCCTGTGTTATCAACATATCATTTAAAACAAAGCGTTTTACAAAAACAGCCTTGTGCGGCCATAAAATGATAATGAAAATCGCAAAGACATTTTTTTCTGTAAAGCTAACTTACCGGCTCCAATGCAAAGTCCTGAAACAATTTTTCCAAGAATATCGCTTTCTGACAGAATGCACCATTTTATAATGATGGCCACGAACGCTGCTGCACATAGAGCGCCACCTATGATCAGCATAGCCTGCACTCCCTTGACGCTTCCATGATCTAAAAATACATTTTTTTTCTAACTCAGTCATACACCATTCAAAGAATCATAGAAAATTCAAGTTATTTGTAGTATAATGTAACCAATTATATGTTGATATTGTAACGGAATTGAATAGGTGTCGACCAATTTTAGACTGATTACATATTTATTTGGATTTTGCTGAATTTCCATCATTTTTTTGTCGTGCCTACATATAAGTATATTCTTAATACACAATGTCCTGTATTCCCTCTTAAAATATTTGCAATTGGGGCGTTCCAAATTTTAGTCTCTTGATAATTATATTATAGATGTAACTAAAAACCTAGCGGCAGACTATTTATATGACAGACTTTTTGTCACATTCATATCCCTTAGACAAATTATGGCTGAAGTTCCGTGTGAAGTTTTGCTTAACGACCTTAACAAATAATCAAAGCACCGTGAGAAATTATCTTTACATTTTAACAATTATTGATCATTTTTTTTTTTGCACAATTCAGATCATTAAAAAAAACACAAAAACAAAAACACGATTCGACTGATATTGAAGAGTCATTGTCTCGTGAGATTTAGACCCTACTGAGAGACCTGCATTAACTTTTTTCATTTAATTGAAGATATGGCGTGTAAAGGAAGTCCAAGTTTGTTGAATTTTTACAATCTATTATTAAATAATTATATTCATATTTGAAAGATTTTATATCTGTCTGCCAACAGATACATATGATTACAAACTTCTTAAAAAACAAGTAATAGGCACACATTCAAAAATACTGTAAAACAGGGAAGAAGTTCTACTTAAAAAAAAGCCTGCAAAATAGTTTTTAAAATAATTATTGTCATTGTTAAGCAAGCAAGCAATATTGGCATTAATTCATGTATACAGTACGCAAAAATAACCAGGTTTACCGGCCAAAATTTTATTAAAAGGACACTTCATTTATTATTTAATAATATATATTATATAATATTTTATAATTTATAAGTGTCAAATATCATTACATTGCACCGAGAAATACCAGTCACTCGACTGTTATAAAACACGCAATTGATAAATGCAGATTTGCGCATTTTGAAAACAAATAATATCAAAAATATTTTCATAATAAACAAAATAATAAAGTCTTCCTTAAAGTAAAAGATTTTATATACATTTTTTTTCCAAACTATAGCATTAACAGACAATTCACAGTTTGTCCATCACATGCATATTCAACAGATAAATAAAATCTGAAAAAGGAGATCCCTGAAAAGCAATGAAATCAAAGTAGTAAAAGGATAAAAATTACAGACTCGGTTTTTTTTTGCGTCTGTTCATGAGTGGTAAAGACCAGTGCAACGGTTCTCTAGCGCCGGCCTCAGTATTGGAATCAATGATCCCGAAGGATCAGAAAGGTTTCATGTGCGCGTATAAAGTTCTATTAAATTTATCATAAAAATAAACTCACATTTAACACCAGAATCTAGGTATGTGCTGCAATCGATCGCATCCGAACCCACGATTTCTTGTCTTGTGCACACGCTCCATAATCCGCTGTAGGTGTAAGTCTTTAAGGTTACGGTTACCCCTGAAACCTCGACACTCGACTGCTGCCAGACCGGTACAGCGAGTGCTATCAGCGTCGTCACAAGGGCTAAAGTTATTGTAATGAATGTAAGGTACAGCAGACAAGCCATCTTTGTATATTCCTATACTGATTTTACCGTCCAATACTGATTTTACCGCCCTTGAATTAACAGCGCGCTGCTCAGCTGTTCCGACCTTGTTTGATTCACCCCGTTCATTAACCTAACTGTCGAAGTAAGTAGAGCGATTGGTTGTTTGCTTTTGTTAAAAGTGGCAATATGATACTGTTTTCAATAATTTCGATAGGAACTAACTAAACAAGGGTATTTCAGATAGTAATGTCACGTTAAAATAGTGTTAAACTATTATATTTTTTTTTCACTGGTCACCATTTCAATTGACTGTATGTAATTTAGTAGCTGATTATGTCGGAAAGGGGTGATCAAAATACAGTTCAAATGACTGTTTCGTTATTATGTACATTGTATAATGAAATTGTATTATTATGTTGTATTGTCACACAATTTAGGTCTTTCAGGAGAGGATTTGTGCATGTAATTGGCGTTCCAACCCAACTCTCCCCTTAATCGACCGAAGTGTTCGTATGATTCTATTTTCAGGTAGATTTATATGTACAAGAAACGTGGCCTGTCCTTCCAATAAAAAAGTCTAGAATGCAGTAAAATGCGTTAATGCATTAACGATTAACATAATTATGTAATGATTTGGCATAAAAGTTTCAAAAAAAATAAGAAAGTGATAAATAATGTCTTTCATAAGCATTGCATCGCACATTATTACATTACATTACATTACATTACATTACACTACATTAGACTACACTATATTACATTACATTGCATTAATAATAATAATAATAATAATAATAATGATAATAATAATAATAATACTAATAATAATAATGATGATGATAATAATAATAATAATGATGATGATAATGTTGATGATGATAATATGTTTATTTTCTCCAAAAAGAAGATTCTTTACAATTATACAATAATACAGTTTTAATGAAATAAGCAAAACAGTATCACTGTAAATAATCACAGAATTTTTATGGTTACATTATGAACATTAAAATATATACACACATTAATATTATGTTTTTTGTTGTTTTGACTGTACTGATGCCTTTGGATATGACGGGACTTGACGTAATTTTTCGATATTAATGTTAAAGGTCTAGTCCAAACAGTTGAATGCAAAATTTCATCATTTACTCACTCCGTTTTTGTTTTGTTTTTGTTTTGTTTTTCTTCAGAATTATTACTCTTAAGGTGAATAAAGGCAACATTGTCGAAAAATACGCCCGTCACAAAAGCTTTTGACAGAGATGTGGGCATTATAGAGATATGCTCTGTGCAATATCGGACAATATCTGGATACATTTTTATTTCTAATGACCTTGACCATGCAAATATTAACGTAATGAAAATGACCATTTGTGTTACAATTCCTAAAATATGATGACTAAATGGTCCTTATACAACACTTCATATTTTTAGCTGAACTTTTACCTCTATGTGTGACCTTGACCTTGGCTTTTACGCGTGACACTCTGTCTCACAATGGTTAACATTTGTGCCAAGTTACATTGAAATTCCTCAATGCATGTAAAAGTTTTGCTTCGGACTGAGCTGTAAATGTGACCTTGACCTTTAAGCTATAGACCTTGTACATGCCTGCGACATGGCTTCTTATAGTGGTGAAAATTTCTATATAGTCTTAGTAAAATCCCTCCATGTTTGTAGGAGATATGCTCCGGAAAAAATTGGACGCCGATCGTCCGCCCCCGATCGACCATCCGCCCAGCAGGGGGGTTCCTATAATTCGACCCGTTTTTAAAACGGGCCAAATTCGGCAAAGCATAACACAAAAATACGATTTTAAACAACCCTTCTTTATAATTTATGACTTTATATATCAACACTCAATATTCTAATTTAGCCATCGACATAATCAGATAATAAAAGCAATAATAATAATAATAATAATACCAGAGGTTTAACTGTATCAACCACTTTATCTATTTTGTTAATTCAAATCTATTTTTTTGATACATATAGTATGTATAAAACAATAAGGAATTAAATAAAGCTCTATCTATAAAGGTTAAAAAAACTGTGTGAACCTCTTAATATAATTTGCCTATTTTTTGTCCTTCAACCATTGTGTGATTTTCTGTTTAAACATGTCAAAAATATAAAATTTCAGAGGTTAGCGGTCTGTTATAAACGGGTTCATCGGATCTGGACTAACAGTTATTATTTAACATTGATTTTTGACTTGAAAAACAAGCACGCAAAGATCACAACTTCAATACTAATTTAAATCTACATTTCTATAAATCTATATAATCATATGTAGAGCGATCAGTGATCACATTTGTCGCATGATCATAGCTAATTTTAAAAGCAGTGGTATTGAGGTGTGATCTCTATATGTCGCGGCTACTTTGTACCATGTTGCAGCTACTGTATAGCAAAAGGAACAATAATATCATTTTAAAGCCAAAATGCAATTTTTATTCAAGGGCTATAACTCAGCCAAAATCTTTTAACTGGAAACCCCGTTAAGTATGCGCAAGTACTTAAGTACCTTTCAATTCTGTAAATTTTAACTCAAATTGCTTAAGTTGTACATAAATAAAAGAAGTAGTCCGGACAAGACTTTGAAAAATAATTAAAGAGCCATAACTCTGGCAAAAAATTATTGAACTGGAAAATGTTTACAATATGCATAACTAACTTGATACTGATCATTCCTATAAAGTTTTGATGAAATTGTGGTTGGACAATTTTGTGACGGACAGACGGACGGACAAACAGACATGCAGACGATGGAGACGTGATTTGTATAAATGTGGTTACTTTGTTGCATGTATCATCTATTACATAAAAAACACTGACGGGCCAAAACAGTTATTTTCATTCATTCAAGGGCCATAACTCAGCCAAAATCATTTAACCGAATAACCCATGTAATATGCGCAAGTATTTGAGGTACCAAGCAATCCTGTAAAGTTTCATTCACATTACATAAGTGGTATAAGAGAAGTTTGTAAACTTAAAAATTCAAAAATCATAGAACTGTAAAGTGCCTCTGATATTCACAACTTGTCAAAAATCATACCTGTAAAGTGTGGATGAAATTGCACCAGTGGTTTTTGTGGAGTTAGCGGTACAAGATTTGTGAGCTCTTATCAGTACCAAGCAATCTTTACAATTAATGTCGCGGCTACTTTGCAGACAGACGACGGAGAAGTGATTCCTATATGTTGCTACTACTCTGTACCAGGCGACACAAAAAACAACATGCGAGTTAGTAGAAACAAGAAACGTTTCATTTATCGAAAAATGAAGAGTACAAGTAAGTGATAATAAACTTATTGTGCAAAATCATGATTGTCACTCACCTCGGGGATAACGGGCTCGAGCTCTTCTCTCGTAACGACAATTAACACTACTAGGAGAAAACACCCAACAACAATAGTAAATTACGTTTTACTCACAGCACGTCATCTGTGGTTCACTACATCACAATTAATAATCTAATTCGAGGCAGGCGTGATAAACTGAATTTTCTTGCTAATGTTTGTTTTGAACGTTACCTTTTTCAGATACATTCAACATATTACATTAAAATGAAACCACAAATGACTATAAAATATAAAACACAATTCAATCAATGGAATGAAATAAAATGCATCGAATGCAATGCGAATTGATGAATATCAACAAAACAGTGTAGTGTAGTGTAGTGTAGTGTTATGTGTAATGAAATAAAATGCAAGATAATTCAGTGTAATGTAATAAAATGTAACGTTATTCGATGTAATGTAATGGAATGCAAGATAATTCAATTTAATGTAATAAAATGTAATGTAATTCGACGAAATGTAATAAGATGCAAGATAATTCAATGTAATGTAATAAAATGTAAAGTAATTTAATGTCATGTAACCAAATGCAAGATAAGTCGATGTAATTGATAAATGCGATTCGATATAATGTAACAAAATGAAAGATAATTTAATATAATGTTATAAAATGTAATGTAATTCGATGTAATGGAATAAAATATATTTTAAAATAAAAAAAAAAACAGTTCAACTCAAAATAACATCAATGAAACTTATTTCATTACAATTTATTTCTATTCAATTCAACTGAAATAGTCTTAGATGCATTTAATGACAATGGTTTAAATATATTTTACATCATTGGAAATGGTATAATTGCACGTTACATGGGTCAATACTAAACAGCCCTAATGGCACATATAACACGTGTAACTGGTATACGACGTGTAAATTATAAAACTATAGCATAATGTTATAAATATTAAATCACCTACTAAAGTAGATAATGATCATATTATCAATTTAAGCGGACTGGTCGGCAATCAGCACAGTTTTCTTAAGTATTTCGTATATACGCTATCTATTCTTATTTCTTAACTTTTGAAATATACTTAAGGCGCTGTTCCAGGATTTTTATATCAGAGGGGTCACACAATTTGTAAAAAGGGGTAATGCATATTCCAAAGTGAAATTTGGCATTTTACTATTTTTCTGATGGGTAAGTGCAGGGATGTATAATAAACGTTCCTGGATGGGAGCCGGGACATGAGTCATTTTTTACAGGAATTGTATCTGATTTTTGTGATCTACATATTAGTCCGCGTGAATTATTATTGTGAAGAAACGATAAATGCCTAGAATGACATGAAATTACTTTTTTATGCAGCAGGAATCAAAAACAAAATAAAATTAGCAGACAGTCTAGTGATTTGAATTACACTGTGATCTATAGATGAAAAGTCTTTCAGTATGTCTGTCTGTTCGTTTTTCAGTTGTTTTTATTGCGCTTAATTTGACACATTTTTGTTATTTCTCTGCAAATGATCCGCCTTGTCAATACCAAAACAAATTGTATTGAGATAAAGTCCATTATTAGAAACTAGTTTAAAATCAACCTAATCAAGTATAAAAATCTATTTTGATATTATTTCTGGAGCAAGATTTTAAAATGACAAATATCTTCTTTATTCACATTTTGATTTATTTGTAATTAGAATTAAGTACATGTACTGCATCATATCGGTGAAAAGATATATGTACATGTATATAAAAATGTGTCAAAGGGACGCAACCGTTAACAGCCTTATTTATTTGATTTCTATAGATTGTCCCAACTGTACATAACGGTATTCGAATCTCGCTAATTATCTTAGATTTTATATATATTTTTCCTCCTTTTTGTTTTGGTAATTAGGACAAAAGAAGTTTTAATTGAAGCTCAGATGTGCTGGCTGGTCTGCACTAAGCACTAATGAGTA